CTCTATGCGCAACCATACCTTATAACCATAAGTGATCTAGGGATTTTATCTTAAGTGCAATTATAAGATAAATGCTTTCTCTTAAGATAAAGAAATGCCTTATTCATAATATAATTCCAATAGACTGTATTTACAAGTAGAATACGTCCAATTAGATTGGAACGCCGGGTACCCTACTCTAACAGATCAATCATCCAACCCTAGGTTCAACATAACTCGATAGATTGAGCAATCAACATACACACAAACGAAATTAAACCGGAACAATTATCCCCTAACCCTAGTTACAAATTTAGCCACTCATTGCAATTTCAACACAACAATTCATAATTAAGCAAGACATCAAATCCATACACAAAATGAAAAGAAATGCTTACGATTAAATATGAATCCAATGTCGAAACACCACGAATAATCCAAATCCAAAAGCTTAATCTTGGTGTTTTCACAATCCAAGATCAAATCCTTTGAAAACTAGGTGAAAATTGAGTTCTTGAAGTGAAAAACCAAAAATACAAAGTCTGAGAATGCTGACTTTAGCCCTAGGTTCGAAGTTTTATCCTTCTCCCATTCAAAATCCATAAAAATCGCGCCTGCTGTAAAACAGACCTTAGCGCCGCTAAGGTGCCTTTGCTGTTCGCCCAAGTCCTCGTCGTTATGATTAGGTAGCGCCGCTAGTCATTTAACCTTAGCGGCGCTAAGGTCCTGGAATTCCCAAAAGTTGCTTTTTCTTCGGCTCGCGTGCTCGGCTAGTGTTGCTCGGGTACTGCTCTAGCTAGAAATTCAACCTCCGCATGTTTGGTCGCATGAACGGGCATGAAACACTTGGTAACCGGCATAACCTGAAATCACCAAAACCGGACAATCGCGAAGAGCAAGAGAAAAATAGGAGAAAAGACACAGAAAACACGAAACACGACTGAATAACATTAAAACACGAGAAACGACTAGATGGGCCGACAACACCTAACAAGTGACCTAAAACGGGAGGAAAATACACGCAAAACATAAACAAAAATAGCAACAAAAATGGGACAAACAGCCGTCATCTACAACCTGAGCCGTCAGACCGAGTGTTTGGCCGCGAGCTCGAGACGATGGGTCGTCAGATTGTAGATCTATCCGCGGAGATCGGGGGCATACGTCTAACTATCCCTACCATGGTTCGGGACAAGAAAACGTACCGTGACGTCGGCAACCGGGGCATGTGCGGAGGAATTCACAGAGGACGTGGAGGCTGTGGTCCAGGTGGGGCGCCCCGTTGGGGATCTCCACAACCACTGTCCGGCGACGAAGACGGCGAGGAGTCAGTCTCGGAGGTGAATTCCTTCGACGATTTTCCATCCCCGCACATCGAGGCTGACCCTTTTGCTGCATACGGCGGCCGTGACATGCGGCGACAGGGCCCGGTCTTCGTGGAAGGCGACGATCAACGCGACGATAGATGCATGCTCGAGGAGGGTGCCTTCACCGGCGGATATCGTGCCCGACGCGATTGGGAATGTGATCGAGAATATGGTCGATAAGAGGGCCCGTTTCGCGTTGACATCCCTGAATTTGACGAAAAGCAAGTTGACGGGCCATTATACGATGGTCCGCCGGTGTTTGATGAAGAATCAGAGGAGGTGGAGGAGCGTTTTACCGGCGAAGTGGACTGTCTCTACGACGATTCGCCGATTTTCGATGAGGAGCCTCCGGGGCTGGAGGAATTCCATCATGTTCCGAGTATCGAAATTCAACTGTTGGAAGAATTGGTAGTTCTTCTATTGCACAGGCCCGAGCTTTTATCTCACAGGAATTTGTTGCGACCTTGCAAACAGATGCTATTTTTTTGTCACCACGGTGACTTCAAAATTCTGTGTGTGGCTGCTACATATATGCCTTTCTATGAATTTCAAGAGGGTGATACCATGGAGGTGCGACATTTAATCTTCGTGTTCGACAGGGAAAAACGACGGAGATTATTACCATGGGTTCGCCTCCACACCAGCCACGGGAGCGCGTCGGCTTCGAGGCCGAAGCCTTCCGAACTAGGGGAGAATGGTGTAGAATAATAATAATAATAATAATAATAATAATAATAATAATAATAATATTGTTAATATTATTATTATTATTATTATTTAATAATTAGTAGTTAGCTTAGAGAACAAGTTAGTGTTATTAATTTTGAGAGTCTTATATAAAGAACTCTCCTGCTTTATTGTTACTTGGTGAATTTTGAGAATAAATGAGTTTGGTGTGTTTTACGAGAGAGTATCTCGTTTATCCTTCCCACTCGTACGCTTCCCTGCATCACTTTCGATGGGTGTTTGACTTGAAAAAACGGCGGCTTTCAGGTAGGGGTCGAATCTCAATTTCGCAAGGGTCGATTAGGGCTTCTGGCTATGGTTTCGGGCAAAAATATGTTAGTAATCTCTTGGGAAAAATTTGTTACTGATCCGTTGGTAATTCGTTACTAAAATTTTGTTGGTATTTGTTCATGTGTGATTTTACACCATATTTATTGAGTATTTAGAGCTTAGTCATTGCATTATTGGTGTACAAATCGCATATTTGTGCTTTAATTCTCTATTTGTTGGAAATGTATTACACGTGCTTGTTTTGTAGATATTTTCACATATGTGTAGAGCTTGTGGCTATTGGAGGCGCATGGTGAGTACCTAGGACCCCCGAGATGATGATGGATTGATGCACGGATGAGAAAAATGGAAGAAACGAGTGAAACGGACAAGAACAAGTGTGCTGGGACGTGACACGGACGGTGACACGGGCACCATGCCCGTGTCAGAGGCCGTGTCACGATAACAGGGACATTCCGAGGCATTGAATGTGACACGACCTGCGACACGGACGGTGACACGGGCAGAATGGCCGTGTCACGCGTGCGGACTGCGTTTTATTTCTTGTCTATTTTGAATAGGAGAAGGGTTTTGGACATTATAAAAGGCATATTTACCCTATTTTGAAAGGGGGAAACGTGATTACACCATAGGGGAGCCCTAGAACACACAAGAGAAGCAATTGGGAAGCAAAAGAAGATCAACCACAAAGGGATCAAGAAGATTGAAAGATCGACAAGATTCCTAGTTTTTCTTTCTTCTTTCCTTTTGAACTTTTATTGATCATGTTGATTTCTAATATGTCTATGTATTTGAATTCAAACATGAGTGGCTAGTTTATTTGATTCTAAGACTTGGTAGTAGATTAATATGTTGGGATTTTGGATGATTTATTATAATTGATTGTTTTCTTTTGAACCCTATTCAAATATTTTGCTCTTAATTCATGTTTAGCACTTGGCCAATGTTTTTACATGTTTGACAATATTGTTCATAATTCGAGAGATGAGTTCAATGTTAGGTCTTTGATATTTGACACAATTTACTTGCTTGAATCGAGAGATTAGTATGTTGTTGTGAGGATATTAGATCTTTTAATCTATTTGGAGTTGAATTGCATGTGTTGAGTGGAGACGCTAATATATGTGATTTAATCTACGGTTTTATTGATCTCGAGAGGGACAATAAGCTAAATTTGTGATTGTCTTATAGGGCAGATAAAGAAAACATTGGTTGTGATACTTTTGAAGGAACCCAACTATTAATTGAAACCAAAGCCTTAGAATCTATCATTCTCATATATCTTCTTACGTGTTTTCTAGCTAGTTCTTTATTTTTGCTTTATTTCTCTTTAATTATATTTTCTTAATTTAGTTAATCCATCTTATATTCGGTCGTCTAAATAAAGTTGACACTATCATAATCTGGTACTTGATATATTAATTATTTGGTCTCTTGGGATACGACCTTGCTTGCCACATACTACGAGCGAACCCGTACACTTGCGGTCGAGCTTTAAAAATATAGGCGAACAGTATTCTGTTGGTAACTAATCGTTGATAATCCGTTGGTAATGTGTTGGGAAAACATCCGTTGGTGATCCGTTAGAAAAATATCAGTTGGTAATCCATTAGAAAATCCGTAAATAAATTGTTGGCTTTTTGTTAGTAATTTGCCAAAGGAATTATTTTGCAACTACATTATCTGTTGAGAATCTGTTGACAATGTCATGGAGCTTTTCCGTTGCAAGTCCGTTGGTAAGCTGTTGAAAATTTACCAACGGATTGTATTTTCCGTTGGTAAATGTTTAGCAACAAGGCATATAGCAACAAAAAAAAAAATTGTTGGTAATCCGTTGGAATTCTGTTGGGAAACTTGATTAACAACGAATTATTCCGCTGGTAAAACTCATATTTCTTGTAGTGCAACTTACCCGTAATTATTGGTCAAATGCACATATTTGACCACATTATGATCAAATAATTACCAGACTGCCATTAATGATTGACCATAGTTTGACTTCATCATCACCATTGATATGATTGATCCCATAGTCCAAGTTCATTCTTATTTCTTTCATTATGATTTTCATATGATCCTAACTCTCTCTCTCTCTCTCTCTATATATAATTAGGGGCTATCCCATTAATGCTAATTTTTTTGGTTTTCCGTTCTTTTTTGAAGGAGTTAATTATGACAAAAAATTTTATTGTTCCTTTTCATTGAAGTATAAAAATTCAACTAAGAGTTATTAATATAACAATTTAATTATAAATTGTGATATATATTATTTTATAAAATTTTATTTTAATTAAAGTACTTATATATAATATTTATTTATTTTTGGTAACATGTACATGTGCACAAGATTAATACTTGTTATATTAACTGCCTTTTATTAATATCTAAAATTTAAGTGATAAAAGCATAAGTATCGTAATAATCAAATTTTATAATATTGTGATACATATAACTATACTATTATATTATATATCATATATTTTTTTAGGTTTTTAATATTTTACGACTACCAATACTCGTTTTTGGCTCCATCCATCTGTTGTTCAACTTCAACTCCTAGGGCTTCCTATACATATATATTCCCTCAGATTAAAAAGTATCAACTCAACCAGGTATTAGTGTACCGTATATTTGAATATGGGGCATGAAAAAGAGATGGATGCCACCTTACAACCAATCATGGGTTCGGTATCCCGGCGAACCAGACGGCAGTGGGACGCCTTTTACAGAAACCTCGAAATCAACACAAAGAGGCCTCATCGCAGTCGAGATAAGTTCTTAAAGGAGGAGGAGGAGCCTTCTTCTGTCAAGAAATCCGATTCCACAGATGATGATGATGACTATAAACGGAACAAAAACAGTAATTACAGAGTTCATGTGGCGGAGAAGAATAAGAAGGGTTCAAAAAGAAGAAAAGTAGTGGTGGCCAGGACTCAGTTTGTAATTGATGAGGAACTGGATTTGATTAGCAATTTAGTGGAGGATTCAAGATTCAAAGAAAAGTATATCCATACTCGTGTAACTGTTGATGTTAATGCAACGAGCCAAGGCACTCTGCCATTGAAGTTCAAATTTGAGGATGAACAGAAGCAGCAAGACTCCTCTTTGGCAGATTGGGAAAAGGAAATCAATTCTCTCTTTCTTAATCTGGAACTGGGCCTCTGGGAATCTGAAATTGGACGCTTAACTTCCTCCATGGTAAGTATATGATTCACAACTTGTAGTTGTTGATAACTTGTATTCGCTGATTGATAAATATATTTGGTAGAGTGATGATGAAAGCACCGAACATATAGATGAAAGTCCAGAAGGCCGTTGTGAGCGAGGGGAGCACGATATTGTCTTGGACGAACAGATTGGGATCGTATGTAAATATTGCGAGGATGTGCTACTCGATATAAAACACGTTTTACCGCCTTTTGTAGTAAGTATAAGCATATATTTTTTATGTCCACACCACACCACACCACACCACTCTGTTTGACCATGAAATTAGTGTGACTTATATGTATGTATGTATGTATGTGTATATATATATATTGTCCGGCAGCTTCGGGAAAGTCGTCGTCGTCACCATTATAAATACTACGAGGATCCAGACAACTTCACCGAATCCCAGTTTCAGGGCTCAGCTAATTGCGCTACTACTCTCGAGTCTAGTGTTCATTCTCAAGAAGGCGGCACAGTATTGGACCTCATCCCTGTGGATGCTCACAAAAAACTGTATACTCACCAATTGGAAGGGCTGGAGTTCCTGTGGAGGAACATAGCTGGGGACATCCGAATGGACAAGCTGGAGGAGAGGCTTCCGACCAAGGGTGGCAGAGGCTGCATAATCTCACATGCTCCCGGCACTGGAAAAACCCGTCTCACCATAGTCTTCCTGCAGACGTTCATGCGTCTCTACCCGACTTGCCTCCCTGTCATCATAGCGCCCCTCTCCATGCTCAATACTTGGGAACGGGAGCTCAAGAAATGGAACGTCGACATCAAATTCCACATTCTCAACAGAAAGAAGCTTTCCCCACAGGAATCTTCTGCTGTTTATTCTAGCCTACTTCCAGAGAATCATAAGGACTACACTCGACTGGTGAAGCTGCGTTTGTGGATGAGTGTTGGGGGTATTCTTGTGGTTAGCTATGGTTTATTCGAGAAGTTGGCCGGAGAACATTACGAGAAACAGCAGCAGCGTAGTAGCAGCAACAAGAATTACAATGAAGAGGTGAGGAAAATACTGCTCGAGTTACCAGGTCTGTTGGTGATGGACGAAGGGCACACAGCAAGGAGCGAGCAGAGCCTCATGTGGAACACTCTAAGAAAGGTGAAAACAAAGAGGCGTGTGATGTTATCCGGAACCCCATTCCAGAACAACTTCACTGAGCTTCACAACACCTTCTGTTTGGTCAATCCCAGTTTTGCCAGGAAGCGCAAGTTGTTGGTCAACGATTGGTTGGATCCGGATGATCTGAAGAAGCTGCGATTGGAGATGGAGCCTTTTGTCCACACGTACCAAGGCAGCATACTCGAGAAGAATCTCCCCGGATTGAAGGACTGCCTCATCCTACTAAAACCGACCGACCTGCAGAAGGAGCTGCTCGGGGAGATATCTCGATCTGAAAATTTTCTCGGTCAGGATCACCTGACATCCCTCATCTCGGTCCACCCGTCGCTGGTTGCCAGAAGAAGAAAATTCTCGAATCACAAGAGGATGCTGGAGGGGCTCGAGTCCGACCCGGATGCTGGAGTGAAGGCACGTTTTCTGATTAAGCTGATCCAGCTGTCGGGTCAGGTGGGCGAGAAGGTTCTGGTTTTCAGCCAGTTCATTCCCCCACTTCGCCACATCATGAGCCTTGTGACACGTCATTTATCCTGGGCCGAGGGGCGGGAGGTGATGTACTTGGACGGGGATATAAAGATGAACGAGCGGCAGAGGGTGATCGACTCGTTCAACGACGAAAGAGGAAGGGCTAAGGTGATGTTGGCTTCGAGGGGAGCGTGCTCGGAAGGAATAAACCTGGTGGGGGCTTCGAGGGTGGTGCTGCTCGATGTAGTGTGGAACCCATCCGTGGAGAGGCAGGCCATATGCCGAGCCTACAGGCTGGGCCAAGAGAAGGTGGTTCATGTGTACCGCCTGCTCATTCAGGAGGAGGTGAACAAGTACGCGAGGCAGCTGGAGAAAGACCGAGTGTCGCAGCTTTTGTTTAGTGCGCCCAAAACGTCAAGGACCACCACAAATGAGGCCGCTTTTGTTGAGGAAGATAAACTGCTGGGGGCCATGGTTAGGCACAAGAGTCTTGGCAGTATATTCCACAGGATTATTCCCCAGCCTAAGGATTCGGATTTCACTCTTACTTTACTCCAATCTTTAACTAACTCTGCTACCTCATGATCAACTCTGCAACACCCACAACATTTTTTTTTTTTCCTTTTTCAGTTTTTCATTCTTAGCAGAGTGATGAGATAGTACAAGATACAAAAGACTATAGAATCAGAATGGATAGACTCTTCCAGTCCAGCTTTTACTTCATTTGCTGTGCTTCTACAATTCAGGATCCAATCTATTATTGAGCATATAATCATAAAGGCAATATTAATCACGATATAACAATAGTAATAGTAAAAACAAGAGATGCTAAAGAGTAGATTTGGGGACAAATGGACAACAAGGTGTAAATAGTTTCAAATTTCAAATATGGCAGCGATATCACCTTTCGGTTGATCATGCGAACACACACTGTGCATTGAACGCAAATGTGCATGTAACTATTCATCTATGCATTTTTCTTTTTTCACCACATAGCAAATGAGATAATAAAATATTTTTATTAAATTTGAGTGGAATAAAAATAAATTACAAATTAAAGAACAATACAATATCAATGTTATAGTGAAATTAGAAATAAATACTCACCAACAAATTAAAATAAATAAATAAATAGCTTCTCTCTTCGGTTCACTTTATAAACAATTGAGAGACATAATTGTAATTTCGAAAAATAATATCATGGTAAAATAAATGAGTTCGCCTAAAATCAACCAACCAGTGGATCAATCTTCAATAAATTATAAAAAGAATAAAAATATAAATATTTTCTTAATAAAGGATCTTAATTGTATTTTTCATTTTGTATAATATTTAAATATAAAAAGTACTAAAAATGAAAAAAAAAAATGAGGACCCAATTGCTTTGGGGCCCTAGGCAATGACATTTGGCAACTTGCCTAAGAGCCGGCCCTGCTTTCAACGGTAATACGGCGAATATAAACTAGTTTATTTTTACAACCACGGTGATGAAAACATTGTAAAAGACTTACAACTAGTGAATGTCAGCATAGGGTGTAAACGAGCGGGCCGAGATGAGGTTGAGCTCATGTTGTTCGAGCTTGAGTTACTTAACGAGCTTATAATCGAGCTCGATTAACGAGTAAAAGACAAGCTTTAACGAGTCGAATTATAGAAAAATATATAAAATCATCTTTTCGAGCCTTATCGATTCGAGCTGAGCTAGACTCGTTAACTGAACAAGTTTTTCAAATGAGCTCAAGCTAGACTCGTTTATTAAACAAGACTCCATTGTGGTAATACTAGGAGTATACACAACTCCGTTTAAGACTTATGTACACTAATATATATATATATATATAAAGTTTGATAATTAAAAATAAATAATGATGTAATTAAAATATCGTGTCAATAATGCTAATGAAAGTTGATATGAAATGAAAGACTCCAATTTGCGCTTACACACTCAAAGTGCCATTTAAAAAGAGAGAGGGCGGAAAATGTCGTCTGGGTAGCCACCAAACGGCAACCTCGACCCAACCGCTCTTACCAATTTTCTCCCAAATATAATCCTCAACTTCTTTCCCGATTCTTTGCTCCAAAACCCCTAAAACCTTAGCTTCATATTCAATTCCCATGGATACCTTAGGTTCACTACCAATTTCAAATGCCCTTCCTCTTTTCTTCACATTTTATTTCATTCTCTACCTCATTGCCTATTTCATCATCTTCCGCTCCTGGGCCCGAAACCTCCGGCCTGAAGCTTCGAGCTGCGCCATATCCCTAGCTCACGGCACCCCCGCCGTGTTCTTGGCCTGCGGAGCAATCCTCTCCGACCCGACCCGCGATTTCCACTCCCCCAACAGCTCCCTCCAGAACCTTGTCCTCGATTACAGCATTGCCTACTTCCTCATGGACCTTGTCCATTACCTAACCTTCTACCCGACCGACCTCCTCTTCATCGCCCACCATCTGGCCACCCTGTTCGTGTTCGTCACCTGCCGCTATTTGGTTTACCACGGGGCTTTTCCGATACTCGTGCTCCTCATTTTGGCAGAGGCCACGAGCTTGTGCCAGAATGTGTGGACTCTGGCTCGTGCGAGGAGACCGGATTTCAAAGTTGCTGCCAAGGTGTATTATCTTTTGTCCCCTCCGTTTTATGTTCTCTACTCTCTTGTCAGGGGCTTTCTTGGTCCTTGTTTTGTTTACCGGATGTTTGCGTTTTACCTGAGCGGGGCTGTTGATAGCGTGATACCGAGATGGGTTTGGGTTTCTTGGGTTTTTGTGGTTGTGACCGCGATTTCAGTTAGCATATTGTGGATTTCGAATCTCTGGATTGAGTTCTTTAGAGAAAGGGAGATGGGAGTTGGAAAGAAAGAAAGGTAGAAAAAACGAAAAGAAAGAAATGTTATATTTGAAATGACAAAGGCACCATCTTTATAAATATATATATGAATGCAGTCATTTTTGTTGTATTGTTGCAATTAGAATATGGTGTTGCAGTGTTCTTAACTCTGTGGGATGATCATTTTAGAGTTTTGGAAACTTTAAGCTTTTACGGGTGAATTGTACTGGAAGTGCTTCTCTTGTTGTTTCTGTATGATGGCTATTTTGCTATGAAACATAGAGTGTTGTTTGTGTACGACACTATCCACATTCATCTACACATACTTGTTTGAAGCAGGAGAATTAATTAGGAATGTCCAATCACACTTGAGACTACCAAAATGTTTAAGGAGGTGAGGACTAATCCCCAGCTGGACAAGATCCTAAACATAAGTTTAACAGCAAGAAAAATACACGCGATTTCAATCATTAAGGTCAAAGGATCCAACTCACATTGTACAAAAGCTATTGCAATAACTCCAAACCTCTCGATCAAGCTGCCGACAAAACAGATCGCTCGTAAATATCATACGGCTGCAGGTTGCTGGTGGGTACCTCAACATGTTGTGTCGGACCACCAAAGCAGAGGTACTGGTTCATCAACTTCTTGTGGTTTTTAGCCCCACAATATATATCATCGCTCACAACACTAGTCGAGCACGAAGCCTTTACAATCTCATTTTCATGCTGACCTCCCCCCTTTTGAGTATCCACTGAACTCAGAGAAGACATTGACAGTTTCGAGAAGGAGCTCGACCTCGACCTGTGGTGCCCCGCGAAACTTGGAATGGCCTGCATCACGCCGTGCATAACTCCCGAGGCCAGTTTCTTCTTTGCCGCCGGACTCGGCACATTGCTCCTCACAGAGAGCGTCCGCTTGTTGTTCGAAAACCTCTCACGCAAGGGCACAGGCGCCTTCTCTGGACACGTCTCGTCCACCAATTTCTTGAGCCTCTCGGTGACTGTCCCCTTCCTCATCCTCGGCCAGTGGAGAAACCGTTTTAGCCTTTCAGTCGCACTATTTGCTTTGCGCGGAAGATTACTACTACTGCTACTGCCATGGTTGTTCGTCTCCACATTTGAGTCGTGATGACTAATAACTTGAGGAGAGGAATTTCCAGGCCCCACGCCGTCAGACGCATTGTCCATGCCCGTGTAAAGGAATATCTCGATGTCGCTTATTCTGAAGGAAGTCCCAGGACTGCCTCCTATGCTCTGCCTCTTTATGTGGGACGCGATTGCCCTCCTGGTTGAGTAGTCCTGGCAGCTAAAAATCCCGCCGGCTGACATCAGCTGCCTCGTCAGCAGGTCGGAAGACGAGGAGTGGGGTAGCTGCCGGAGGGCGTCGAGAGGGGTCATGCCGCTGGAGTCGCGGATATTGACGTCGATGCCTGGGGCAGTCATGAGAAGCTCGACCAGGTCGGAGTGAATGTTGCCAGTGATGGCAAGGTGGAGGGCCGTCCTGCCGTTGCCATCCCTGGCGTTGATGATCTGGCCTATGTCGAAAAGTTGGCTGCCAAGCAGGTGCTTGAGGAGATTGATTTGGCGGTCGACTCGCCGGAAACCAGGAGTTTGGAAGCCGGAGACGACAGTGTGGAGGAAGGTTTGGCCGGCGTTGTTTGTAGCGTTGATGGAGGAAGGGGATGAAAGGATGAGGGCTTGGACCACGGGCAGGTGGCCTCTGTGGGCGGCCACGTGCAGGGCGGTGTTACCTTGGTTGTCTGTCGACTTGATTATGTCAGGGGAGGAGGATGTCAGATCTTTTACCACCTGGGATTTTAAGAAGAACAGATAAAACTAGGATGGTAATATGAGTGGAGAAAAGGGTTGCAAGAGGGGACCATTTTCTTTGTTTTGGGCCTTTTGAGGTTAAATAACCATATTTTGGTTTGGGAAAAGCAGAATCCGAAAGCTGATTTTTCTTTTCCTTAGAAGTTAAGGATGAGCAAGGGATGGTCTGTAATTTCTTTCACTAGGCCATGACTTGGGACATTTTAAGAAGAGAAAACATCAATCAATTAACTGAATCAATCACTATTTATCCAAATAACACACCCCTACATAATAGCTAATACACCACCCAGAGATAAAAACAAGCACAGAGCAGAATCAATGAATGAAAATCCATAATCATCATCACACAACCACCACACAAAATCTCATTCCAAGAAAATAGAGCAAAAAAATATTCTGGATTTCTCACCTCAACCTGACCACGAGCAGCCGCCGCGTGCAAAACCGTGGCCCCCTGATTATCCCTATATGCCAACACATCATCCGAGCAATCACTGAGAAGCTCCTTCAACAGCCTCAAATTACCCCCTCTGGCCGCCGCATGGAGCGCCCTATTCATAATCTCCAGCTTATAACCCGATGGCACCTCCCCCCCACCTTGCTGCGAGAACCTAGGTGAAGCTGCATAATCGAAAACAAGCCTAAACACCTCTGAGTTCTTGCTCCTGGCAGCAGCATACAGAATATCAGTCACTCCATACTCCCCCTCCCCGAAAACAAGAAGCGGGTCCCTATCCACCAACTCCCGAACAAAAGCCGAGTCACCGGCAGATGCGGCCGTGTACAGAAGCCACCCACCGTATCCGCAACCGAAAAGGGAATTCCGACTTTTCTTCATTTCGCTCTCGGCCAACAGCTTCCTTGCGACCTCCGAGCGACACCTGGCCACGTCGTGGAACTGCTCGTCATCATCCCACACGGTTTCCAGCCGTCGGATCCTACGGAGGGAAGTCAGCTTGATGATATGGTTACCGTCGATGAGCAGAAGCTCCCGTACCAAGTCGTAGTGTCCATTAGCAGCTGCCCAATCGATCGGTGTTGCGTACCACCACTGGTCTCCGGTGCTTTCCCACCTCAGAGGGAAGTATGTTGGGGGTGCCATAATTTTTATTCCTTCTTTTCTCTTCTTTTCAAGAGAAAAATCAAACTAAAAATGTTCCTTGGTCAAGTCTTCAGACGAATAGTTTTGGAACAAGTAAAAGGGCACAACTTTTTATGTTCTCCAACACAAAACGCAAGCTCTCTGTGCAAAAGAATAATAAAGCAAGAATATGACAATCAGATTTTTTGTTCGAAGCGAAAAGAGAACAACTTTTGCAACAAGACAATATTAAAAAGGATGAGGAAGAAAGAAAAACAAATGCAAAACCACTCAGAGGTTCAATCTTGTAATAAGGTATAAAAGTTGGTTAAGAGCAAAGATGCACCTCATCTCTTCAGGGAATAGAACAGAATAATGAGGCAGACCCTACCAACTTTTAACAATAGCCATAAAACTGTAGATAAGCGGAGATTGCGAGACAAGGTAAAAGGGGAACCATGTTAATGGGAGAAATAATTATTACAGGAGTTACAAATGTCTCAGTAGTGCTCTAAATCATAACTTAAACAACAACAGTTGAACAGCCTGGATTAAAAACAAATAAAATCATCAGATTTCTGAAAAAGCAGGAGAGGAATTAGAGAAAAAACACATGCCACCATGATATTGTGAACATTCATAATTGGCAGCTACACCAATTGAGGAAGAAAGATTAAGGACAAAAGCCATCATCTTTCTCACTTACAGAAGATAATCGCATACCTCGCAAATGGAATGATAACTGACTGGAAAAAATAAAGAGCATAATAATCCCTTTGGTGGAGTACAAATTAGCAAAATATGTCCAAATAACAGCTATAACTGGCAAAATAAGAAAAAAATCGAACCATAAAGTACATTTATGGACAATATCTCGTGAAGACGTGTTTTCCTCTTATGCTCGTTGAAATCCAGCGGATTTTGCCTATCTTAATTCTACAGATGTGACAATCCAACTCAAAAACAAGAAATATGAAGGAGCGAAAAAATCAAGAAAAAGAAAAATCAGGAGTCAGCTTTCTATTCTACCATATTGGGATCGCATACAATTAAAGACCTAATCGACTATTCTAATAACTTTATGGAATCGTGACAAAGATAGAGAGATTATTTTTATTGTAATTGGCGGGTAGCTTAGCTTGTCCAAGTTGGTGACCGCCCCACCTAATGTTCCTTTCCATTTCAACCTTTAATAATCCAATTTTCATTGTATCTGGGTTGCAATTTAATTTCAATATTAGAACTACGAGTTTTGATTTTCCAAATCAAATTACGCAATTAACAGCGAGTCACGGTGAGTTTGCCTCGTGTTTTGATTTGCAAAATCCAAAAATTCATACACTCTATTTATTTTTAAAATTTAAAGGTTAATTACATATAAAGCACTCTTCTTTAATATTGTGTCCACGGACAAGAATAGAATCGAATTTGCGTCTTCAACAGAACTAGTTTAATTTCCGGTGTCAAATAAATTATGTACATGGGCTCCTTACTATAATTATATTATATGTACAAAATTGAAGGAGATGGCATGTGAAAAGCAGCTTTAGCTTTTTCAAGTGCAGAAATAAAGTTGATAATAGAAGAGGAAAGACAATACAGTTGCTTTTTTGCCAAATCCAACAATAATTGCATGTGATTTCAAAATCCCTTTATATCCATCACTTTCTTCATTCTTTCCTTTCACTAAACCACCCGCATGTGATTTAGCCCGGAGAGATTTCGTTACAATATATAAGAAAAATATTTTGAATACATTTAATATATATTATCATATCAACAGATGAATATATATACTAACTCGTGTATCTTTTGGGCTAGGTGTATCTTTTATGTTGTTTGTGATAAGTGGATCACCAGATGTTTTTAGACTTTGTTCTTTTTTGGAGTACATTTAAAAAAAAAAAACAAAGATGAATATAGTAACTCGTGTCAATCAACAAACCAAGCAAAGGCGAATGACATTAACAATATAAAAACAACATGCAATGGTTTTTCATTGGCGAAAAAAATCAATCCACGCTTAATTGAAAGTTGAGATCCAAATCCAAAATATATATAATAAACGTAAAACAAGTGGCTATTAAAAGGGCTCGTCCATATAAAGACCATTAAATAGTAGGAGAATATGGCGTAGCCCCACAAGGAAAGATGTATCCATATGTACAGAAAGATGATAATCTTTACGAGAGCCCCACCGTTTGGGTTGGCCCGGAAGGTGGCACACAACTCTAATCAACACCTTAATCATCAAACATTTGGCAACAAAATCAGCACCAATAAGTCCTCAATGCTAAAAGTTAAATCCCATTCTTAAAAAAAATGCTAAACCATAAGAATAACAAGACAGTCACAGTATGCTACATAAACTCATGGATTCTTGATTGTAATAGTCGAGAAGAGGATTGCGCCTAGATTCTTCATAGTATGTGTTGGTGGAATATACGTTATTCCCCATCATCATTGGGTAGCCACTGGGTGTCTCATGCCACATGCCTTGGGGCAACGATCTTCTATAGCCATAGGGTTCGGCTGTTCTATAATTGTACATAATACGGCCATCACTATAGTTACGATTGTAATCACGATAGTGATATGAGGAGTCCTTTTGCATCTTCGGGTGGCTCAGGTTTGCCCATACGAGTTCTGCGTGCATTCCGCATCTTGTTAAGGCTTTGAGGCAGTAATTTGGATTCACCTGCCCCATGATCTTTACTGTTTTACTTTGTGCATCCATTGCCACATCGTACACCCCTTCAACAAATGAAATTCAAAACCCATTTGAGTAATTAAAAAAACAAAACAGTTACAAAATTTGCTTAATTGGTCATTTGTACTTGTACCTTCAATGCATCTTAGTATTTCGAACATGTGGCCCTTGCACGCGCCACATTGAGCGTCGAATTTCAAAACACAACACTGCATCAAATATACACACATCACACATGAATCGCATTTATCAAAATCAAAGAAGACTTTCAAAATTTTCAAAGTAAAAAGAGGAATTTTCAATACCAAATTCGCAGGACTATAATCCATCAATATTCCAGGTAACTGCACACAAGTATAGATTTTAATTCAAAATATATGTTTGATCAGAATATATGAACAATCGTAAATCATAATAAATCACAAGTGTTGTGTTACATTATGATAAAATGGTAATGAGAATGAGATGAAGGCCTCTGGACAAACAATAGTATACTAGAACAGGCAATCAAGTTTTAGGCTCTTATAAGATGCGAAGTAAAGAAGCCTTGAATAAAAAAAATTTACATGAAAATGAGGATAAATTAATTGGTATTCGTTCACCTCAATATATTGAAGTAGGTTATTTTATCCCAATTCAAAATGGGACGAGATTCTATGTTCCAAATAAATAAGTTGGTGATCGTTTACGGCAATATATTTAAAGTAAGTTATTTTAGTTGTGTTGTTGATTAGTTGATTAGCTGATAAGCTATATCATCTCTTTAAAGTAAGTTATTTTAGTTGTGTTGTTGATTAGCTGATTAGCTGATAAGCTATAAACTAGATGATAGCTTATAGTTGATAAGTTAGTTAATGTTTATTAAAGATGTTTGACAAAAATAGCTGATAAACTAGTTAAAAATTATAATTACTTAAAATTGAAAAGTATATAGTTAGATTAATAATATTTATAAAAAAATTATTCAATTGAATAGTATTATTAATTATTATTATTTTTCGAATCCTATAAATCTAACTGTCGGAACGGCAGATCCTGTGCTCACCGGGCTTGGACTGCTACCGTTGACTGAAAAGAGAAAGCATTGGCCCAACGACTGACTGATTGGCTCGAGACCGACCGCCACCTATCTTTATCTTGAGTGAGATTGTAAGCAACTGGGTCTATTTTCATTCATGCTTAGAAAGCGCTTTCATATGCCTTTCACCTCTAAGTCGTTTTCCAATGCCGCCTATCACCTATCCTTATTTCAAATGTCGTGGTTCGCTATCCTAGATCAACTCCGTCGATCCTTAATCCATCTCAGCCAAAGGCTAGAAATAGGCTCAATCGAGTACTAAAAACTTGATCTCTATTTTCCATTGATTATNAAGATAAACATAGAATACTAATTAATAATAGCTTATAAGCTAGTTAAAAAATAGAATTACTTAAAATTTAAAAATACATGTTTAGCTTAATAATACTTATAAAAAAATATTAATATGTGTTGGAAAAAATACGCTGAATTTTCCATGAAGTCGGATCTATAAAAGTGAAATAAAAAATAAAAATTGGACACACCAAATTGATAACGGAGTTCGGCCAATAATGCCTACGTCTCCGGACTACTGCAGATATTTTATTGGAAAAAAAAAAATACACTCGTGTTTACAAAACACTCTCGAAACCACTCACAACTCACAACTCAAATACACGCAGAAGCTAAATTCTTGCTTTCTGCTCCCTTTCTTTTTCTCTCTTTCTCTCTGTATTTGGTTCTTTTCGTTGTGTGTTGTTCTCTGCCATTTTGCTCCTCTATTTATAGCCAAGGAACACATCAATTTGTTCACAAATTGATCACGTTTAGCAACAAAAGTAAAGGCATTCACACCTTCAGCTATTTTTCTACAAAGGCAGCATTTGTATTAAATGCTCACGTTCAACATTGGTTGTCAAAAGGCTGCCATTCTTTGTCTTCTTTTGCTGCTTCAAAGAACATGGCTTGCAGCCATTTTTGACCCAACAATCTCCCACTTGAGGACTGATTTCAATCTGTCCTCACACCTCAATTACTGCAGTAGTCTTCTCAGGTCTGTTATCCTAGCAGGCCAACTGAAGTTGAGCACAACTTCAGTTTGTCAATGGTCACCACCTTCGTTAGCATATCTGCCGGGTTTTAGCTTCCTACAATCTTCTTCAAAGTCAACACTTCATCCTCGAGAAGAGATCTGATGAAATGATATCGTATGTCAATGTGTTTAGTTCTGGAGTGAAACACCGAGTTCTTTGCCACTGTGCAAGACACTCTCTTTTTGAGTGAAACCCAACTCTGCTAACAATCCTTGAAGCCATATCAATTCTTTGCTGGCTTCTGTCACTGCTACATACTCAGCCTCTGTAGTGGATAGAGCAACAATCTTTTGTATCCGCGACATCCAACTAACAGCTGTAGCTCCGACAGTGAAAACATACAGACATTTTTCTGTTGTGCCCCGTAGATATCTCAAAATCCATTTGACTGCTTCCCAATGAGCATTTCCTGGTTTTGACATAAACCTGCTCACAACTCCCACTGCATGGCCAATGTCTAGCCTCGTACAGACCATCGCGTACATCAAACTTCCAATGGCTGAAGCATAAGGAATCTTAGCCATGAACTCTTCTTCTTCTTTTGTTTGAGGAGACTGGTCCTTGGATAGACGAAAATGGCTGGCCAAAGGTGTACTGATTGGCTTAGCCTTGTCCATGTTAAATCTCTGCAAAACACGGTTGATGTACTCCGCCTGAGATAACTGCAAAACTCCCTTTTGCTTATCTCTCGTGATTTGCATTCCAAGAATCTTCTTTGCTGGCTTAAGTCCTTCATGTCAAATTCTTTTGACAACTGCATCTTTAATTTTCTGATGTCTTTCATATCTGATCCTGCTATTAACATGTCATCGACATAAAGTAGCAAGATGATATAGCTGGACTCATACTTCTTAAAGAAACAACAGTGATCAGCATTGCACTTTTGGAAACCTTCCTTGTGCATGAAGCTTTCAAACTTCCTATACCACTGTCTTGGAACTTGTTTCAGGCCGTACAAGCTCTTCTTCAATTTACACACCATATCCTTCTTTCCATCTGAAAATCCTTCAGGCTGGTGTATACAGGAGTTGGAGTAGGAGGTTCTGATTGCAAATCACTTTCTTCATTTGATTTCTCTGACTGAGGACTCCTCATTATAGGACTGTCTGGGATATCTTCCAGCTCAGTATAAACTGGCCCACTCGCTTCTGAGCTGCTGGCACCTGTATTATGCCGGTCCTTGTACATCACTCTTTCATTAAAGATGACATCTCTGCTGCGGATCATCTTTTTGTTTTCATCATCCCATATGCGGTAACCAAACTCATCTTCACCATATCCAAGAAAAGTACATTTCTTTGATTTTGGATCAAGTTTGTTTCTACCTTGATCACTGATGTGCACATACGCTACACACCCGAAAACTCTAAGATGTGAGAGTTTTACTTCTTTTCTGCTTCATACCTCTTCTGGTAACTTGTGATCTAATGGTACCGATGGACTTTGGTTGATCAAGTAAGTTGCTGTGTTGACTGCTTCTGCCCAGAACTGCTTTGGTAGGCCTGACTGCACACGCAAGCTTCTGGCTCTTTCAGTCAACGTTCGATTCATACTCTCAGCTACACCATTGTGTTGAGGCGTACCAGACACGGTTCTCTCCATTCTGATCCCGTGCTCATAGCAAAACTTCTTGAATCTGGTGGTTACATATTCACCACCATTGTCGGATCTGAGCTTCTTGATCTTCAAGCCTGTCTCATTTTCCACCATAGCTTTCCAAATCTTGAAAGCTTCAAATACTTCTGACTTGTGTTTCAGAAAGTAAACCCATACCTTTCTGGAGTGATCATCGATAAAAGTCACAAAGTATTGCTTCCCACCAACGGATGGGACAGTCGTTGGACCCCAAACATCAGAGTGGATGAGCTCAAGCTTCTCCTCCTTTGGAGTTCTTCTACTTGTCTGAAAGCTGACTCTCTTCTGCTTTCCAAGTATACAGCCTTCACACATGTCAATTTCTATTGACTGGAGGCCTGGTAATTTTCCTTTTGAGTGAATGATTTTCATCCCTTTTTCACTCATATGTCCAAGTCTTTGGTGCCATAGATTGGGATTTTTATTTGCTGCAACTGCAATCAGATGACATGCTCATGTGGTCTTGTAAAGAGTACCACTCTTTTTGCCTCGAGCAATTGTCATCGCACCCTTTGAAATCTTCCAATCGTCACCATGGAAGATTGTCGTGTAGCCTTCACTGGCTAGCTGGCCCACTGAGATTAAATTTTTCGTCAAGTCGGGAATATGTCTAACATTTTTCAATTCCCATACAGACCCGCTCAGTTTGATTTTTATTGCACCTTTATCTACAACCTCACATGATTGCTCATTACCAAGGTAAACTTTACCAAGATTTCCCGAAACATAATTCTCGAATAGTTCCTTCTGTGAGGTAGCATGAAAGGATGCTCCAGAGTCTAACACCCAAGACTCTTCCTTGTTCTCTAAAGAACATATCAGCGAATATCCTCCAGAAGATGAGGCAACATTTGTCTCTTCTTTTGCCTCCTGACCCTTCGGTGCACTCTTGCACTGGTTTCTGTAGTGCCCAGTCTTCCCACAATTCCAGCACTCGATCGACTTCGACGTTTGGGAACTACGATGATTTCTGGACTTGGATCTTCTTCCTTTTGATTTGTTGTGTCTGCTTTCTTTGGTTGAACTTCTTCCTCTTGATTCTGTATTCAATACAGAAGAGGTTGATGGTTCACCCGACTCTCTCCGTCGGATCTCTTCACTGAGAACCAAATTTTGGACATCATCAAATCTCAACTTATTACTTCCCGATGAGCTACTCACAGCCGTGACTGTAGCATTCCAACTTTCTGGTAGGGAAGACAAAAGTATTAAAGCCCGTACTTCATCATCGAACTCGATCTCAACTGAACTCAACTGGATTGTGACGGTGTTGAGCTCATTGAGATGATGTGCCACCGAAGCACCTTCGGTCATCCGAAGGTTGAACAATCGCCTCATCAAATGAACTTTATTTGAGGCCGATGGTTTCTCGTACATGTTGGAAAGAGCCTTCATGAGGCCTGCTGTCGTCTTTTCTTTTGCAATGTTAAAAGCAACATTACGGGATAACGTCAGCCGGATGGCTCCAAGAGCTTGTCTGTCAAGGAGACTCCATTCTTCCTCCTTCATGTCCTCTGACTTCTTTCCTGTGAGTGGTTGATACAAATTCTTCTGGTACAGATAATCCTCGATCTGCATCTTCCAAAAGCCAAAGTCCGCACCGTCGAACTTTTCGATTTTCATTTTTCCTTCGTCTGCAGCCATCACTTCGACTCTGATCTGACTTCTCTGCCGGATCGTTTCTGCAATTTTGTGAACTACCGTGTTTCAAAACACGTCGGTAGATAAATTGTAGAGCAGACAAAATTGGTACTATTCACGTTTTTCAACGGAATAGTAACACCACACAAAACATACAGAATTAACAATCTGGCTCTGATACCAGTTGTTGGGAAAAATACGCTGAATTTTCCATGAAGTCGGATCTATAAAAGTGAAATAAAAAATAAAAATTGGACACACCAAATTGATAACGGAGTTCGGCCAATAATGCCTACGTCTCCGGACTACTGCAGATATTTTATTGGGAAAAAGGAAATACACTCGTGTTTACAAAACACTCTCGAAACCACTCACAACTCACAACTCAAATACACACAGAAGCTAAATTCTTGCTTTCTGCTCCCTTTCTTTTTCTCTCTTTCTCTCTGTATTTGGTTCTTTTCGTTGTGTGTTGTTCTCTGCCATTTTGCTCCTCTATTTATAGCCAAGGAACACATCAATTTGTTCACAAATTGATCACGTTTAGCAGCAAAAATAAAGGCATTCACACCTTTAGCTATTTTTCTACAAAGGCAGCATTTGTATTAAATGCTCACGTTCAACATTGGTTGTCAAAAGGCTGCCATTCTTTGTCTTCTTTTGCTGCTTCAAAGAACATGGCTTGCAGCCATTTTTTACTCAACAATATGATCATTATTATTTTCATTGATTATAAAATAATAAACACACAAATTTCAATTACAAAAAAAAAAAAAGAAAAACAAAACTAACTAAAATTGTTAACCCCATATCTATTGAACAAGAATCATGTTCTTAATTTCTTATCAGCAAAAATATCCATGAAAAAACTATAAGCATGTGCTGTGCAAAAAGGCTCAAATAATCAGAAACAAAAGGTTCAAGTAATCAATTGAGGATAAATTCATAAAATTCAACTAGTAAAAAATCAAAATAGAGCACAAATCAACAAAAACCAACCAACCACACCAACAAGCAGAGTTTATCTAATTCCAACTATCATGAAATCCTCCTCCGAAGAACCCATCAGGAAGAAAAAGAGTTCCAATTTATGAAATCCAATAGATTTCGCACAACAAACAGTTAAAATACATAAATTAAAGAAAAGAAATTGTTGTAAAAATCACCTCTCTTCTTTTGTAGATGATGACTGTCGACAAAGAGTGGGGGGTGCGTGAGATCTTGTGTTCGAGAAAAGTTTGCGGGCGATGAAAATTGCGCGAATAACTTGTGTGGGAGAGAGGTCCTAAACAGAGAATTTGGGAATGAAAAAAAAAATTCATATAAATTATAATATTATGGAAAGAAATAATATTAAAAGCAAGAATATTATTTCTGGTGAGATTCTATGTTAAAATGATGTACGATATTCTGGTGATTATAAATTAAAAGCAAAACAAAGAAGATCTCGATGTATGTAGGGANACTCAAAATTTGGTAATTAATATTAAATATTAATCAGAGTATATCTCAAATTTAAGAATTTAGATCTGTAAAGTTAGTAGGGCTACGGAAGATGAGTTGCAGTCTAACAGCATTAAGATCGGATACATAACACGACGCAGAGCCCTGTGTGATTTGAAGAGGTTAAACTGACGGATTTTACCTATAAAAAAAAGATCGGATACATAACATAGGGCTACCAAGTGAAAGATTGTATCAGTTGCCATGGCTTTGTGCGGTCGCTTAGTTGCTGGGTTTCGTCCTCCGAATAGTTTACAGTTGGTACGATGTCATCAAAACCGAATATTGATGAAAAGTAGAGTTTTTGGTGGGCTGAAGGTGAGCAGATCAAAGTCAACGATAAGTTGCTCCTCCTCTTCCACGTCCCCTTGGCTGATGCTCCCACCGGTTCCGAAAGATAACAACAACAAGAAGTTGGATAGGGTTTACCAGTTTTACAGCCTTGGCGAGGACAGAGTATTAAGTGTCCCCAAGCGACCCACATCACCATCAGAGGGTCCGAACGATGATGCCAAGATTGTGGGATCCTCACACGGTTGGCTTGCCCTGTTTCACGAGCACAACTGCGACTTATTCCTCTACAATCCTCTCACTGGCCGCCACTTTAAGCTCCCACCCATCAGCACTCTTCCCCACATCCCCGACCCTAATTTGAAAAAGGGCCGCGGCTGCGTGACCAGCGTCGTCGTCTCCAGCTCATCCTGCGACCACGAATGGCGAGCTGTAATCACATACGGTCCGGAGCAGAGACTGGGCTTCTGCTGCCCCGCCCAAACCCCAACCCCAACCGAGTGGACCCCACTCGGTGACAATTATCAGCACGAATCCCTTGCCTATTCCACCCGGCGGAACCTCTTCTTCTCTGCCCCAAGACATGAGGACTATCTCGAGGCATGGAATCTCTCTTCTTCTTCTTCGCCAACCATGACTCAGCTACCCATGTCTGCCAGCGACCCAGATAACTACCCTTTGGCCGCCCGCTCACGGTTGGAGTTGGATCTCAAAGTCCTGTGCGAAGACTACAAGTTCATTGTCGTGGCCGAGCAGTCGGACGAGCTTTTCCATGTCCGCCGCTTTGTGTTGCCGTGGATGGGCCCCGACGGAACTCTAGTGGATGAGGTCTGGTACAGCGGTAGATTCCCAGAAGATAGCATACCCTACAAGACAGTTGGGTTTGACGTCCACAAGTACCACCCGCATACCGGCTCGTTGAGCTACATGGATCGCACCCTCGATGGACTGGCCTTCTTCATTGGCCCCAACGACGGTTTTGCTCTCCAGGCGGCTCATTATCCCGGGCTCAAGCCCGACTCCATCTACTACACTGATACCAGGTGCATGCCCGACTGGTCCGACCAACCATATGGAGGCCACGATGTGGGCATCTTCAGCTATCGAGATGAGACTATCTGGCCCTGCTATTATTCATGTGATATGAGCAAAGCAATGAAGATTGTGCCCGCACCTAAGTGGTTCACGCCCACCAATCCTGTTTAAGCTTAATTATGTTTTCATTTTGTTGATGGTACTTGGAGTAGTCGATAGGTTTTAAGGACATCATGTTTCCCTAGTTATTCTTCTCTTCTGAGTCTGCTAAAGAGATTTTTTTTTTTTTTTGTTGAACTTTTTTTTAATTTTCATTACTAGTCTTGCTAAACTTAATGTTTGTGATGCAAGTATGCTTTTCCTTATTTCCGGATGCTCTTTCGTACAAAGATTGTGTTTCAGGGGCTTTGTTCTGGTGGTGCTCCGACAGGAGAGGCTATAGATTTCGCAGATATCTTCCCGAATATTCCTCGTTCGTTATGCTGGCTGATGGCCTCATTGCTTTGAACATGGAGAAGACTTTGGTGAAGCTTGTGGATAAGGTTATGGTGAAGGCGGAGTTTTTGGATAGGGAGGCTATGGTTATGGTTTTTCTTAGGATTCGTAACTTCACCGCCGGGTTGGCTGCTTTTGGCCGGATTTTGGATAGCCGGAGAACTAGAAAAAGGTTATTTGGTGATCATGAAAATTGGTTTCTGGAGTTCTCGTAAACCAGTTGATTTCTGTGTACTTGTTTCTTAAGTTGAAGTAATTTTTAAAAGTCTTGGAATTATCATATGTTTTCCTTTTCGGCAAATTTGCATGTCACACCATGACCTTATATGTTAAATTTTCTACATATTGTATTTCATTTTTTGTTTTGGGCATGTTCGTCTAATTTTGGTTCAGTTTTCTGGCTCTCTATTTGATCTAGTGATAGCAGGCTATTTCTGGCTATATCCCTTATATTCGTTGATCTGTATAATTTTCTCCTGGGTTGAGTTCCTGATTGTTATATCACCAATCTTCTCGAGTTTGCTTGTTAACAGCATGAGATTCGCGGACGTGATAGCTATAAACTTTTAACTTTCATCTTCTTTTTTTTTTTTTTTTTTTTTTTTTTTTTTTTTTTTGTGTGTGTGTGTGTGTGTGTCTTTGGGTGATTGCTTGACCTTATCATGAAAAATCATGATGATTTATATTCGTCGTCGACTTGGATTTCGGCTGTTATTGAGGAACAATTGATTCATATTTATTGCTATAGTTTTAGAATTTTATTTGTCTTTTTGTGTTCTTGGAACTGAAGTCAAAGAGGACTTACAGGTTCATTGTGTTCAAGATAGAGCAAAAGCAAAAGCAGGTAATAGTCGAAAAAGTCAGTGAGCCCGCACAAAACTACGAGGACTTCACCGCCTCTCTTCTTGCTGATATGCTGTTTACGACTAAATGATAAGGTAATCATTGATAAGGTATGATTATTGATATAGTCCGGAGCTCAACTTGAGCTCATGGGTAGAGAGGTCGATATAGAGTCAGCCTTTCAGCAAGTAAAGCTCGAGCGAGAATCCTCGAACAACTTGACTATGCTCGAGAAGCAGAGGTATCTTAGGTCGAGTTAATCGACTTAGGGGAAATGCGGAGCTTTCAGAGAAGTACATGAGGAAGTTCTCGAAGGTCGAGTTAGTCGACTTGGGAGATTTTCCTAGATTCAGCATGATTTAAAGAGAGTTTGAGGAAGAACTAAATTATTTAGTATAAATAGTTCTCTATGTATATATAAACTATAGCTTGAGCGTGGCTGTTTACGTAAGAAAGTCAGTAAACTCCTCCCAACACTTTGGTGGGCAAAGGTCCGGGATGGTTGGGGATTTGGCCTGTCCCGGTATCTGTCTTGCTTTTTTGAAATGGTTTGGGACGAGAAACTATCTCAATTTAGTATTTACTATGTATATTGGGTTGGACCGGTTCGTATATTTGTTTGGGGTCAATTTAGTACATCGGGATTATTATTTTAGAAGTGATTAATGGATTACTATAATACCATATATATATTTTTTTGTACTAAGGAATTAAATGGGAAAAACGTTTGGGGTCAATTTAGTACATCGGGATTATTATTTTAGAAGTGATTAATGGATTACTATAATACCATATATATATTTTTTTGTACTAAGGAATTAAATGGGAAAAACGGGACGGTTCGTGACAAAAATTATTTGAAACCGATACCAACATTGTTTATATCGGGACCTCTACAAAAATAAAGAAAATCTTTCCAAACCTTATTTTCAGATGTACAGGAAAATTCGGTTTGTTTTTTTCCCAACCACTAGTACACATTGATAAATTCTAGAAGTGTGAAGATAGACTAAAACTGAAGGCTCACTTATGCAGTTTGGAATCACCATTCAAAGATTCAAAGCATTCTACGGAGCTAATGCCAGAGAAGGAACTCAAGAGTGCCGCAGCTTATTTTAGCCTTACAAGCGTCCACTAGTAAAAACCGGATCAGAAGAGATGCGAGGTGGCTCGGCCTACTTATATCCAGTTTTTGCTTTCTGCTTCTTAGAGTACCTGTCAATAGCCTAGTACATGATTGTTTCTCGATACCTATTTTCCTACATTTGCAAATTTCATATAAATTGAACTACTACATAAACCAAATGTTTGTTTCGAGGGTCTGCTAAAGGGAAGAAATATTCAATTGTGACTGTGGCAAATAATATTATTCTATCTACTCATTTTCCGTCACCAGTTCTTACATGTGCAAGATGACGTGTGACACCAATCTTAAAGTAAACTGGAACAAACTTGTTGATACAGAAAAACTTTGGGATCACCAAAGTATATGTAGAACACTGTCAGATAGGAAGGTAGGTGACATTAATGTAACAAAACTGGAAAGAACTATTTTGGAATATTCAGAAACAATAAAACGAAAAGGAAAAGACATAAATGAATAACAGTATTCAGTTATTATGGCAGAAGAATAATGTAGCAGGTCAGAGGGAATAGGATAGTAGAGCTCATATATGCAAAGCAAATGGCATGCACGCTTTGTATCTTAAATTAGACTTCAACCATTAAGCTAATAACAATCACAGAGAATGTCCTATAATCTTTTCTAGCATGATTCATACAATTACTATATTGACAGATTGACAGTGATAAACCTGAAAATGTATCTAATTTACAAAACCTATCTCCTTAACAAAAGAATGGTGATAATTAGCTAAAACTAAGTTTCATCTACTGAATAGTGCTACTCTTTCTTGTCAATTGCATAAATCATATATGAATAAGCTTGTGGTATAATTTCAGGAAATACAAACTTGCCAAGGATTTGGTTCACAACAGCCTTGTGTTGTACGAACCGCAATACAGGCACTTGTGGTAAAGCTAGGGAAAAGAGGCAGTTCCTCTTTTCACGCAGTCGTTGCATAATATAATCTGCATATCCATTGTACTTACAATTTTGAATAATTTGGAACATAGCTAAAGATCACAAATAATGTTGCGTAGATAGCACATAGTACCTGAGTCTGGCCAGCGTGCTCCTCTGGAGTTTTCTCTTCAGCTAACAAAGCATCCAAGTATCTAACATTCTGAAGTACACCTGAATAGGTGAAAGTTTTATACTTATTTTTCTTTAAGCCATGAGCACATTTATTATACATAGGGGACTAGAGTTGCTAGTACGAACTGGAACAGTAAACAAGGCCTTTCAAATCCAAACTCAATTTTCTTATAGACTTGCATGCATATGTTGGTAATCTTCAACGAGAAACTTCTATAGAAATTTGCTTTCTCCTTATTGGGGAAAGAAGAAAAACGGCACAAAAGTTTCTGATTATTGCCTTTGCAGTTTTAAGGTTACACAGGATACACAAACAAAATGGCTAACAAGACAAGCAAAAGGACATAAATAGTTTTTAACTTGGTAACACAAAACTAAACAGTGTTAACAGCAAAGAATAACTAAAAAGTTGTAGCCGATTTTCCTAATTATAAGTTTTGACATTTTATGAATTATTCAAAGGGCCATCCGCTAATGTTTTGCTCTCATAAAGCTGAACCTAACTTGCTAAAATCACTTCTGTTAAAGCCTGAAAATGTGACATTCGGATTTCATGAACTCTTTTAGCAGTTAATCCTGCTCATTCACCTTTTTTTACACGCATATTACAATATTGAGGTGTTTTTTTTCTTGTGTGAACTCAATTTTATTTTGACCAAAATTATTGACAATTGGATGTGTTACAATAATGCATCCAAGGGCACACATTGGACAGCATATATCTGCCATCCTCATGGTAGTGTAGGGACTAGGGCGGCGTCTTATACAAAAAAATCGACATTCGACATTATACTCAAATAATTCCCCTTCCCCTCCCGTGGTGTTGCCATGGCTTTCTCCATCCGAGCCGCCTTGTGCTCTGCAGCCACCACAACTTCATCCCGGCTGTCTTACAGAAATTTTGCCGGTTCCAAATGGGCTTGCTGGAAGAAACCATCAATCAAATTCCCCCCTCGTAGTAATACTAATACTTGTGGTGTGATGATGAGCACAAGCACCAGCACCAGCACCAGCCGAGTGGACGACGAACCCCAACTCCAGCCGCTGCCACCAACAACCTCTCCCTAGCTGCCCAAACCCTCGCCTTGATGAATACAGTATGGTTTATCAGTTTTACAGCATCGGAGATAAAAGAGTCATCAGCCTCAAAAAAACACCACAACACGACAATAATTGTGTGGTCGTGGGCTCTTCACGTGGCTGGGTGGTCTGGTTCGATAGCGTCAACAACAACCTATTCCTCTCCAATCCCCTCACGCATCGTCACCTCAAATTGCATAATATTCCCAGCAATTCTTCTGATGATACAAGAGGCGGAATAAGCAGCATCATGATCTCCAGCCCCGACCCGGACACTGATCCAGAGTGTCGTGCCGTGATTATCCATGGCCCGCAGAGTAAATTGGCCTTCTGCAGCCCCTGAGTGGAACCCGCTCGGCCAGCGAACCAGTTATGCATCGTGCGTCTACTCAACTTCACAAAAGCTCTTCTTCCTTCTGCTGCTTCACAGATGACCAAAGTGGTACAGATCTGCTGGAGGCTTGGGATCTCCGGGACCCTCCCGCTCTCTCCAAGGATGATCCCGATGGCCGTGTCGGTAGATAAGGACAATTATCCTGTGGCCTCTGGGTCGGAGTCGGAACGTAAACGACTCTGCAAGAGCTACCGGTTCCTTGTTGTAGCCGGACGTGAGGCGGTTTGTGGAGCATACGAACGATGACGACCATACAGCTCCATACACAACGGTCGGTTTCGACGTTCACAAATACGTGCCCGGCTCGAGTACATGGGCAGGCTTTGTTTGTGGGCAGCAGCAATGGGTTTGCTCTCCCGGCTCAAGACTACCCGGACGATCTGGAACGCTGCTGCGTCTACTAGCCACAGTGACAGTGAAAGTTCCATGCAAGTATGTGCAAGCTCCTTAGCACACCAAGGAAGAAGTCCAAAAATGATAGCCTCCACCAACCATCCCCATTCACACACATTTGCCAACAAAGGTGTGCTCAATCTTGCCTATAAATAGGCTTGTTATTTCATTCATTCAAATCATCCAAGAGTGTGATCAATCAACCTTGAGAGTGTTGAAACACAACCAAGAAGAGTTGTGAGAGAGTTTGAGAGTTTTTTGTTTAGAGTTTGTAAATCTCTTGTTTTTATTCTTGTGAGTAATAGAAACTTATTTTTCTCTCAATTATGTTTATGATCTTGGGATGATACCACAACAAGTGGTATCAGAGCTTGGTTTGAAGCTTTCGAGCTTAATTTGAATTTTTCCGAGCTTCTGTAGAAATTTCGAGTTTCTGAGTTGTGCTCGAAATTCGATTCTAAAGACACCGTTAGATTCGTCTCGTCGAGACGGTCACGGCGGTATCTTACGGGCGAAAAACGGACACCGGAACTGAGAGTTATAGCCTTTTGAAGTTTTGAGANTTTATGAACCGGTCCGGGATGAGGCACCATCCCAAATGGACCGGTATTATTCGGGACCGGGACAAAATGAGACAAATATATAAACTAAACCAAAGAGTATTGATTCTATTAAAATTTAAAACAAACAACCAACATATTGATTATATGATTTTGACTAAAAAAAATTAAGTATTCATATAAGCTAAATTACTAAAGAGTATTGATCACATTATAAGGAACTGCCCCCCCCCATTTTCGACTGTTCCGGACGCAACGGTGTTGTCTATTTTTCGAAATACAGCTCCGATTTGTTCCAAACAGATCATTGAAAGTGTAAAATGGCCATGGAAGAGTCAACTTCATCTTCTGGAGCTATGATTATGCTCACGGCTACCAACTATACGCTGTGGAAACCTCGGATGGAGGATTTCCTCAGCTGTAAAGAGCTCTTTGACCCAATAGAGCTGGAGGGAATTAACCCTGATCCGTCCAAGGCGTTAGAATGGAAGAAAATCAATAGAAAAACTATTGGTCAAATCCGACAATGGATAGACCATAGTGTCTTCCATCATGTTGCACAAGAAACCGACGCATATGTCCTTTGGAGGAAGCTGGAGGACATGTACCAGGCCAAGACCGCTCGAAATAAAGCCTTATTGATGAGGCGCTTAGTCAATATGAAGTTGAAAAGTGGAACTTCTGTTGCCGAGCATACCAGTGAGTTCCAGAGCCTGGTAAATAAACTATCTTGTGTGGAGATGCCGCTTGGAGATGAAATGCAATCTCTGCTACTTCTTAGTTCCCTTCCTGATAGCTGGGAAACACTCGTTGTTACTCTCAGCAATTCAGCCTCAAACGGCAAACTTTCTATGTCCGTTGTCAAGGATGCCTTATTCAATGAAGAGGCAAGAAGGAAAGACATGGGCACAGATCAGACCCATGCCCTTGTAATGGAGAATCGAGGAAGACCACAAGGCAAGCTACAAAGAAGCGGTAAAAGGAAGAGCAGGGGTAGAAGCAAGGGGAGGCGATCAGATGATCGGAGATCACATGTGTGCTATCATTGTGGTCTAGAAGGTCATATGAAGAAGAATTGTTATAAATGGCTCGAGGAGCAGGGCAAGAGCAATTCTCAACCGAAGAATCATTCTCAGCAGAAGAGCAAGGGTGGTGAAACTCTCATCACTGTCTCAGGGGAGGTAGCATATTGCTCTACCCATGGTGAGACATGCCTTCATGTTTCACGAGAAGACATGGAATGGGTGGTAGATACTGCAGCATCCTATCACGTTACTCCCAACAAGAAATACTTCACAACATACCAAGCTGGAGACTTTGGATCGGTGAAGATGGGAAATTCCAGTTCCTCTGTTATTGCCGGAATTGGTGATATCCAGGCAACGACAGGAACCAGGAGTACAATCCTATTGAAGGATGTTAGACATGTGCCAGATCTTAGACTGAATCTTTTGTCAGTGGTGGCTCTTGACAAAGAAGGATATGACAATCACTTTGGTGCAGGCACATGGAAGTTGTCAAAGGGTGTTCTGAAAATTGCCCGAGGACATGTTTGTGGGACGCTGTACAAAACACATTTGAAGATCACAGAAAGTCTCAATATTGCAGAGGAGGCTTCCCAGGATCTATGGCACCAGAGACTTGGCCATATGAGTGAGAAAGGGTTGACTACCCTAATGAAGAAGGATCTTATCAAGGTTGATAAGAGTGCTGCATTGGATTCTTGCAGTCATTGCCTGTTCGGCAAGCAGCACAGAGTCTCATTCAATGCAAATTCAACAAAGAGATCAGAGTTGTTAAGCTTGGTACACTCTGATGTTTGCGGCCCCATGGAGGTTGAATCACTGGGTGGAAGCAAATATTTTCTTACTTTCATTGATGATGCTTCTCGAAAGGTGTGGGTATATTTCCTGAATAAGAAGGACCAGGTGTTCGAGTACTTCAAGTCATTTCACGTCATGGTGGAACGTGAAACAGGAAAGAAGCTGAAATGTCTCCGATCTGATAATGGAGGCGAGTATACTTCCAAGGAGTTCAATGCATATTGTCATACATATGGCATTCGACATGAGAAGTCAGTTCCACGTACCCCTCAGCACAACGGCGTTGCTGAAAGAATGAATCGGACTATCATGGAGCGTGTCCGAAGCATGATGAATATGGCTAAATTACCAAAGCCATTTTGGGGAGAAGCTGTCAAGACCGCATGTTATCTAATCAACCGATCACCTTCAGTTCCATTAAATTTTGAAGTTCCAGAGAGAATATGGACTGGTAAGGATCCGACATACTCACATCTCAGAGTATTTGGTTGTGTAGCATATGCACATGTATCCAAAGAGCTCAGAAAGAAGCTCGATGCGAGGTCCATCCCATGCATTTTCATTGGTTATGGAGATGAAGAGTTTGGATACAGATTTTGGGATCCAAAGGAGAAAAAGGTGATCAGAAGTAGGGACGTTGTGTTCCAAGAGAATTTGACAATAGAAGACATAGAAAAACACAAGATGTCTCAGAAGTCAAATGTCGGTGCTCAAGTTTCAGATGAAGCACCAGAATTGTTCTGGAGAAACAATGAAGATGATGTACCAGAAGGAGACGAGGAGACAGAAGAGAGTGCAGAGCAAGGGGAGCAACAACCCATCTTGACAGAGCAAGGGGAGCAACAATCCATCTTGCCAGAGCAAGGGGAGCCACAACCCATTTTGCCAGACACCAACGTTGGAAGTTCTTCTCAGATGGTTCTACCCACTCGTAGATCTGAACGAGGTCATATACCATCAAAAAGGTACTCATCATCTGAATACATTCTATTGACAGAAGATGGAGAACCAGAGAGTTTTCAAGAAGCCATATCTCATAAGGATAAAGAAAAATGGATGATTGCAATGCAGGAAGAATTAGATTCTCTGCAGAAAAATCAAACTTATGAGATTGTTAAACTTTCAGAAGGGAAAAAGGCTTTGAAAAACAAATGGGTGTTCAAGCTGAAGAAAGATTCAAATGGACAAGTGGTGAAACACAAAGCTCGATTGGTTGTCAAAGGCTTTCAGCAGAAGAAAGGGATTGATTTTGACGAGATCTTTGCACCAGTTGTCAAGATGACCTCAATTCGAGTCATACTTGGCTTGGCAGCAAGTATGAACCTGGAGCTTGAACAGATGGATGTGAAGACAGCTTTTCTTCACGGAGATTTGAAAGAAGAAATCTATATGCAACAACCAGAAGGTTTTTAGGTTTCAAGTGAGAACTCGTGTGCAAGCTATCTAAAAGCTTGTATGGTCTGAAGCAAGCACCAAGGCAGTGGAATAAGAAGTTTGACTCATGCATGCAGAGTCAAGGTTACAAGAAGACTGTTGCAGATGAGTGTGTTTACATCAAGAGATACTCAAACGGGGCTTTCATAGTTCTTCTACTGTACGTCAACGACATGTTGATCGTTGGGAATGATGCAGAGAAGATAAGTGAGCTGAAGAAAGAACTTTCTAAGTCTTTTGATATGAAAGATTTAGGAAAGGCTCAACAGATTCTTGGGATGCAGATTACTCGAGACCGAGAGAACGGCAAGTTATGGCTATCTCAAGAAAAGTACATTGAACGAGTACTTGAAAGATTCAATATGAGTGATGCCAAACCAGTGGGTATTCCACTTGCGAATCATTTCAAGTTGAGCAAAAGATCATGTCCCACATCCAAGGAAGAGATGGGGGAGATGTCTGCAGTGCCATACTCTTCAGCAGTTGGAAGTTTGATGTATGCAATGGTATGTACCAGGCCAGATATTGCTCATGCAGTGGGTGTAGTGAGTCGTTTTCTTTCTAACCCCGGGAAGGAGCATTGGGAGGCAGTCAAATGGATTCTCAGATACTTGAAGGGTACTCTTAAGTTATGTCTTTGTTACGGGGGAGCTGATCCAATCTTGGAAGGATATACTGATGCTGATATGGCCGGAGATATTGATTGTCGAAAGTCTACTTCGGGTTATGTCTACACTTTTGCAGGGGGAGCCATTTCTTGGCAATCAAGATTGCAGAAATGTGTTGCTTTATCCACAACAGAAGCTGAATATATTGCTGCCGCTGAAGCTGGTAAAGAAATGTTGTGGTTAAAGCGCTATCTCCATGAACTTGGGATCAAGCAGAAAGAGTACAAGGTATATTGTGATAGTCAAAGTGCTATTGACTTAAGCAAGAACTCTATGTACCATGCCCACACAAAGCATATTGATGTTCGGTATCACTGGATACGCGAGAAGATTGATCAACAGCTGTTGAAACTAGTGAAGATCAATACGAAGGAGAACCCATCAGATATGTTTACAAAAGTGGTTACACTGGATAAGCTTAAGCTATGCAGAGACATAGTAGGAATGCTTGTTCAGAACTTGCATGAAAAGGGGAGAATTGAAAGTTCCATGCAAGTATGTGCAAGCTCCTTAGCACACCAAGGAAGAAGTTCAAAAATGATAGCCTCCACCAACCATCCCCATTCACACACATTTGCCAACAAAGTGTGCTCAATCTTGCCTATAAATAGGCTTGTTATTTCATTCATTCAAATCATCCAAGAGTGTGATCAATCAACCTTGAGAGTGTTGAAACACAACCAAGAAAAGTTGTGATAGAGTTTGAGAGTTTTTTGTTTAGAGTTTGTAAATCTCTTGTTTTTATTCTTGTGAGTAATAGAAACTTATTTTTCTCTCAATTATGTTTATGATCTTGGGATGATACCACAACAGACAGTGGGTCGGAGGAGGCTACGACGTTGGCTTCTTCCACTACGCGACCAAGACTCTGCATCCATGCTTCTATCCATGTTCATGGAGAAGGTGACCAACCCGCCCATATGGTTTAGCCCCACTCCACTGCTTCGATTCCCCTTTCTTATTAGGAAGGAAGGGGGCGCCGAGGTCGTCTCCGCCCACCCGAGATGAGAGGGAGAATGCGAGACAAAGAAGGGAAGCATCGCGGGGTACATATAAATGCGTTTCAAGTGTGACAGCAAAACCCACAACGGGTATCATAGTTTCACTTACCACGCGTGTATGTGGCTTTGATTAATTCAAGCCCAAGCTCGAGCTCCGGTCTGCGGGAAATCGGAGAGCCAAAACGGATTTATTAATATTCACTCTCCTTATATGTATAGATTTTTCCATACTATTCTGTCATATCTTTTTTATCATGCTAAACTAAAAAATAAACCGATAGAAAAATATTTAAAATCTGGAAAGGATTTTAAGAAATATTTAATATCCAAATATCGTTCTTTATAAAATTAAAAGGTTTAGGTATTTTATATATTTATTTAAATATCCAAATATTGTTCTTTATAGAATTAAAATAGAAGGTTTAGGTAATCTATACAATATTTATTGATTTTATATAAACATTTTTCGTAAAAAGAACTGAATTAGTTAATTTTTTACAATTAGTCAAAGTCAATTTTAATGGATGACGTGTTTTAAATGCTTAAAGTCGGAGAACTTCGCAAGTCATACGTTTGTGAAGAAACGTAACAAAGTGTGTCTACTTCGAAAAATGTTATTATTATTATGGAAAAAACTAAAAAATAGAGACCATGAATTATGAGATTTGGTGAGTAAATTAATCTAATTCTTAATAAATAATTCTGTTGATACATTAATCTCTAAATTTGCCCCAATTAGCACTACCGCTATGGCAATATATTATATACACATATTCAATGAGTGTTTATTTCATTAGACAATCAAAATAATCTTAATCGCCTCTCTAATGGCTTTCTCCGTACGTGCTGCCCTTTGTTCTCCTACCACCGCCGCCACCACCAAAACTTTGTCGTTTATCAACCGGCGGACTCCATCACGCTATCATCTGAATCTGTTGTGTCGTACATATTGTGCTCCGGTGACTGCTACTTGTAGCAGCAGTAGTAACCCAAAGGCGGCGCCATTGCTCATGCTACCACCAGCCCTCGACAATAATAACAAAAAGAATCTTGTTTTTCGATTTTACAAGCTGGCCGAGAACCAAGTGATTAGCAGGAGAGACGAAGAAGAGATAATAACACCATCATCTGTTTCTGATTTGTCGATTGTGGGTTCGTCACACGGCTGGCTGTCCATGTTAGACGATTCCAAGAGCGGCGGCCTCTTCCTCTATAATCCACTCACTCAACGCCGCATAAATCTCCCGCCCCTTCCTGAAGGAATTTCCTTGGTAACAAGCCTCGTCCTGTCCGGGCCCCATCCCGATGAGGACGACAGCTGTCGCGCTGTAGCTCTTCTCGGCTATGAAAACAGTTTGGCCTTCTGCTGCCCCAACAGCCGCACGAGGGCCGAGTGGACGCAACTCGGCAAACGCACCGGCTACACGTCCGTTGCCTACTCCACTTCACAAAAGCGCTTCTTTTGTTTTGCTAGCAAAAGTAGTAGTCATGATGATGAGGAAGATGGTGATGGTGAAGAGGAGGAGGAGGATGAGGATGAAGAAAATGATGATGATGATGATGAGGAAGATGGTGATGGTGAAGAGGAGGAGGAGGATGAGGATGAAGAAAATGATGATGATGATGATGATGACGACGATGACGACAACGACGAGCTTTATCCTCATCTGGAGGCATGGGACCTTCAGGACCCCGTTTCCCCGACCATGATTCCAATGCTCATTTGTGTGGACAAAAAGTGTTACCCCGTAGCCCACAGTTGCAAGGAGGAGTACGAGTACAAAAGATATTCGTGCCGTGATTACCAATTCCTGGTAGTTGCAGAGGCGTCGGGACAGCTTTTTCATGTGAGGCGGTTCGTCAAGGATTGGATGGGTCCTAAGGATTACTACGCGGTAGATTCCTACTACGGCCCCAAGGTGGGCATGCTTAAGGATCCTCCTCCCTATGTCTCCATGGGTTTTGATGTTCACAAGTACGACCCGGAGACCGGCTCTCTGGTTTACATGGACGCCTCACTCGACGGCCTAGCATTCTTTGTTGGTACCAACAATGGGTTTGCACTCCCAGCTGCCGACCACCCTGGACTGAAACCAGACTCCGTTTATTACACAGAGCCACCACAGTGGATACATATCGGTGGACATGATGTTGGTATCTTCGATTACAAACTCAAGGACTTTTGTCCCTCCCCATGTTTTTACCCTACTGACGTGCAGAGCACCAAAACTACTTGTGGACCAAAGTGGTTCACTCCATTCTCCCCTTGTTAGATTTCCCAACCAAACACTATTATCACCCTCATTTTTTTTTTTTTTTTTTTTTGTCTAAATGCTCAATTAACAATGTTAAATTTGTTGTTAATGTTTAAATCTAACAATGATAGTTTAATAAGGTTNTTTTGAGTCAATCCGCCTAATAGTTAGGTCACTTTCACATATCGATATAAATAACTATGGAAGTAGTGATACATACCTGCAGGGCTCGGTCCATAACATAAGAATGGACAAAAACCATATGCACATGTACGCAATGCAGATGCCCCCTAATAAAACTGATCATTACACACTACCAACTGGAGATCCTTTCAAGGGCTCATATGCACATGTACCTAATACAGATGCAATCAAGATAAATATAGAGAACTTGAACTCATATGCATCAACAACAAATATTATTCGTCCAAAGAGTACTACACTACAACTAATTTTCAACCGCAAATTCCAGAAAATGAGAAATTCAGGGCACGTCTGCTGACTATCTACGTCCAGGGCGACTTTTTGCTCTAGCTTTTGATAGAGTCCCAAAGCTTGCTCCTGAGCCTGTTGCAAAAGGTGTTGAAAAAGTCGAGACCCCAAAAGCAGGGGTCGAACCAAACAAGGGAGTGGAACCACCAAACTGGGAAGCCGAAGTAGACAGGAAAGTAGAAAGCGACGACTGGGAAGTCCCAAGCAAAGACGAGAAAGGGGCAGATGTTGATGTGGGTGTGGAGAACAGAGGAGTTGATAACGCCGATAGAGCAGCCGATATATTTACTGACGTTGATGGTCCGACAGGAGCCAAAGGAAAATGCTGAGTAGGGTGGGCCCACTGGGCTGCAGCCTCCTGCTTAGTCATCTCACGGCGGTCGGCCTCAAGAAACGGGTCATTTTCTTCGCCCCGGCAGCGTTCGTATGCCGCCCGCATGGATTGGTGGATGCTTTCGACCTTGGCTGCAACATGCACAAAGAAAGTCATGCACATTTGTCTAAGACCTTAGGTAAGGATTGCAACAGTGAAGAACTCGTAGTCAAAGAGTTTCTTTCAGAACCTATGAGTAGCAACTGCTCCAATTCTTCAATCCACTCAAGGCACTCGGACAAATACTTCTCAAATCTAGTGACTGTTTGTTGCAAAAAGGGTGAAGGTTTCTTTGGTAGCCCGCTGTAAAAGTCATACACCTGCACCATAGCATTTACGGCAGCTTGACTGCCGCCTGATGTTTGAGTGGAAGTTGCTCCTTGATTCTGGTGGAGAAACCTGGGCCGTAGCATCATAAAAGACCCAACGGCAACTTCTGTGTTTCTCAACATATCATGAGCTCTTGTAGAGTCGTTTTTTGTTTTTCCATAGCTATACCAACTTAACAATATAGCTGGCGTTAAGCTCAAAAGCATTATTAAAAACCGAAGAATCATATAGTATGTTGCACTGGTCCAATAGCTGGCTCTCGTCTCTGTACTCCAATATCCTCTCCTCAATTTGAAGGAGCACTTTCTGTGGTCCACCCATTTGGTACTATACGTTGCCGGAATTTTATCATTCGTAAAAAGATAAAGCTGCGGCTGAGGCTGTCATTGAAAAGGGATTTGCTGCTGCTGCTGTTGACTTTGGAATGGAGACTGAAATAGGGATTGTTGTGGCTGCAGCTGTTGAGGATTGAACGAAAATGCCATTATCAGGGAATTTCAATTCCACGATTCTGACTTGCAAAGTCGAAACTCAAAAGAATTTCCAGAGATTTTCATGGCGGGAGAGCGGTGAAGTGAAGTTCGGTTGTGCAATCGCCTATCGGAGTTTGAAAAATTAATCAATTTTTAATTTCAAAACCCTAAATGGACGATTTCGATCCTGAATGTTGCAATGTTATAAATTTCCAGTTAAAGAACAAACAAACGGGTTTTGTTTTTTTTTTTTTTTAAATCTTGCAATGTTTTAATATAGGTTGACATTGAAATTTCTGAAACAGAACTTCAATATGAACTTCATACACATATGATCTTTTTGGATACTATTTGTCCATTGAAGACATTCCAATGTGTACCTAAACAAGAACTTCATACGCATATGATCTTTTTGGTTACTATTTGTCGATCGAAGGCATTCAAATGTGTACATAAACAACAAAGAAATAAACTCAAATCCTTGTATGCTCTATCGAACAAAGAGACAAGTCTTCCAAACTTCAGCCAAGTTACTTCCAAACAACCTAACCAACACAGATTGCTACCAAAATGGACAATGAAGGAGATCATTGAAACTGCTCAAGCAACTGATGCCATGTGACAGATCAAGTCATACTCCAAATAAATAAATTTATATAACTTGCAACTGAGAATGATATGCAAAAATATTCAGTATTCATTTTACGCAAGTTTTTCTTAGTGTAGCCCCATTCATTTTCATTACAGAGACACCTTTCACAAAGACAACTTCCTAAATCTTCCAGTGCCAATGTAGTTGATAAAGAGAACTTTTTGTGTGAGATTAGCAGAATTTACATTTGTGTAGTGTGAACATTAAGGAGAGTTTATATTTGCATGCACACTTGTGTGAAAATCAACTAAGAGAGAAAAAAAAATTGTATATGCTCATTTTCTTGGTAACAAACTCGAGGAACTTCTTATACAGCATAAAAACTATGGAAATAAACATCGAGACTCCTCACCTGCAGTTTTGTGTATAGTTATGTTCTGCATATAGTTTCAATTGAAAATTTTGTAAGTGATTTGTTCCTTTTTGTGTTCNGGGTACAACAAACATCATTCACAGTGAAGTAGAGAGATTATTTCCATTGACGGAATAGCAAGTCCGAAACTGGATTAACATAATTTGTACAAAGACAAAAGATAGATCTTAGAGACCCTGCCAGCCAGTAGCTAGCTAGCTCCTCCCAAAACAACATAAAAAATATTAACTTCACAAAATGCCCAAGGAAAGAAAGGAATCCTCTGTTTTTAGTAGAATAATAATTTATTTCAGAGGTTTCCAGCTCTTTTTACAAATTTCCCGTTACAAAATGCAGCCTGGGAACACCAGAATTGATTTACAGACAACCGTACGAATAAATAAATTATGGTTGAGGGGTTGCAAGATTATGAATAAAGAATGAGGACAGGCCTTCCTCCTACTGCTCCAATCTATCTAACTGGGTTTTGTCCTTCAGTGGTTGAGATAAGTCAAGTTCATTAAAGTAGCTTTTACTGAAAATCCAATCATTTGCAAGAGATTCGTTATTTATTCTCTGAAAACCGATTCAACTGATTGTGATGAACGCAGAGTTGAAACGCACTTGAACCTGGAGTGTTTGTATTTCAGGCGTACGGCACCCGACATGTTACCGCTTGGGTTAAGCTGTAAGTTTTGCAGTTCCAAAACAACCGGTTTTAGCTCTGACATTTTATGCCTTGTGTAGTACTCCAGTATTCGATTCCATGGATGCTCAGACTGATCAAGAGTCCATTTGGCTAGAAGCACAGCAGAGGCAGCAATCATGGATGGTAAGTATTTCAGGAAACTGTAGTCAGTTACAGTTAGTTCTGCTAAATAGTTAGCCAAGAATTCCAGCTCAACAGACGGGACCTTGTAAGAAACTTGTGCTGCTTGAATAAACCTCCTAAGAAACTTCTTTGTGGTGGGAACAGATAGTTGAAATCCCAAAAAGTTGAGAACACAACTTTCCATTTTCACCACCTCTTCTTTCGTGTAGGTATTGTTTGTTATAAAGCAAAACTCCTCCACACGAGGCGCACAAATTTCTTCGTACTTGGAGGCAATGAGCATGCAGGTCACACCAAGAAGTTGAAGCTTCTGCTTTGTCATGTAATTCTCAGATAGATATCTATCAATGAGATTTACAGTCAGGTATAGTGTATCAGGCATCAGCCCATATTCTTCAGAAACCTCAACTAGCCAATCAATCAGTATAGCCCTCATACCCTCAGTAATGTCTCGTTGCAGTTTTTTCATATAATCAGCCGATGGCCTCCGGTCAATCTGTCTTATACGCGTAGCAGAATATATATCAGCTGCATAGTGGCTACACATCTGTGGATCCTTGTGCTTTGAATCTATGTCGGTAATTCCACTTGCTTCCAAGCTCTCATTTTCCATGCAAAGCTTGACATCTTCTCTACTCATTGAACTTGTTAGTGGGACGCTTTTACTGGAATCTGTCATGGTAGAAATTAGATCTGCTACATCCATCATATTCGCATTAACAATTTTGGTTGGTTCAGTTGTTAAATTCCTTGTGGAGTGCTCTTGAGATTTTTCTACATCTACTTTCACTGCATTTTTGTGTTAGTTTAATAACATATAATATACTGATAATAGGTTTTGAATTATGCTTAGTTTATTTTATTAAAGATAATTTTTGTAATTTGCATTGATGAAAATGCATTTTCCTTTGTACTCATTTTAAATTTTTATATTAAGTAAATGATAAAATTGCATTTTCTTTTGTACGCACTAGTACAAATCCCGTGCGATGCACGGGTAAATAATATTAAATAATATGTATAAATTTAAAATACTAAGTTAATATGTGATGCAATTTACCTACATTAACTTATTGAAAATGGTACATAAATTTAAGGTGTGTAAAAATATATAAAAACATGCGTATCAAAAAGTACTTAAAATGTTATATAAACATGTATAGCATTAATAGCTAAAAAGTTTTATACTATTATCGACAAATGCGTGAAATTACCAAAAATAACACTTATTTGTTTCACGCTATTATTTATTTAGATATTCCGTGAAATTTATTTTTTTAATAAATTTATAAATCAAATTTCTTCCTAAGACATGTATAATTTCTTATTTAAATATAAATCATGACAATAATCATAAAATAGATGTTATCAGCATATATATTCAAATATAATATTTACCGTGATATTAGACGACTATTATCTCATACTTAAATATAAAACAAAAAATTATCTACAAAGAAAATATATGACATTCAGGGTTTAACATCATTGGAGTTTTGAGATAAAATTTAAGTGACATGTTCCATTTTATGGCTCAACATCAGTGGAATTTTATCACTTTAAATACAGCATGATGAAGATCTGAAATTATCATTGGAGTTCCGAAATTTGTTGTGATTATATTAATGAAGGTGTATGTTATAGTAGCAGTAGAGTATGGCTTGATAGTGAATCCACCCAAATTTTAATGGACTTAATGTATGAAAAATAACATAATTATTTATTTTTTTATGTTTTATTATAAAATAATTATAAAGTTTGAATGATTGATTCTCTATAATTACTCAATCAAATCTACATATAAAGCTAAGGAAATTCGAAATAAAAGTTTCCACAATAGCTCCAAATTTGTTTCCATAATCCCTATATTTAGGGGAGTATAAAGTTGTATGATTTTGTGATAAATAAAAAATACAAAAATCAACAAAATTTGTAAAAGTGGCATGCAATTAATTTTGTCTGATTTTTTTGCTTACTATTTCTAATAAATGGTAATTCTTATTATATATATATAGATTTTTAATTTTTTATATGAATTAAATGGACCTGTCTTCATGGCACGGGCGAGGGATATAATGTAAAAGTTGAAAAGTTTGAACACTTGCCAATAATGTCAAAATTTGGTTTACCCAACAAATATAAATCATAACCATTATATTTATCAACAATTGAATAAATAAATGCATGATTTGATTGATTTATAGTAAAGATTATTTTGAGATTTTCGAAATTTTATTAATATATAAAGAGGAAATGATAGTTGTTTGAAAAAATCAACTAAAAAATCAGCAAAAAAAATATTTGGTTTCCCTCCTAAATGTTTACTATATTGAGTAATTTTTTGGCCAAATTTTAAAAATTCCCGCTCATGTATATTGAGTAATCTTTTTGGCAAAAAATTCTGTAATTTGAACTCTGTGAATTCAGCCAGTTTAGAAAGAAAATCGGCCATATTTCGTTGAAATAGAAAAAATCGTCCTTAAATCTATCTCTATCGGATATGTAAGCTTTTTATTCATTTAAGAACTACAACTAAATTATTATTGAGTTTTATATTCATTTAAGAACTACAACTAAATTATTATTGTCTTGCATACCAGAGAATACGATTTTACTTACTTTAAACAATCAGATTACTTATCGTTTTTTTTTAAATCTCATTATACTAATTAATTTAAATTTAAATATTTCTAATAGAAATCTCAAATCAGCTTAATTATCCGATTTTGGTTCTAATTATAAACATTATATAAAAATATTATATATAAATTTGAATGAACAAAAAGAAAGACATATATAAATCCTAAACATCAGAAAAATAATAGATGAACAACAACAAAGAAAATAATAATTTTATTTGACTTCACAAGCATTAAGTATAATCATCGTCTGATCAATCAAAAGTTATCTAATAATCTCAAATTGTGAAAATTTGACATATGCAAGATCATTCTTCAAACTAGAAAATAAGAAAAACACATTTTTTTTTTAATATTTACCTTAATTTTGATTAAAAAAAATGATCAATATTTATCTTACCAACTATTAAAGATATATTTGAATCTAGAATCCAAAATATCATAATGTCCCCAATTATTAAGTGGTTTATTTAATAAATATTAACATAAAAATCTAACCAATTTAATTAATGTCATCTAAGAATCCAAAATTTCGAAAATTTGGGATATGCAAGAAATGGCCGTGTTTCAAACCTTTACAAAAAGTTTATTTAAAAAATATCGATGGGTAGTTATATCAACATTCTTTGGTCGATCTTAAAATGTGGTATTTCATATATCCAAACTAGTTATTTTAAATGATTACCAATATAGTATAAATATTAAAAGAGGTTGATGGATAATTTAAAAGTGAAAATTTGACTTTTTGTTTAAATAGTTTAACTTACTTATTAAGAAATTTTTTTGCATAAAATTTAAAATTAAGTGTTATCATTTTGCATGAAATTTAGTTTTCAAAATTGTATGCTTAAATATTGTCCTACTTCTTTGGCTTTTTATAGTGCAGTTAAGTTGTAGGCCAAAATACTGCCAACTTTTCTTGAACAATTTATGTGTCCTATTATTTGATAACAATTATGCATCAATAAATATGCTTAAAAATGAAAATATATTTAAAAATAGAAGACAACAAATTTTGGTATTATGTTTTTGACAATAAATCTCAAACTATGAAATTAGTCATTTACGTTAATATCATAAATCGAATATTAACAGTATTTAATTACATATAAAATCATCATGATGATTAAAAAGTTTATGTTAATCATTTCTTATTAAAAATTAAATTAATGGTGGAAAATAAATTAATTAAAAATTAAGTGATGATAAATGCTAATTTTTCACAATTAATTTATTTATATACTGATTTTTATAATAAGTACTTAATATATTATATGAGCTAAAAAATTATTATGTTTACAAACATAATAATTGATATGCAAAATATCATCGTTATGTAGCAACTCATATTGGTATTGAGTTATCGCGACAATTGTAAAATCAATTGATTAATTTAAATTTTATAAGAAGTTTATTCTTAAATATGCATAAAGTGAGAAATAAGTAACTTATATTTAAATATATAATTTATAATCTTAATAAATTGTCATTTGTTATAAACATTTAAACATGAATCATAAAATATTTCTTATTTCATAAAGTTACAAATATTTAAGCAAAATAAGAAAATTTCATTTAATCAATCGAGTGATTGAATTAGGTGCTCAGTATTAGTTGATAATAATCCAAATACATGACACAATTGAGGTTAATCTCGGGTGACCGGGTTATGGTCAATGACATAACCGAGGTTGATCCTGATTCCTGAGTGACTAAGTTATGTAGTTATGTGTCAGTTTGACAAGACAAAATCGATTACTGAACTAAATATAATTTTTACTATTAAATATACTTTATTGAAATAAATGTAATACAGTTTATACTCCAAAAAAATCATATTAAAAATGCTTTTATGACAGCATGTGCAAGGATTTATGAACACTTAATTATATATTATTTCATTAATATTTATGTGAACAAAATGATATTGCATTACAGTTCTATTCATGTATGGTAAATCAAAAATTCTGAGGAGATGACCGTTTTCAAACAAATCAAGTTATTTATTCAATAATTTATTAATTGCATCAGAATTTAAACTATTAATATTTTAATATAGATATATAGTACTTTTATAATAAATTTATTAAAAAATATTAATTAAATATATGAACAATTTAAAATTATTCAATGTTTATACTAAATGATAAATAATTTATAAATATTCATGTTTAAATATGTATTTTTATTTATATTAAAAATAGTTTTAAATGTAATAGATTTCATTTAAAAAATCGGAACGATACTACCGGTCTGACCGACTGGTGTTGACCGATTCTCTTGCAAATATTTTATTCAATCGAACCAAACTGGGGGTAAGCCAGATCTGGTCCATACGGTCAGTCTGTTCGGTCTGATCCAGTTTTGGAAAAAAATAAGTAAATTATGATTAACGTTATTTATATAGTTTACTAATAATAGTACAATCATAATATTGTTCCCCATGCATTGCACGGGCTACGTACTATTTACTTGAAATAACAACAAAAAATCAGCAAAAAAAATATTTAGTTTACCTTATTGAGTAATATTTTTGACAAAAATTTGAAAAATCCCGCCTAAATTAATGTACATAATCATTTATATCAAATATTGCGGCTATTACCTTTATTAGTTGCATGATTTAAATTTGGAATATAATATTTTGACAAAACTTGCAGCTATTATCTTCATTAGTTGCATGATTTAAATTTGTTATATAATATATTAAAAAAATAAAAAGTTTTTTATTTAAAATTTAAAATAAAAAAAATAATTATTCATAACTTACAGGTCTAATTTATAGTTTAATAAATTACTCAATAACTTATGGTAAATACTAACTTTGACATAAACGAAATAGTCAATTATTTATAGTTTAATAAATTATTCAACTACTTAATTTTTTTATTTGAATAGTTTATACAAAAAAAAAATTATTTTAAGAAATAAAACAATATAACTGACCGCATTTCCCTCAGGTCCTGGCCCGATGAGAAAAGTCATTTGCCTTAACCTAATCTGATCCCGGATTTCATTCCATTAATGCATCATTCCCTTTATGGTTAGGAAGAGTTCAACGAATTTATATTTTTACTCATTATACACATAGGTTGTTAAATATATGATAACAATTTACAAAAATAATTATTTTATGGAATCATATTATAGTTAAATCGAATTTATGAATAAAATTTTTGAAATAATACTTATTTTGAAACGAATATAATGTAATTTATTATCAATTATGTGCACCATACGGGCCGTGTACTAATTTTAAATAGACATTTTTATGTAATTTTATACAATCTATACTTATATTAAAGGGGGTACTATTTACCAAATTAAGTAGCCAGAAAAGTCAACAGCATTTATTGCATTACTATTTCCGTATTATACTATATAAAAGAATATTCTATTTACTACATTTACTATCCAGAAAAGTCAACTGCATTAAATGTCATTACTATTTTGGTATTATAATATTTTAATTATTTAATTGATTTATTTATTTATTTTATTTTAAAAAGGTAAGTATAATAAAAAGATTTTAATAATAAAAAAATCACATACCAAATAAAAATGTATACTTTGACTTATTTGATTATATTTGGTATTTGATTATACCAAATATATTCCTATTTAGTATATACATTAAATACTTACTAAAGTATTTATTTGTTTTATTTGTCAAAGTTAAGTATAGATTTGTTTATATTATCAAATCATAAAAAAATATTAAATTCATATTGTAAAAAAAAATTCATATAATTTTATAACAATTCTGCTACTCTATTTAACAATATTTCTTTTTTATTATATAAAATAATAATTAAATATTATATGGTGAACAACAATAAGTAAAACTGTTACTTTCTCTTATATTAAGGGATAAATGTATATACTAAAATTAAATTTTTATTAGTATAAATAGTTTAGTGAGATAATATATTAATTATTTTAAAAGCTAGCCCTAACATGCTCATATTTAATGTTTTAAAAGATGTAGAAAAAAACTTATAATAACTTTACTGTTTTTTAGACTCAAACGTGGGTAAAAATTCTTAATTTTTTAGGCTTAAACGTTGATTAACACCATAGATTGAGAATTTATATTTAGTAAAATTCCTAATTATAATAAAAAAAATTAATTTTTGATATATTTTAGAATATCTTTAAATTCATTATAAAAAAAAAAAAAGCTACAATGAAAAAAGCAAGTCAGCTATATATCGATTTGTTGTACTCCTCAAATCACATTCACAATTTGCCTACGAGGAAAGGAAACTCATTGATTAAAATATTATTTTGTCAGTAGTCTTAATGTACAAGAGACTTTAAGACTCCACTTGAATATTATAAAACTTTTATTAAACATTGTACAATTTTTTGCGTATTATAGACTTTTATTGAATATTGCACCTTATAATATAATATTCTCCAAATAAATATATCCCGTGCTTCGCACGTACTATATATATTCCGTACATTTTTTTATTCATGTATATAATTATAAGCCTGGATAAATAGCCTTAAAATTGTACATTTTTTTTATTCATGTATATAATTATAAGCCTGGATAAATAGCCTTAAAATTGTGCACCTCGTGCATCGCACGGGCTCTGTACTAGTTTAAACTTTATATAACATTTTCATTAAATTAATTTAGGTAATTGTATTACATATTGATTCCATATTTTTAATTTATAAATATTACTTAATAAAAATTATTAATTTATAAATATTAATGAATATCTCTTTCCGTGAACTGGTACTCATACTAGTAACCACTAATTATAGATCCCTACATATGATAAACAATCGATGTATTCCATCAAATTTACTTAAGACTTCATCATTGGCTCGAACACTTTGAAAATCTTTTAGATGAATCTATTTAGTCGGCCGAAAACCTAGAAGACGATTGTCTGATAGCGTTGACAGCTTTCTCTTCTACGACGACCACCGCCCAATCTTCTGCTTTGATCTGTCGGAAAACGATGAAACGTGCTTCAACATTGTTCAGGATTTCGTCTAGCCTTTTGAGTGTCAGATCTTACAATTCCCTTTCCAGCAGAAAATCATTGAGCGAAACCCTATTATCAATCAATCATGGTGCTATGACGAAAACGATGAGTAGTAGTAGTAGTATCCATACTAGTGTTCCGCGAAAAACCGCGCCGTGGCTATCAAAAACCTCTCCCTGGCTTATGCTGCCGCCAACCTTCACGGGAGAGAATGAGATGATTTATCAGTTTTACGTCCTTGGCGAGAATCGAGTGATGACTCTCCAAAGGGCCGGAGAGCAAGAATTTTGGGGAGACCACGATTATAGCATCCTTGGATCATCGCACGGCTGGCTTTTCTTGTTCCACAAGGAAAGTTGCGACCTTATCCTCTCCAATCCCCTTTACGGCCGCCACGTAAGGCTTCCATCCATCCGCACGTTGCCGGGTATCCCGAAAAGGCACTTGGAACGTGGCTTCAGGTCCCTGCATGACCTCATCCTCTCCAGCTCCAGCCCCGATGATGACGACGAATGTCGCGCGGTTGTCACTTTCGGCCCCCACCGAAGACTGGCTTTCTGCTGCCCCAACAGCAGCAAAGGCCCTTTGGAGTGGACTGTGCTAGGCGACAAGGCAGACTACGATGCCTGTGTTTACTCCGCCAAACAAAAGCTCTTCTTCTGTTTCAGAGATGGATACTATCAAGGTATCCGCGAGAATAAGGATCCTTGTCTGGAGGCTTGGGACCTCAAAGACCCTCATTCTCCAAGGATGATTCCCATGCCTCCTTTGTCTTTTGATAACACCAACTACCCCATTGCCTACAGATCAGAGCAAGAGCACAAACAAAAAGATCATCGCGCAATATGGGACGCCATATTACTTGCTGTTGCCGAGCCAACGGGCCAGCTTTTTCATGTGAGACGGTTTACCAAGGACTGGGTTGGGCCCGATGGCTACTACACCAAGGATGAGTATTATGGGCCAAAGATAGGGATCTACACGGATCCTCCGTACACCACACTTGGTTTCGATGTTCACAGGTACGACCCGGAGAGTGGCTCCCTGGTTTACATGGACCGCTCTCTGGATGGGCTGGCCCTTTTCATTGGCTCTAATAATGGGTTTGGGCTCCCAGCTGCCGACTTCCCTGAGCTGAAGCCCGATTCTATTTACTACACAGAACCCCCGATGTGGCGCTATGGTTGCCATCATGTTGACGATTATAATTATGATGCTGGCATCTTCAATTACAGAGATGAGAGTTTTGCGCCCTGCTTCTATCCTGTTGATGTGCAGAGCAGTGTAAGGGTTAGTGGACCAAAGTGGTTCACCCCTACCCCGCTCGTTAGATTCCCGTTTCTCGTGCAGAATGATGACAGCACATTGTCGTATGGATCCTCTTGTTCCAGTATCCCACCCACCAAATCCCACTCCCAAAACTTGAGTAGGATGATTAATGCTAATGTGCCGAAAACCAAAAAGAGGTCATCTTCCACGTCGCCTTGGCTGATGCTGCCACCTGTTTTCGGAGGCAATAACAAGTTAGACATGCTTTACCAGTTTTACAGCCTGGGGTTGGACAGAGTATTAAGTGTCCCCAAGAGATCAATACCATCATATGAGGATGATAATTTGGAGATTGTGGGATCGTCTCGGGGCTGGCTTGCTCTTTTTAACAAGGAAAATTACTGTGACCTCTTCCTCTCCAATCCTCTCACCGGACGTCACGTAAAGCTTCCATCCCTCGACTCATTGTCCTCCCAAGAAAAAAATGTGGACAACGTTGTCATCTCATCCGACGACCCATTTGAAGAAGACTGCCGAGTCTTGATCACTTGCACTCCAAATGATAGATTGGCTTTCTGCTGCCCTGGCCACACCAACCCCGAGTGGACCCGAATCGGCCACCCCTCAACCTCATTTCAATTCGAGTCCTTAACCTATTCGAGTAGGCAGAAGCTCTTCTTGTGCGCCAAAGGGCCGTCTGGTAGAACCGACCACATCGAGGCTTGGGACCTCCATGACCCACTTTCCCCCAAAATGGTTCCCCTGCCACCTGTGACTGTGGACGAAGACAATTACCCGGTTGCATCCCACTCGGAGTTAGAGTCGGAACTCAAGCATCTATGCGGATACGATGCCGTGTTCCTCGTGCTCTCCGAGCATACAGAGGAGCTTTTTCAAGTGCGGCAATACGTGTTGCACCGAATGGGACCTGATGGCTCATTTGCCGATGATGTCTATTACGAGGGGAATTCTGATTCTGATGAAAGCCCGCACAAGACGGTTGGGTTTGATGTTCACAAGTATGACCCAAAGACGGGAAAAATGGTTTATATGGATCGTAGCTTGGGTGGGTTGGCACTATTCGTAGGCCCCCAGGAAGGCTTTGCTCTGCCTGCTGACGAGTACCAAGGCTTGAAGCCCAACTCCATTTACTACACCGACATGTATTATTCAGATTACGAGAATCGGTATGGAGGCCATGACATCGGCATATTCAACTATGAAAACGAGACTTTCTCGCCATGCTATTATCCATGTGACTTGAAGAGCATGATGACCAAGATTGTGCCCAATCCTATTTGGTTTAGGCCATCCCCTTGTGCATTCATTTAGATTCCTGCCTATATTCTATTTCATGATTTTTGTCTGTTTATGCCACTATTGACTGGATTATATGTCTATAATGACGAATTCAAAGCTTATGTTTCCTACCATACATCTTCTCTTTCTTTTGTCAAGATTAGTATAATTAAGTAGACTCTACCATGTGATCATCCCTGTCTCAATATACATGTCTTTCTTTGGGATTGACCATGATTACTTGTGTTCTGCAATGAGAAGTTGGCAGTACTAATTAAAGGTATTTGATTTATTATTTTTTTAATGATGTATAGTTTAGATAATGTGGGTGGGCAATGTGGACTTATGTTTGTCATCACAGAATAATTGAGTCGAAGCCCCGATTCAGGAAATTTTCAGTGTTAACTTGTACGACCCAAGCACATGCTCGCCTGTTTACTTGGAACATTCCTGGTATGGGAGGAAATTCTACTTCTACTGCTATTGTCTTAGAACCTTATGTAGTTAGGCTTTTGTGCCTATAGTTTGTATTTGCTAGTTGCAGGCTTCTGTAGAAACATTCAAAATGTACAAGTCACGTGAAATTGAAAATGTTGATGCAAAAATATGTAGTAAGAACTCAGCAGAAACTAAAGTCTAAAGCCAATATATTTTCAGTTTTCAATACTACAGCTGACACTTACATTTGACTATGGTTATAAAAACTAGTCGTCTAACTCAATGTGAACTTTAATTAATTAAAACATGCACTGAAAACTGTCTAATGCAAACAGAAGAAACTTATTTAATGAATTTAACGAGTTCAGCAAAAATGAAGTATTACTTATTATTAGTATTATTATTATTACTAATCTCATGTTTTGTTTTGGTTGTTTATCACTTAGTTCATGACTGTTATTTAGTTTCTTAGCATTTGCATTACTTATTTGATAGTGAAAATTTCCAAGTATTGCATCTTAGTAATGTTTTATTATTATTATTATTATTATTATTTTTTATATTATTATTGTTGTTGTTGTTATCACTAGTATGTAGCCCGTGTAATGCACGGGGAAGCAATAAAACAGTTGAATTATAAATTAAAGGGAAAGACTACAGTCCCGTTACGAAACCATCTTGTCGCGATTTTAATCGTAAATTATATATCCTACACTAATCTACATTTGTATCTAACGGTTAAAAACCCCGACGGAATGGTTCCGTAACGAGATTGTAGTCTTTTCCATAATATATAACTTAAAATTCATCTTCATTTCCTCATGATAACATTCTTACTTTATTTATTTGAATTATATTATATTTATTGGAACAAAGATTTCTTAATATTGAAATCAATATTTAGTTCACCCGAGATGTAGCAAAAGTTATGTCATATTTTTGGACGATTTTTTTAAATGATCCAAAATTGGTCCAATAAACATGTACAATAACCTAATTCATTAAACCGGTTGATCCAAATAAATTTCAATTTCTTTTTAGTCGTAAATATAATTGAATTTTATGAAATAAAAAATAATTTTTGATTCATATAGTAAATGTTTATAACAAATGACTATATATTATGACTCCAAATTATAAAATGTAATTACTTATATATATTTATAAAATAATAAATACATATTTTAAAAATTTAAAATTAATTAATTGATTGTGTAATTGACATGATGACTCGATACCAACATTGGGTCTAAAAAGCAGTGATATAATGCATATTTATTATATTTTTATAGTATGTTATTCATAAGTTATTAAATATCATAAACAGACGATTTTCTAATGAATAAAGTCCATTAAAGATAAATTATATACACATTTTATATCTTCAAACAAAATTCAATAAAATTATATATATATATATATATATATATAAATTGTTTATAATTATTATTATTATATATTGTACCAATCTTTTGTAATTCAGATTGAGTAATTTTGCTATACAATAATAATTATAGAAAAAATAATTTTTAAACTATTGATATCACATCACCAAAAATAAAAATAAAAATATATTAGGTAGAAATAAAAAGATTGATTGAAAATTTTATAAAAATTTAATCCATAGATTTAGATCATCATTGATATCATAATAACTAAAATAAAATAAAAATTTCACATTATAAAAATATAATTTTTTTAATTATTATTGTACAAATATGAATATATTTAAATACTCGTGTAATACACGGGTGTTGTACTAGTTCTGTGCATGGTTATTTTCAAGACTTTATTTGAGATGCCTATCATGTTCCTCAATATAATATTGAATTATTTGGTTATTTTCAAGCTTTTTTTTGTGTGTGTGTTGGCATATATAGTGAGAGATATACACAAAAAGATATTTTTATTGAAATTTAATATTTACTTTAATTGACCATGTTAATGGAATAAGCTCATATAGTAGTACAATTTTTTTTTTTTTTAATAAAAATAAAATTAGTATACGAGACAATGTAATATTTTTGCCTTAAAACTTCTTTACACAGAATAATACCATTACCTTTAAACTTGTATAGTTATAAGGCCAGCCCTTATCTCTACTCTAGCGCGGACTTTACTCTACTCTAAAGTAGAGTTGAACATTCATCTCCAGCTCTTATCTCCTCATTTTACTCTACATTAAATATATTATTTTTTTATTCATTTTTTATTTCAAATAAATTGGTATATATGTATATTTAATCTTATATAAAATGTTAATTACTCAAATAAAAAAAATATATTTTATTTATTTTTATTTCAAATAATTTGCTATATATATGAATATGTAATATTATATAAATGTTTATTACCCAAATAGTAATAAAAAAAAATATGTATAACAACACGAGACTGCTTCATGAGTTCAAACAAAAGGATACAAATTACATAATACAATGAAAAAAAAATAAAAAAGCATTACGAAGGTTGATATGAGCTTCTCTATCTCGAATTTGTCTGTATCGAGCAACAAATGATTCCATCGCAGCTTCAATCGGTGCAGAAAGATCTCGTTCATCCTCAATTATCATATTATGCAAAATAATACATGCAGTCATTATATCTTGTAAGTCATTTTTACTCCAAAATCGTGCAGGATTAGCCACAATAGCAAATCGACTTTGGAGTACTCCAAATGCACGCTCCACATCCTTTCTGCATGCTTCTTGTTTCATTGCAAAATATTTTTTTTTCTGACTCCGTGGGTCACGAATAGTTTGGACAAGAGTTGCCCATTTGGGATATATATTATCTGCTAAATAATACCACATGTTGTACTCTTTACCTTGAATGACATAATGTGCGGGAGGGGCAATTCCTTGAGTAAGGTCAGAAAATAAATGAGACCTCTCTAACACATTAATATCATTGTTGGATCCAGGCATACCAAAGTATGCATGCCATATCCAAAGATCATAATCAGCTATAATTTCTAGAATAATAGTTGGAGATTTACTACGTCCTGTATATGCACCTGCCCAAGCTGTTGGACAATTTTTCCAACGCCAATGCATAAAATCCAGACTACCTAACATTCCTGGAAAGCCACGTTGCTTACCGATATGAAGGAGTCTAGCAATGTCATTGGCGTTGGGAGAACGTAGATATTGCGCTCCGAATATCTCTACAACAGCACGACAAAATTTCTTTACGCATTCAATTGCGGTGGACTCTCCAATATTTATGTATTCATCTGTCGCATCTGCTGGTACATGATGTGGAGCAAATTGAAAATGCAAACATCAGTGGAGCTTCTGAACATGATGTGGTAAGAAATTTTACAACCATTATTTATTTATATTTAAAATAAACATTTATATTTTCTAATGTTATTTATTTTCACATTGTAGATGGAGCGTGCAAATATACTTTATTCTCAAAACCCAAAAATAAAAGTAATAAACCATTCAAGTACGAGCATGTGTGGAATATTATGAAAGATTTTACATTGTTTGAGTGCACATCAACCAGGCGAAACACTTTTTCATCTCAACCGCAATCAGATGCACAACCCGAGTCTCCCATTTCACCTAATCCAGAACTCGCTAATTTTTCTATTAATTTAAGCGATGAAAATGCTAGTGGTGGTTCATCATCACAACGGCCATTAGGTATTAAAAAATCAAAATTCAAGAGAAAACAGGGAGAAGACGTATCTGCAGTTATAAAAACAATGAAAGAGGAAAATGAAAAATTTAGAGAGATGATGAGAAGTTCAGCAATGAAGAGAGATCATGACAGTGAGATGATAAGAGAAAAAATTGAAATCCAAAAGCAAAAAAATGAATTAAGAAAACAACTTGTTGAGACTACCACATGGACAGAGGAAAATAAAATTTTAATGATGGATTTGGAGTCAATACAGATAGCCGTCGTCGTGAATATTTTAAAAATGAGCAAGAACGAATTCTGAAAAAAAGAGAAGGATCACAGCCATCACAAGCCAGCAACACTTTTGGTTCTTTCAGTGAGTTTTTTCAAGATCTTGGCGGGTCTGGAAGTGGTTTGGGAGACTACTAGAATTATTCGTGTGTTCCTTTGATTTTTATGTCATCTTTAATCATGTTGTTTTTATTTGTGTGTTAAGTCATTTTTAATCATGTTGTTTTTATTTGTGTGTTTAGTCATTTTAAATCATGTTGTTTTTATTTATGTTCTATGATTTATGTGTGTTGTAACTTTAATTTTAATGAAATAAACTTGTTTGAGTGTGTTAAATTTTTATTCATATGGTATCATTTTAATATTAAAAAATTACAAAATAAAATTACAATACATCAATAAATAAAAAACACAAAATTATTTAGCATAAAAAATACATTACACAAATTATTTAGCATAAAAAATACATTTACTAATACACATTATACAAAAATTTATTAATAATAATACAAAAAAAAACAAAAAAAAAATATAATTGTAGAGTCGAGGAACAGTGTTGCGCCACATCTGGCGCAATACTGTTCCCGACTCTTATCTGGCGTAAAGTTTCAGCGACACACTGACCATCGCTACTCCAGCGCAAAACACCATATCTGGCGCAGCGCTGGAGTGGCTCTAAGAAGTAACCTTACCTATGAACAATACTACTAATGATACGATGATATCAAATCATTAATGAATCAAGCCAATAACTACGATAAGATAGTGTTTTATGAGGAGCCCTATATATGTTTACTTGCATCACAAGAAGAGTTTAACTATCCATTAGATTGACATAGGAAAAAATTCAAATCCAATCGCCATGGTTTTATGCAGACGAGGAGCAGCAGCACTCAACATGGCTTCGAAATCCTACGCTGGTTTGATTTTCAATTCATTTACTCGACATGGGCGTAAGTTGAGTACGATGATTAATGCTAATGTGCCGAAAACCAAAAGGTCACCTTCCACGCCTTGGCTGATGCTGCCACCTGTTTTCCAAGGCGATAACAAGAATAAAAATTTAGATATGTTTTACGAGTTTTACAGCCTGGGGTTGGACAAAGTATTAAGTGTCCCCAAGAGATCAATAACAGATGATGATGATGATGATGATTTGGAGATTGTGGGATCGTCTCGGGGCTGGCTTGCTCTTTTTAACAAGGAAAATTACTGTGACCTCTTCCTCTCCAATCTTCTCACCGGATGTCACATAAAGCTTCCATCCCTTTACCCATTATCCCACCATGAATTGAATGTACACAACGTTGTCATCTCATCCGACGACCCGTTTGATGAAGACTGCCGAGTCTTGATCACTTACACTCCCTGTCCAAGTGATGGATTAGCCTTCTGCTGTCCGGGCCAGTACGCCTCTGAGTGGACCCGAATCGGAGACCCCTCAACCTCATTTCAATTTGAGTCCTTAACGTATTCGAGCAAGCAGAAGCTCTTCTTTTGCGCCAAAGGGCCATCTGGTAGAACCGACCACATCGAGGCTTGGGACCTCCGTGACCCACTTTCCCCCAAAATGGTTCCCCTGCCTCCTGTGACTGTGGACGAAGACAATTACCCGGTTGCATCCCACTCGGAGTTAGAGTCGGATCTCAAGGGTCTATGCGGATAAGATAGTGTTTTATGAGGAGCCCTATATATGTTTACTTGCATCACAAGAAGAGTTTAACTATCCATTAGATTGACATAGGAAAAAATTCAAATCCAATCGCCATGGTTTTATGCAGACGAGGAGCAGCAGCACTCAACATGGCTGCGAAGTCCTGCAATGGTTTGATTTTCAATTCATTGACTCGATATGGGCGTAAGTTGAGTACGATGATTAATGCTAATGTGCCGAAAACCAAAAGGTCACCTTCCACGTCGCCTTGGCTGATGCTGCCACCTGTTTTCCAAGACAATAACAGGAAGAAAAAGTTAGATATGTTTTACGAGTTTTACAGCCTGGGGTTGGACAAAGTATTAAGTGTCCCCAAGAGATCAATAACAGATGATGATGATGATGATGATGACTCGTGTGTGCCAGGCGATAATTTGGAGATTGTGGGATCGTCTCGGGGCTGGCTTGCTCTGTTTAAAGAGGAAAATTACAGTGATATCTTCCTCTCCAATCCCCTCACCGGACGTCACATAAAGCTTCCATCCCTCGACCCGTTGTCCAACAAAGATGGCTTGAATGTAGACAACGTCATCATCTCATCCGACGACCCGCTTGAACAAGACAGCCGGGTCTTGATCACTTGCACTCCGAGTGAATTGGCCTTGTGCTGCCCTGGCCACACCAAGCCCGTGTGGACCCGAATAGGAGACCCTTCCACATCATTTCAATTTGACTCCTTAACGTACTCGAGCAGGCAGAAGCTCTTCTTTTGCGCCAAAGGGCCATCTGGTAGAACCGACCACATCGAGGCTTGGGACCTCCGTGACCCACTTTCCCCCAAAATGGTTCCCCTGCCTCCTGTGACTGTGGACGAAGACAATTACCCGGTTGCATCCCACTCGGAGTTAGAGTCGGATCTCAAGGGTCTATGCGGATACGATGCCGTGTTCCTCGTGCTTTCCGAGCATACGGATGAGCTTTTCCAAGTGCGGCAGTACGTGCTGCAACATGTGGGACCTGATGGCTCATTTTTCGATAATGTCTATAACGAGGGGGATTTTGATGAAAGCGTGCCGCACAAGACAGTTGGGTTTGATGTTCACAAGTATGAACCAAAGACGGGAAAAATGGTTTATATGGATCGTAACTTGGGTGGGCTTGCACTATTCGTAGGCCCCCATGAAGGCTTTGCTCTCCCTGCTCACGAGTACCACGGGTTGAAGCCCAACTCCATTTACTACACCGACATGTATAATTCACGTTACGAGCATCGGTATGGAGGCCATGACATCGGCATATTCAACTATGAAAACGAGACTTTCTCGCCATGCTATTATCCATGTGACTTGAAGAGCATGATGACCAAGATTGCGCCCAATCCTATTTGGTTTAGGCCATCCCCTTGTGCATTCATTTAGATTCCTGCCTTTATTCTATTTACTGATTTTGTTTGTTTATGCCACTATTGACTGGATTATAGATGAATTGAATGCTTATGTTTCCTCCCATAGATTCATTCATTCATGCTGAAATCATTTCTCTTTTGTTACGAGGTCACACAAAAACATAATATAGCAAAGAACATTTTCAAAATCGTGCTCATATCACAATTTAATAATGTACTGTCTACAGACTAGTTTCAGACAATAAAGAAAAATGAGAAAATTTATAATAATTACCAATGCCCTCCCATTGCTCTGCGCCTGGGCCGGTGAGCTTGATCTAACCTTCATAACAGGAGTTGCTCTTTGAACTATGTGTGAATTCTGGCTTGAGCTAGATACAAGCTCATCCCAGAGCTCGCCCTCCAGTTTCACCTCCAGTTTCACTTTGTTTCTCAACTCGTGTAGTTTTTCAAGCTCTTGCTGGAGATACGCCTAACAAGAACACCCGAAAGAAATGGATCACTGGGCCTTCCTTCCATACACTGCATATATCAGCATTATGCTCAAAAGGGACCATAGTAAGATATCTACCACGAAACTCTGCCGTCATTTCATGAGCCAAATCAGACCACATTGCCTGTCTTTGAACTGCAGTCTCTGCATTTTTCAGAAATCTTCTTCTTTCAAGAGCTATTCTAGCCTGTTTACGTAAACCACAATTGAGAGATTAGGATACCATATAGAATCTATAACATTAATTTGTTTTTTGTCATATAATTATCTCGAAAAGTACACAAAAATGTTATCAGCTCTAGGATAAACCCTTACTACCTGTTGCTATATTCTAGTAGAGGTAAGTCAAGGATATTTACTTTTGAGTGCTTGCGATATCACATCAATCATAAAAATCAAGATTTCTGAACAAAGCACAACTTTCAAGNCACAACTTTCAAGGAAAAAAAAAAAAAGATATTAGGAGTGGTAAGTGAACCTATCTGAGGAAGTATGATTTTCACATAAACGACACAGTTAACTAAGATCATGATCACTGAGGGGTAGCATAATTACAATATTAGATGAAAAGATCGAATGAATAACCTTGGTTACAGGAAGTAGTGTAACTGCATGTGAAAAGGCGACATCAGTTAATGGTGCAGGCAGTGGATTTGATGCTACATCAGCCGCAAATGTTCGCCTATGCACTTCCCTCAGAGCATGCAGGGAAAGTTGCCATAATAGTTCGATAAACCTGCACTAGCACAAAAAAGTCTAGTTACCTCTTGCATAGAAGACCGTCATTTGAAAGTGTTTCAAACACATCCGAGATCCAAAAGAAGATGAGGAAAAAAGGATCACCGGTGGTACGAAATGTTAGTTTTAACCATGGAATCCCGGCTATTCCAACCGTTTAAGCAAGTTATCAGCCGCTATCTTATATTTCTCAGACACACGTATAAATCCTACTTAGTCTGAAATTGGTTCACATATTTCCAATGACCAAACATGGAGTTTATCTGATCAATCAATGGCTCTCGAAGTCAAGTGGAATAAACTCAAGGTTAAACTATTCCATCTTAAATAGCCTGTTGTAACAACTTGCACTAGGAAAGCCTTGTTCAATGTGTCTTTTATCCAAAGTCAGAGCAAAACCCTATCTGATGAAAAATTTATATTCAACCAGCTTCTAACTGCTACTCAAGTTTTTCTTACACCAGAACAAGACAGACAACCTCAAGGCCATCGTACCTCCATGGCTCCATCACGATTTAATATATCAAACAAAATATCAACTACTCATAGAATTCCAGATATTAATCAAAGACAACCACCTGGAAAAGATTGATCAATCTGGACACAAAAAGATTTTCGTGTAAACTAACCTCGGACCGCAGCAAGTTGCAAGGGACGAAACACTTGAATTACTTCTAGGCAGTGCCCCTTGTGATTCCAGTTCACTAATAATCCCTTGCACCACCTAACAGAATTCCCCCAGGTGAAGGGACAATGAAAAATATTATAACTTCAAGTCAGACTAAACATACTCCTATGCAGGCAAATCCCAGAAATTCCACAATTATTACCTTCCGAAAATCCCTAGACTTAGCTGAATCGAAAATGGGCCACATCTTATCAAAGTCTTGTCAACAAGGATCTACGCTTAGAAGAATATTACAGCATTAGAGAACAAAAACCAGAAAAGAATAAGAGAATGCTGCTAAGATAGAACTTGTCTGTGCAAATTCAAAGTTGATCAAAATACGAGATGGAATTTGCCTTGGCAGATTGAACTGGGCCGCGGAGAGATGACAGGATGAAGTACAGCATCTGTTCGCCCAATTTGGGGTTAGAGTGCTGGAAAATCCCGACCCGAGGTGCACCGTTGTTCGACCTGACTCCGATAATGGTGGGATCCAAACCTAGCAGCAAGCAATTTGTGTACATTGCACTCTCCAGCTCAATTTCTCTCGCCTTCTCTCTTTCCATAGTTATTCCACACGCACTCACAGCCTCACAGTTCCACTGTGTTTGATTTTCAGGTGGTTAAGTCCGATCGGAGTTCTTTTTTCGGTTTTTGCTTTAAATTTTATCGATTGTAGTTTTGAAAAGATGTGCGCATGGGCGATATTTTTAAATTACGAAATGGTCCTGCATTTATCAAAAGATTAGTGATTAATCATTGCCAGCATTATTTAAGAAAATACAATGCTTTCAAAATAATATAAATATAATATATAATATAAAAAATATAATTATTCACAAAATATAACACATCCAACAACAATCTGAACTTGTTTTGAATTATGCTTATTTTTAATTTATCTATATATATAATTGTAGGCAAAACATTTAATAAAATTATTTTTAGTTTTCCTTCATTTTCGGTTACAAAATTATATCATTGTTGATGTCAAAAATCGGACGATCAACTATCGAATGAAAGTCGAATTTCTTGAATGAAATGAAGAACAAGATCATCATAAATTTGTATTCTCTTTTTATTTTGGAGTTTTTCTCTCTCTTGGTTGATGGGAAGATGATAAAAATGGGGAGAGCTCATCCAACCACCCCTTCTCTCTCCTCTTTCATACATATATATATACCTCCTCTCTTTTAAGTTGTTGGGTATCATGAAAAAAAAAATGAATGGGATCCCCTTTTTTGCTAAGGCCATTTATANTTTTTTTTTTTTTTTTCGACTGGGTGGTATCCCCACATTCATCCGGGGTCTCACCACGAACTCCTAGCCCCCCCTCGGGGTACGGGCCTAACAGGCTACGGGCTCCACGCCCAGAGAGTCGGGACTAATCCACCCAGGAGAGCAGGAGTGCCCCATCCCCTACTCCCATAATAGTCAGGATCGTACCCCTGACCTCTGGCTTCAACAGAGCTTTACCCCTCCACCAACGACCAGTTGCCCTCACGCCCTGGGGGCAAGGCCATTTATATTTATATGGTCCTTTTTTTACAAGTGGGGGAATAAATAAATAAAAAATGGTACATCATTATTTAATGTGAGATATTCATCGTGGGGCCCGCTTATCAAATAAAAAAATGAATGATTGATATTTATTAGCAAAAAAAATAAAAATTAATCATACCACATTTTTCAAGTTTAACCAAACCAAACCAAAAAAATCAATCAAAATAAAAAAATCTTATATCTAAGTACCAACAGTAATTATAAACAGTAGCATTACTAGAGGGGACTATGAAACTATTAAATTGTTTGCACTCACAGCCTACATACATACACCAACATGACTAGCCTTGCAGACTAGTTGTTATTTTAATATATAAATACCACAGAAAGCACACACTCCACATATATATTCAACATGAATTCTAGCCTTGCAGACTAGTTATTGTTTTAATATACATAAATATATATGATCACCAGAGAATGCACATTGAACATAAATTGAACATAATTTTTACATGTAATATAGCCAAAAGAGGCAGTACCAGAAATAAATCACATAACATCACGTCATATGACATTCATGACAGAATCAGTGAAAAAACCAAGCATAATATAATATTACAACTCCTAGAAACCACCCGGGGTAAATCACATAACATCACTTATAACACATACATGATTACAGTATTGAATAAAAGAAACAGAATCACTGAATAAATAAAGTGCATACCTCTCAGAAAGCAGGGCCTATGCATCGGGTCAGTGAAGGCATTCACACCAGAAGAGACAGCACGGTCATACAGCTTGGGAGAAAGCACGATCGCTACGTCAAATAAAAAAACAAATAAAAAGCAAAACGAACAGGAATTATTAAATTGCTGAATAAACAAAGATATAATATACCTCTCAGTGCCGAATAAACAAAGATAAAATACCTCTCAGACAGCAGCAAGGCCTACGCTTCGGGTAAGCAAAATTCGCACCAGAAGAGACAGCACAAGGATGGTCTGTTAAAATATCAACACCTCCTTTTGGGAAGGACCCAGAAACATCTAGAACAATCTGAAAAAATGTGGAACATTGTGGAATATTGTGGCAGGTTCCGGAGGCATCTAGAACGACCCAAAAAAATGTGGAAGGTTCCGAAATATTGTAGAAGGATCTAGAAGCATGTAGAACCTTTGAGAGTAATGTGGAGTCTTCTAGAGCCTTCCCAAATATTGTAGAGAATTGTAGTAAGGATATGTGTGTAGGAGCTTTTTAGAAGTATCTAGAATGCCCAAGACATTAGATGTTCTAGAGAATTTCTTTAGAGGAGGTGGTGGCTATAAATAAAGGAGACCACCTCATTTGCAATGATCCCAATAATCCAAGCATCTAAGAGTTTAAGTAAAAGTGTGTGTATGTTATAGTTAGTGTGTTTTGGTCTTGATAAGTGAAGAGTTGTATCTTGGTCTATATTGTGTTATGTAATTACTTTGTTAATCTAATAAAGTAATTACATTAGTATCCAAATAAAGTAATTACATTAGTATCCACGTGTTGTGAGTGTACCAATGGTCGTTATTCAGTAGCTTCAGAGTAACAAAGTAATTACATTAGTATCCACGTGTTGTGAGTGTACCAATGGTCGTCATTCAGTAGCTTCGCAGAAAGCTTGTTAAATGCAAAAAATAAACTCAAATGCAGATACAAAATTATAACAATAATAACAGCAGGAATTAAGTGTATAAGGAACTAAGCTTTATCTATCACCAGATTTAGCCAGACCATGTGAAATGCCATAGTGTGTATCAGTGTGTGACTGCGTCAACTGAACAAAAAATGTGAGGGAAAAATGTGAAATGCCATTAATTGGAGTTGACTTTTCTGGATACTATTTATAGTAAATAAGATTCCTGTTTATATAAGAATAGATTTGCTTAAAATGAGTTATTTTGATTAATTATTGTTAGTGGGATTTAATAATGTATTAAAATAATATTTAAAATAAAATAATTATTATAGATTTGATGTAAAAGTAGGAGATAAATGATTGAAAATGATAGGTAGTTAAAATTATATGAGTGGATGAATATTGAGTTAAAGTTGATGTGATATATAAAAATGCTTGATTTATAATATTTAATTATATAAATAATATTAAGGATAGTGGAGTTGAGTTACAGTTGAGTTATATTTATTCTCGAAAGAAAGCGAAAAACGAGAAAAAGCAATAACCATGGGTTGTCTCCCACGAAGCGCTCATTTTAATGTCTTGAGCTCGACGTCCCCAACTCAAATCAACCGGGATCCAAGAAGAAATGACGATCGTGCCACGCCTTTGTATTCTCCAAAAGTAGACGAGCTAGGAGAATAGAACAAAGGCGGGCCCAATTCACTCTCGTGACCGAATTCTTGTGAAACCAAGCACGGACATCAACAAACACCAAGAGAAGAGATAAATCCTTACGAACCAAGACCCCACACTCGACCTCCGAAAATATGAAAATGTCCATGGAGCACGTCGAATTGATCCCAATCATCATGTGTATCATCTCGGATGCGTACTCATCGATCTCAAGCATCGAGAGTATGGGTGTGAACACGCTAGACTCCTCCAAATAGTCTTGATCCTCAACAAAACGAAATGACGACCCAAAGGACATCGGAACTACGTCAAACTCAACATCACAAGTCAAATCATCAATCAACGCACACCTCGGGTATCACATAATGGCTCGGAATCCTCCTCAACAACATCCACCACGTCATCAACTACCTCATCCACCTCAAAGTCATCCTCCCGAGTACCATCAAATCCGCTCGGCACAACCGAATCCTCAAATGAACATTCCCCCATACCATACACCATATCAACTTCCGAATCTATGCACTCACTCTCAACAATTGAAATCGAACTCAAAGCACAATCAGCGGAAGTAAAGGTTGATGTACCTAATGTAGAATGCACGGCCGAATCGTCAAGAGAGGAGATTTCTTTAGCAACCAAATCGTCGATGTCCTCACTCGTGTCGAGAGGTTGCGTACCGTCATAAACGAGAGTGAGACCCATCTCTTTCAAGGAGGCAAACCTATCCACCATTGCTCGAAATTCTCCCTCTAACCGAGTACTCCCCCGAATAATCTTCGCCGATAGAGAACAATATCTACCGAGCAGAATGTGAGAGGCATCCAAATCAAGAAAAGAGACCACGGTAGAGTCAAACTTCGTGAGTGTGATTTGAAGAACGGATGGAATGCGAATGCTCTTCCAACTATGAAACTCCTCAATGATCGACATGAGACTCGCAAGTGCCTCTTGAGTGCTTGTCAAAACATCTCGGTGACGTTCGGTAGGCTCAACCATGGTTGGAATTGAAGCTTCGAAACCCAATGTACAAGGTTGGCCAACCGATAGGTGCTCATATGATGAAGAGGGTGGAGCATAAAACTCAGTTTCTTCTTTCTCGGATATGGGAGCCATTGAAGCGCGAAGGGATTGATTGCACTTCTCCAATTGCTCCATAATCTCGTCTAAACGGCTTGGAGAAGCTTCCCGAGTCGGCTCGGGTGGAGGTGTAGCATCATAAAAATAGGGAGGCGGGGGATAGTAGTGAGGCGTCTCGTCGTGACCTGGAGAAAAATAACCAAAATCGGCTTGGGATGTCGGGTAAGAATGGCTAGGATACGGATAGGACGGCCCTCCATACGGGTACATCTCCTCTTGATAATTGTCGGGGTATCCACGAGACGAGCTACCGGTATAAGAACAACCGTACGGATCCATCGGAGCTCCTCAAGCGAAACACCTCGCACAAGAACAACAAAACAACCAAGCCACACGAGACCAAGAAAAGGAAAAACACAAAAACACAACTAACACGATACGATATTTACAAAAAAACACATATCAAAAAGCAAGAGAAATAGAAAATAAGCAAATAATCAAGAGAAACACGCAAAATCAAGCAAAATCCACAAAAGCAAGAGAAACACGTAAACAAACGACAACTAGATAGCAAACTTGGCGTCCTACTCGCCTTCCCCGGTAACGGCTCCATTTTGTTTGTAGTATTTTTGGGTAAGTGGTAACCGAGCTACCCGGACTCGGGTCGTTCTCAAATGAAGGCTATTCGGAGCTTCGTTCACTACCTAGTTGTCAAAGTCACATAACCAAAAACAAGGTCCTACACATTCTACTTGCTTGATGGGATTTGATTGCACGAAATTAAACTACGAATCTAAAGGCAAATGATGAACAATGCGCGAATCGAATTTATTAATAGAATACAACAACCATGTAATAAAAAAATTATATCTAAAATTTTAAACAATTGTTTGAAATTTCAAATTATTCTTTACAAAATATATTATATTTAATCTTTAAATAATATATGTCACTTGTGTGAGGTCTCGTTATATATTTTTTTTAATTCATATTCTACAATAAAGTTGATGGATAAATTTATTTAATGAGTAAATAATTTTTGTTCATAACAACATGAACGAACCCACATTAGCTCCAGGGGTATGCCTAAATTTAAAAAAGAAAATATGGCATAGATGTAAATATTATATATATATATATACATATATATTAGTTTAATATAAAGTAATAATATTCTTACTTGTTGTAATATAAAATATACTAAAAAGTTTTATACTTTTAAATTCTAACTCAATTTTTGTAAAAGTTCATATTTATTTAACTTTGCCTCTATTAATTAGAAACCGATTTAATGAATCGCCTAACTAAAGTAACTTTTTTGAATGTTGATATTTAACTTTGCCTCTATTTAACTTTTTTGATTATTCAAATTTTTGAATGTTGATGTTTTACTTCATTTTTTTTGTGTAGTTATATTTATTAACACTATTATTTCTAAGGAAAATGGTTGGTTGATAAGTTCATATCAATAAGAAAGATGCAATGCTATAAAAATCAATGAAAGTAACTTGTTTGTCCTATTTGCTATTTTCATTATTGATTTGCTTGTACTTTTCCCCCATTTTATGTACTTTTTTAGGTTTTCGGTTCATCTAGTCGCGTGTTTGACCTTATTTTAGTTTTTTTGGTGTTTTTTTTCCTCAATTTTTGTGAACGTCGACCAGGTGTTCAAAACTTAAACCAATCATAGGAGAAAGTAGTTATTCCAAGGGTTCAAGTACATTTATCTAGAAGGGTTTGTTGGCGAAGAGTAGGAAAGAACGGAACTCAATTCCGAGTCAGGATGAACACGTACGAGCAGGTAGCGCACATGCGCGCAACTGTCGCCTAGCCTCACGGACGGTCGCCCAGCAGCTCCACGTACGCCCCGTGCATATTCGTACATGCTCGCAGCAGACCTCGTGCACCCCCAGGCAGACCTCGCATACGCCCGCGCACACGTCACGCACCCGCAGAGTGCCTAAGCTGCTCGCGATTTGCGGTATGTTCAGAGCCTACCAGCGCTCAGGCCTCCCCAGACCAGTGACCAACAGCACTCCCCACCCTGCGGACAGACCCGCGACTTGTGCACATAGCAGCGCCCAGGCGTCCCAAGACATGTGACCAGTAGCCCTCCATGACCCGCGGGTCGTTGCGACCACGTTACGAAATTCGAATTTTTTGGTTGTTTTTCGAGGGCTATTTATTGGGATTAGTGTCCAACCCTAAAAGAACACTTCCACTTCGTTTTTCCTCAGCTTTTCTCCCTTGGAAACAATCTTTTGATCTTAGTGGTGGATGACACTCCAAGAATCAACTTGTAAATAGTTTTATAAGGATTAATCTTTCTCCCTTTTACCTTTTTGCTCGTGCGTGGATTGTTGGAGCCAAATACAACTGGGATCGAACTCTTGCAATTCATGACCGGATCTGTAAGTTTTCATTCATCTATTATTATTATTGATTGGATTCATTTATTTAATTCGATTAACATGAAATTCGATCCAGGTATGAGATAATTCATTCTCCTAGGGCTAGGGTTTTCAATTCTTGTGTCGAATTATTTTGAATGTGTATTGTTCAACTTGTGCACGTTGATTGATTAAAAAAATTAGCCGATTGATTAGCGTATACTTCACTTAAATAGTCTAAAAATGAAAGGGGGTGGATTGTTCGACCACGACATACATAGGGTAGACTTGTTCGTAAAAGTATTGTCTATGTCTTATTTGATTGAATGAGTTTGGTGTTTATGTTTGTGCTCTTGTTACAAAAAGCTATTGAGCATAAACCTCTATACGTGTAGGCTTGTTGAATCACGTAGCCGAACAAAAAAGCATTCAGCATAGGTTTGGGACCTGGTGAGATTTCTCGACACCTTAGAACTTCTGCTAATTCTCTAGAATTTTATTGTTATTTAATTATTTTAGTATTCTTTAGGTAATTCAATCAAACTTCAATTTTGATTAAAATGTTTAACCAATTTTAAATTTCGAAATGTCTTATTCGAGAGATCGACCCAAGGTTGGGATTCATTTCGTACTCGATAATAAAGCACAATTTGCTACAACATAACTTTTCAATCAAAAAGGTTAATTTGTTATATATTTAGACGTTAAACTAATAAATAGATGAAATATCATGATTTTTNATATGGATCTTAAAATCTCCAAAGAAACTTGATGGTTATCAAAAATCGTAAATATAAGGACATATCTTTTTATTTAAAATGAATGTTGCAACTCATATTGAGTGTTACAACTTAAATACGGATTCTATGCTTATTTAGTCGTTTTCTTTATCTATCCCACTGCTGCGACTTGCTTTGCTGGGTTCTCCTTATTTCACCCTGGTTTAATTGTCTTGGTTTTCTGAGTTTTTGTTGTTTCTTTGATTTCACCTCCTTCATCATTTATGTTTGGCATTCTTGATGTTGTTTCTTTGATTTCACCTTCTTCATCATTTATGTGTGGCATTCTTGATCTCTGGAGGTCCCTTTGATGTAGTTTCTTTTGTTTCTTTAGAATTTGGACCAATGGCAGCCTAACCACTGGAAAAACAATAAATAAAAGAAACTGAAATGTGTAGTCACTAGTCAGACGTTAGTATCAATCGAGAATACCTTTCCGTAGAAACCTAATAAAGGAACTCCACCACCACCATCATATTCTAAGGCCCTCGAGATCAGTTTTGAGTTTTCTATAATCTATAACAGATTGGCATGAAAAATAAACAACAATCAAAGAAACAATATGACATAGAGAACCGATTACATAAATTCATATTCATATATTTATCATTACCATGTCCACTGCTATCCTCAAAACAGAACGAGAGAGTTTTTTAATGCTCTATCACTCTCTTAGCACCATCCAAGGTATTCGTTAACAGAACGAGAGAGTTTTTTAATACTCTATCACTCTCTTAGCACCATCCAAGGTATTCTTTAACAGCATGGCAACAGTCATGGGCCCAACACCACCAGGAACTGGAGTTATAAATCCGGCTACCTTACATGCTTCCTGAAAGTCAACATCCCCAACCAGCCTATAACCAGACTTCTTACTTGGATCATCTACCGCATTGGTTCCCACGTCAATTACAGCAGCACCAGGCTTAATCCAGCTGCCCTTTATCTGAAAACCACACAACAACAGGGCTTCTCATCATGAATTCATAAACATAGTCGATATAAACTTATGAGTACTACCAAAACTCAAGCCAAGGGTTTAGGCAGCCTCATATGGATAATATTTTGCAAACACCATGAATTGCATTTAGTTAGAAAAATACCCCATTCAGGGCGTGTTGTGTTTGTGTATTGGTTATAGACTAAACCTCGTGTGATAATCCTAAAGATTACTGGAAAAAAAGCAACAGGGTTATGATTTCATCTCATTACCATCATTGCTTGTCCTGCAGCAGCAATAATAATGTCGGCATTACGAATGATGCTCTCTGGTTCATTGCTACGAGAATGGACTACAGTAACTGTGGCATCTTCCTTCAGAAGAAGCAGTGAGACTGGTAAACCGACTATGTTACTTCGACCCACAACGACCGCATTCTTTCCCTTAATACTCACGCCACTTCGGGTTAGAAGCTCGATGCAGCCCTGTTTATTACAAATGGGCCAATCAATATTCAAGAAATAGTAAAAGCAATTGAAGGTCTCGACATAGCATCTAAACTGTTCTCAGGGTAGAAAGCGGTGAACGCATAAATTACTTTTGGCGTACAGGGGACGAACAATGGATCTCTGCCTTTCATTGCCAATTTGCCAATGTTGAGAGGATGAAATCCATCGACATCCTTTTCAAGTGATATTTCACTCAATATTTTCTCCTCATTTATATGTTTAGGCAACGGTAGCTGTACCAGTATACCTGCAACGATCATACATATAATACCTCAGTTTTCCAGTTTTATTGCATTTTATAGATCAGAAAAACAAAAAACACATACTCCAAACATAGTCGATCTGAAAGTATTTGTTAGCATCACGATACCCTACTCAATCCCTCAAGTAATAACAAGATTAGCCACCAGATAATTTAGTGGTTAAATATAAAACTCATCAAGTCGTCTTTGTAAAGTGAAATCTGCGAGATAGCAGTGAGAATAGATGAGATGCCTTCAAAACACAAGAACAATCTAGCTTGCATTATAAACAAATGCCAATGGATTTGAACACAATCATATCAAGATAATGCAGCGGAAAATAAAATAAAGCATACTCCAATGAAAATCCAAATTTCAACAAACCATGAACATTGGGATTCACATTCAGCTCATGGACTTTGGATATCAACTCAGATTCAGATACTTCCTCAGGAAGGTCCAAATCTATGGAATTGATACCAACTTCAGCACAGGCTTTCCTTTTCATATTGACATAGCTCTGTGAATCTTTCCTTTGCCCCACAATAACCACCGCTAGACCAGGCACCTGAAATGAACACAAAGCCACAATTCACAAAACCTGTTCAATTACTGGCTACATCAACTGAAGTTCTACAAGTACATTAACAAGAAAAATTCTCAATGTATCTTTCAAAAGAAAATGTTGCATTCAGTTAAATAAAGGGAAATCGATTATTCGTTTTTTTTTTTTTTGNAAAAGTGATTAAAGAGAGACCTTGCCGTAAGTATCGGACAGGCGGCGGACTTCGTCCGCGATTTCGGATCGGATTGTTTGGGCGACTGCCTTGCCGTCGATGATGGTGGCTTTCTTGTGATCCGACATCGTTTTGCGAGGAAGAAAACAATCAATTGGAATATGGGATGACAGATGGTGGTGCTCTGAAAGCCCGAGTGTGCGACTGTGCGGTCCAGCAGTAATAGTACTAGCTGCATTGGATTTTGTACATTACTCTTGCTTTTTATAGATTAATTAATTATAATTAATTATAATAACTTAAAGAGAGATAATAATAATAATAATAATCATAATATTGAATAAGAAAAAAACAGATAATCCATTTTGTCAAACAAATTTATTTTGCTTTTTTATATTAACTAACCCTAAATCAACTTACTTATCTTTAAGTAGGTTGGGCTGGCATTTTATTTTATAATTTAAATAAAATTGATATTTCTTAACTATATGATACACAATATAAAGAAAATTTTATATAATATATAGGTGTGTATATCTGCAATTAAATAAAGAAGTAAGAAGTTTANTCAAAAGAGATATTACTAGTGCGGCAAACGAGCCTAACCGAGTCGAGCATTGGGCTTATCGAGCATGATTGAATTTTTTTTAGCTCGTCGAGCTCGATTTAAGAGGTTTGAGTTCGACTCGATAAGAAAATACAATAGCTCGAGCTTGGCTCGAACTCGACTCGAAATCAAATGCTCGAGCACGGCTCGAGTTTGACTCAAACATTTTAAGTGAAATTACCATTAAGCACTTGTGTTATATTATTTAAATATATATAAGTTCTATTTAAATAATTTAATATATATATCGAGCCAGTCGACAATACAGAATATTGGCTCGAGCTCGACTCGAGTTCGTGCTCGAGCCGCTCGAACTCGACTCGAGTTCGGTGAAACTCGAGCTCGAGTCGAGCTTTGACTCGAGCACTTGCGAGCGGCTCTCGTTTGCAGCCCTAGACATTACAATAAAAGCACAAGGCTGCATAGTTATCACTAATTTGATGAGCATGTTTTGACATAAGCTAGTTATATATGCATGTAGCATTGTTCCTCAAAATTCCAACCTCAACTCATCTTAATCTACAATTTATGATTTTAATTATTAATAAGAATTTTGATTTGGTTGCTTAAACAAACCACACAAACAAGAAACAAACAGACAAACAACAAATAACTCTCTTACTAATTCTACTCGATTTTTCTAGGCTCGTTTAGAGTTCTCGTATAAAAATCCTAAGGCTAAAAAAATTGTTCTTTTAACTTAAAATCATGCAATACCTTTTTAATGTTTGAACTCAAAAATTCGGGAAATGCTAAATCAATAGGACTTTAATAGTTCGATTTACATACATTAATGTGAGAATGCTTGATTCAATGATTTTGGTAAGCACGGTTGAGTTCTCTCTCTTTCTTTCTTCTTTCTTTTTTCTTTTTTTTTGTAACAAAGTTTTATATCCATAAATTAAAAGAGCTCAAACTAAATTTTATTATGAATATTCCCAACTATGAATAAAAAACTTGATTTACTAAGCTGGGAATTCTTAAAACTTAAAAGCAACAAATATGTATGTGGCAAAATGCTTTATATATAATGAAGTCTAAATGAAGAAAAAACTTGATGGGTTTGTATTCTTGTCTTTCCTTACAAGGTCATTCATTCTCATTAATTCTGCAGCATTCCTGGCAAAGGAACATATTCCTTATTTCACCATAGCTATTAACTAGTAACTTCACCCTTCAACAATTGTTATTTGTCTAATTTAAGATTATTATTAATCTGAACATGTGTTGGTTAGTTAAAATGAGATTATATTTAGACCATAGAATGAGGGGATAATATTGTGTAAGCCAATAATTGGATTATTTGTGGTCCAAATTTGTAGAGCAACTTGAGTTGCAGGTAAAAAACACATTGAGGGATAAATTGGAGCATTCGCTTTTATGGTATGGATGAAGTAATTTCTAACAAAAACACATATAAAAGTTAATAAGAATATAAAAGGATAGAGCAATATTATATATCGTACTATGAATTAGAAACATTGAATTGATGTGCAAATTTGGTTCAAGAGCTCTAGAGCCATACTTAATTAACAAATAATACAAATAATAATGATGATTTATATTAATGAACAATTAATTAAGGAATGTTAATTTCCTATTATTTTCAGTTCTTTTAGTTAGAACACTCGATCATTTTTCTTACTTTTTTTTTTAACCCATTACTTTGAAAATATAAATGAGTACATAAATTTATAGGCATCACACAAATTCAGAAAATAGAACCAATAAACGTGAAGTGCGTGGGCGGAAGGGTCATTTTCATATGCTTTTTTACTTAGATTAGATCTTAAGCACTATTATGTTTTACTTTTCCATTATAAATATCCAAGATAGAAATCTTTATTTATATGATTAATATATTGTCAAATAAGTTGACTAAGATAAATAACATATGTAATCATATGCTTGTCAATTATATAAACATATAATATTATACCATCTTTTATGAAATTACAAAGCTAATTTCAAACATATATGTTTTCTTTTCTTTATTTGCTCTTACACACTAGGGAGAGATTAGAGAGATTTCAATAATATAACTGAAATTCAGGCATGTTTATATTAAATATTCCATATTATACCAAAAAAAATAGATTATTATAATCGTTTGTTTAATATTGATAATAATCCCTTTTTATGAATCATTAAGGGCAAAATAGAACAAAATCGGTTGACACCACGCGTCTCTCTACCAGATTATAGCGTCTTTTTGTCTCTCTCTTCTCCTCCTCAGATTAGTTCTCTTTCTCCGCAAGAAGTAGAATACATCAACTCGCGCCATATATACATACATACATTACATACATACATTACATACATACACTAAGTGTATTTCTCATCGCTTATTGCCAATCATGTCATCGCTCTCTGCATAACCTCTGATGGGTCAAAGATTTGAGTTCTTTTAGGATTATTAGATTCTTGTTCCAAACATAATTGCTGAAGGTATGCCGTCAGCATTGCTTTTATGTATATATTCTTTCATATATTCTTTCTTCCGTGTATGATTGTTGCTTCTATTTGGCATTCATATTTTGTGTTTCATACTAATTTTTAATCACAACAATAGCCCTTATTTATTTATTTTCTAATGATATTGCCTCATCCATAGGTGTATTGTTCTTCTAACCCATACCTTGTTTATCTTGTTTATATGGGTTAATATATTATGTTAGGATTTTTTTTTTATGCCCGTGTAATTATTAGTAGAAAGAAGTAGGGTTTCTGCTGGATTGGATATTTCTTGACTCCCTTTTTTTTCCCTTTTTATTGGTGGGGGGTTTAAAAAGTGAAAGCTTTTGAATTTCTGTTACTTTAATTTGGTAATTGTGTTTCCAATTAATGTAGAGCTGGAGAATATATGGAGTTCAACAAGAAAGAGAATGTTTGTTTTAGTATCAAGTCTGATGATGAGCGTTTGATGGAGTTTTCCCCAGTTGTAGAAAGAAAGAATTTGGTGGACGCAGAAGGTTCTGTATCTGATGAGGGCTATAAAGATATTGCTGATTTGCTGCCCAACGACCCGTTTGGCATGGAGTTCAATATAGGTCTGCCTGTTGACCCCTTTGACATGGATTTCAAAATAAGTTTGCCTGCAGACCCTTTCGGCATGGATTTCGGTAGAGGGACAACTTTCAAGGCCGTTACTGGTTGGATAGAAGAATTCAGTCTAAAAGGTTTTGGCTTTGAGAGCGATCAAGCTCCCGAAGATAAGAATAACGCTGATAGCAAGATAGTTGCTGGGTTGAATTTTTACTGGACCAGCTCTATGGAATATGAGCAGAAGGAGGGAGACAATGAGATTCTTGATCATGGTTTAAGGGCATATTCTAAGGATGGGTCAGATGACGAGCAAGATAAGCTAGGTGGTGAAGTGAATGACTTGATGTGCTTTGGCTGTGAAAAGTATGGGCGCTTTGCAAATTTGAAGGATAATAATGATTCGTATGGGGGTGATCCAGCTGATGCTCTCTTCTTTTCTCTTAGTTATCTTGGTGTTAAGGACCTCCTTTCTGTTGAACGGGTTTGCAAATCCTTGCAGGATGCTGTTCGCGAAGAAATCCCTATTTGGAAAAATATTCGTGTAGATCACCCCTTGAATGGTAAGATTACTGATGATGGTCTTCTTGGGTTAACTAACAGGGCTAAGGGTAACCTATCCAGCTTGAGCCTTGTTAAGTGTTCGAAGATCACAAATACTGGTCTTAAGCGCGTGCTTGAAAGAAATCTGGGGTTGACCAAGGCAAGTTAACTTACATTTATTTGCGTAAAGTTTAAATGTATAGACATGATGCAACTTATTTTTTCTAATTAGTCGTGCTATTTATCCATGCAAACATACTGGTTTTTTTTTAACAAAGTGATCGTATATTATTAAAGACGTGGCAATTTATAGTTTATTATTGTACCCTGTTAGCAAATGCTATGAGATTAGTAATATTCATTATTATCTTACTTGATTTGGCGGGCCAGTTTTGTTTTTGGAAAGGTGGCGGGGGTGGGGATTTAAAAAACACGTATGCCTACAAACAGATAACGAATAGCAATGTTTATTAGTAAGTGATAATTTATAGGTGGCTGATTTAATGATCATCACAGATAAGATATTTCTGTTGATTTTCACAGTTACTGAAATGAAACATAATACCAATTTTGTGCCGAAGTAATCTCTTTTAACTTACTCATTCCATGTATCTAATTTGAACACACATAAGCATTAGGAAAAACTTGCATAGCCCATGATGCTAGCACATATAGAAATTTATTGACGTAACAAAAAACCAGTTAATCTGTTTTTCGCTTATCAAGGCTGTGCTATGATTTGTCTAAGAATATTTGTTAACGAATACATTATTCTTTGTATATTGTTTTATCTTTGTCCTTTTTTATACACTACTTACCATATAAGTCAATTGTTTGGTTCTATTTGCAGTTAAGCGTGCAAGGTTGCCGCAAACTCAGCATTGACTGCATTCTGCATGATCTGAAGGCCTTCAATTCAGTTGCGTATCCTGGCATCAAGCAACTAAGGATTGGTGAGCTGCAGGGCCTAACCATCCAGCACTACACAGAGTTCAACCTTTTGTTAGGGACATGTGAGGACAAAAAGGCCGGGAATTACAAACCGAGGTTTTTTCGAGCGGAAGATCTGTATCTCTCTCTAGACGACGAGCGGGCCATCGACATCGAGATGTGCCCGAGATGCCATCAGGTGAAGGAAGTGTACGATTGCCCTGCTGACACCTGTCGCGAGAAGATCCACTCGGCAAACGCGTGCAGAGGTTGCATTTTCTGCATCTCTCGTTGCATTAGCTGCGGTTGCTGCCTAGACAACAAAGCTTACGAGGAGACTTTCTGCCTCGACTTGCTTTGTCTCGACTGCCTGAGCCAGCTGTTTAATTGCCGAGAGGGTCATGCTTGCTTTCACCAGAAAGCGAGTTATCACTTTTTCTTACGCGGCTAGGCATTGTGGCTTTTTTAGGTATGTATTTAAAAAATGCCTATGAATATGGAATGTGGACGCTATTTGGTAAAAGTATGATAAAGAGATAATCGGTGGTTTATCTTAGTGGCGGACAAGCATTATAGTTAACGTATTATGATGGGGAGGCTTAGATGCTTGATTGAGATTTTCTCGATTTCGAAAAAAGGCAGTGAATTTGATACTATCATGATGGAGTTGAGGTGGATGACGTGGAACCAGCAAGTTCATCTTGCCATCGTTTTTTGACGAGTTGTGGATTGGCATTAACAACTAATGAGTATGGAATGTGAAGTTGTCAACAACTTTTGATTGGTGTTTGAAGGGGTTGGTGCTTGTTTGTGTAGCCAAAGATAGAATTGGCTTATTATGGTTGGGACTTGGAAGATTATTGAGTGGTCATGTATTGCTACCACCAACGATTCATTCAGACTTTGCTGTGAGAGAAAAGAGCTTCTTGTCTTGTGACATTTGGTAGCTTCAGTCGTTGCTGAATGCTGATAGGGGAAAAAAAGAGTAAACGTGTGTTAGTTGTGTTTTATTTTGTAAGTGAAGAACAGTTGATTATTCCATTATATATGCATATATATTCTATAGTTTCTTTAGAAATGAATGATTCTGTGCAACTTGGATCGATTCTTTAAGTATGAAGTATTTCTTGTTTTGCAAGAGTTTGTTGTGGTAACAAGATTTTTAAGCTCTTCGGATTACAATTTGGCTTGCCTGTTAGATAAAACTGTCATAAAAGCTTCTTAATTAGAAGAAGAAGAAGAAACCTTAAAAGGAAATAGAGTCTGTGAGTGGAGACAAAATTATGCATTTATGCTGTGTGTGATATTAAAATATATCTCGATTTATTATTACTTATTTTATTTTATTTTAAGTATGCTATCCGCTCATCTCAAATTTACCACCTTTTATTTTAATAATAAATAATTTAAAGTAAACTCAATTATTAACAACCACACACTATAAAAGTTATTATTTATCCACTCATACATATATCTACCTTTCATTATTTTATTCGGTTTACATAACATCAACTTTAATTATTTCATTTTTATCTTATCATAATCATACTTTTAAAATTTACTTTTCTTCCATAAACTTTTTTTCTATTATAAAAAAAATCCAACAAACCGTATTCAGTCGCGCATACGAGGGAGATAAGAAAACTAGATCCGTGAGTTCCACCTTACTTGGAGAAAATTGAAATATGCAAATGGGCACGGGTGCACTATTCAACAAGTATAATATATGTCTAACTAAAGTGTATTTTGTGTATTTCGGCAAACATCACCATTAGATCTAATTGTGCAAAGACATCTACATTTAATTAAAGTTACGTAGTAAAAATTTATCTTTTGTATAAGGTCTCGTGTAATATTTGTCGAAAATCAAACATTCATGCGTCACTCTTAAATCATCGGGCAAAGGGAACAGTACAAAATGCTATAACATTTTTTTTTCGATATAACCAAAATACAAAAAATAATATTTACGTATCATAATCGAAGCGTTGTTTAATACATTGGAACAAATGACTAGAAACTAATTGGAAAGAGCCAAAAATATTTCCATGGATCTCCACAAAGGATTCGAAGCATAAACAAAATCAATCGCCGGTTTAAAAGTCGAGACAATGGATCCTCGGTAGCATGGTGAGCAAATTCACGCTGATAGTGTAAAGATGCGCTTCGCATTAGAATTTCTGACCGCCACATACGTTATTATTAGCAGTTGCAGACTGTGATTGTGATATGTTTTTTTAGCAAGTTGAAGCTTTTGTGAACGATCTTGCGGTTGACAAGTTTTTGTACTGGATCTCGACCGAGCTAACTTTACTCCGTCTTGACGATCATTCGGATTTTCCGATACATGTTTTATTGCTCTTCTATTTGCCATAAAATTGTTGAACAAGGAGAAAATTCAATGTTAAGGTTTAGAGAGACTGTTCTGATTTGTTCAAAAGGCAATAAATATTGAGGCAATTTATGATTTCATAAAATATGCTCTTTCATTATAATAGACTTCCACATAAAAAAGATGATTAGTGTGTTTATTTCAATTAATTTCTGTAATTTTATAAATAAAATACAGATTTTGTATTCCTAAAATAAAATTCAATTTCAACCATGAGCTAAGTAAATTTCTCCTAATTTTATTCATACAAATATGTAATCCAGTCACGAAGCAATACTGGGCCTAATTTGATGTAGGCTTGAAGTAGGGCTGGACCATGTCTCTTCTTATTAAGCCCATTATCGAGGACCCAGAAACCGACTTTGCACCTTTTAAGATCGACGACTTTAGCCTTTTGCCGAGAAAAGTGAAAAAGCGATATTACATCATCGAGGACCCGACTATATATATTAATCACACTACAATTGGTGTTCGCATAGAAGAATCTGCCGTCTGCGAGGAAGAGAAATGGCAAACGAAGGCTATGAAGTACCCGACAACGCCAATGAACGTATGTATTCCTTACATGTTTGAATTAATTACTTCCTCTATAGCTCTGAATTCCGACGGAGCTTGATTTCGATTTTTTGTTTCTTTTGCTTCAGATTGCCCAGGACCTCAGTCTGAATCGGCTGGAAAATCAGATGCTTGTGAAGGATGCCCTAATCAGGAGGCTTGTGCTACTGCTCCGAAAGGACCCGACCCAGGTCCCTTTTTGTTTTGATTGCCTTTTCCGGGTTTTTAGCCGTTTCTTGATAGGGCTTCTTGTTCAAGCATCTACTTTAGTTGCTGTATAAGTTTTAGCTTTTTTAAGTTGTGCAGTATGAGGTATAAGTTTTTGGAGGTTGGTTTGGGTTTATGACAAATTTTATGTCCTCCAGACCGACCTTTCTTGCCTGTTCAATAATAGATTGTTTTTATTAGTTGCGCTTAGCACAAAAACCAGACTCTAATTATATTTTAAACTTCTATGTATCAATAAATATAAGGACTTTAATCCTGCAGTGGATCCGGGAGTCTTTGTGTGTGTGTGTGTGTGTGTTTTGGTACCTCTATCTATACGATGTCAAAAGAATCAATATTTTTATGTAACAATTGTTTTGGAAGTTTTAGTTTCAAAATTAAGAATCCGATATTTGATGTTAAGTTCAGTGCGAGTCATGTGAGTCCATAAATAATACTGGGAGGTGGCTTTTAAACTTAGCAGGGATCTTAGTGTGACCGGCCTACGTACCTGGCATTTTATGTTCTCTACCTCGTTGTATAGTTTTTATGCGAAGTTATTGTGAACTTGTTTAGTTGAGTGTGTGATACCCATTTCTCTATGGAGTTATGCAGCATATTTTTTGGGGCTAACGAGGATTGAGATGAAAAAAGAAATATGAATGCGCTAGCGGAATCCAAAAAGTAAATGTTTATCCATTCATAAAAGTCATATTACTGGGTGATGGCTCATTGTGATTAGTTACTATAGGCGTATATTTTCCTTTGTGGGTAGAAGGTAAAAAGAAATCTTTCATGATCTTGGTGTGATGTTATTTATGTTTGCTTTACGAGTTGTTAGTTTGTGAAGAAATACCCTAATGATGCTTGGCGGTTATTACTACATTTGACTAGCGTTGATTTGTATAATTATATGCAGACCTAGTCTCCATAGTTGAAAGAATGGCAACAGTGAAGCACAAAATACTGGTTTTGTCCGGCAAAGGTGGTGTTGGGAAGAGTACATTCTCAGCCCAGCTCGCGTTTGCCCTAGCATCCATGGATTTCCAGGTGGGTCTCCTCGATATCGATATATGCGGTCCAAGCATCCCAAAAATGCTGGGACTCGAAGGACAAGAGATACACCAGAGCAACCTTGGGTGGTCCCCTGTTTATGTGGAGTCGAACCTTGGGGTGATGTCAATTGGGTTCATGCTCCCCCACCCTGACGAGGCTGTCATATGGCGAGGACCCCGGAAGAACGGAATCATAAAGCAATTCCTCAAGGACGTATATTGGGGAGAACTCGACTTTCTTGTAGTTGATGCTCCACCTGGCACCTCTGACGAGCATATTTCGATTGTTCAATTCCTCCAGGCGACTGGAATAGATGGTGCACTCATAGTCACCACTCCACAGCAGGTGTCTCTTATAGATGTCCGAAAGGAAGTGAGTTTCTGCAAAAAGGTTGGGCTACCAGTTTTGGGGGTGGTTGAGAATATGAGCGGCTTGTGCCAGCCCTTGTCAGAGTTGAGATTCGTGAGTGTTGAAGAGACGGGGGAGCAGAATGACATGACCGAGTGGGTGCTCGAGTGCATAAGAGAGAAAGCTCCGGGTATGGTGGCATTTAGTGAAGTTTTTGATAGCAGTTCGGGTGGTGGTGCTAAAATGTGCGGGGACATGGGAGTCCCTTTCCTAGGGAAGGTGCCGTTGGACCCACAGCTGTGTAAGGCTGCCGAAGAAGGAAGGTCTTGCTTTGATGATAGTAAATGCCGGGTGAGTGCACCCGCGTTAAAAGCGATTATTGATAAGTTGTTGTCGCAACTTGGTGTATCGAGAGTTGAGGTTGGGCCTTAAGTTTGATGCTGTGACACAAGTTAAGCTTTAAGTTTCTTGGTATACATACTTCAACAGTTTGGGCTTGTTTGGAGGATTGTAATTTAAAACTTTCGTTTGTGTTGAACTCGTTAAACTCATTAAATAAAAGTTTCTTCTGTTTACATTAGACAGTTTTCAGTGCATGTTTTATTTAATTAAAGTTCACGTTGAGTTAGACTACTAGTTTTTATAACCATAGTCAAATGTAAGTGATCATCTGTAGTATTGAAAACTGAAAATCATATTGGTTTTAGTTTCTGCTCAGTTCTTACTGCATATTTTTGCATCAACAGCATTTTCAATTTCACGTGACTTGTACATTTTGAATGTTTCTACAGAAGGCCAACTAACAAATACATGCTAGCATAACTACTTAAGATTCTAAGACAATAGCAGAAATCCGAATAGAACCAGAATAGAGAATAGAGCAAAGATGCAGCATTTTTCGGTATTTTCAGGTTCCATCCGTTTTTGTGTGACCACGTAATTACTCTAATCTTGACAAAAGACAGATGATTTCAGCATGAATCTATGGGAGGAAACATAAGCAAGGAATTCCTGATTATAATCCAGTCAGTAGTGGCATAAACAAACAAAATCATTATATAGAATTAAGGCAGGAACGAAGAGAATCTAAATGAGAATAGGTACGGGTTGAAGAGCTAGGTTTCTCCACAACGCTGGACCTTTGTTCGACACAAGGGGATGGCCTAAACCAAATAGGATTGGGCTCAATCCTGGTCATCATGCTCTTCAAGTCACATGGATAATAGCATGGCGAGAAAGTCTCGTTTTCATAGTTGAATATGCCGATGTCATGGCCTCCATACCGATTCTCGTAATCTGAATAATACATGTCGGTGTAGTAAATGGAGTTGGGCTTCAAGCCTTGGTACTCGTGAGCAGGGAGAGCAAAGCCTTCATGGGGGCCTACGAATAGTGCCAACCCGCCCAAGTTACGATCCATATAAACCATTTTTCCGGTCTTGGGTTCATACTTGTGAACATCAAACCCGACCGTCTTGTACGGCACGCTTTCATCAAAATCCCCCTCCTCGTAATAGACATCATCGACAAACGAGCCATCAGGTCCCACTTGGTGGAGCACGTACTGGCGCACTTGGAAAAGCTCATCCGTATGCTCGGAAAGCACTAGGAACACGGCATCGTATCTGCATAGACGCTTGAGATCTGACTCCAACTCTGAGTGGGATGCAACAGGGTAATTGTGTTTGTCCACAGCCACAGGAGGCATGGGAACCATTTTGGGGGAAAAAGGGTCGCGGAGGTCCCACGCCTCGATGTGGTCGGTTCTACCAGATGGCCATTTGGCGCAATAGAAGAGCTTCTGCTTGCTCGAATACGTTAAGGACTCAAATTGAAATGAGGTTGAGGGGTCTCCGATTCGGGTCCACTCAGAGGCGTACTGGCCCGGACAGCAGAAGGCTAATCCATCACTTGGACAGGGAGTGTAAGTGATCAAGACTCGGCAGTCTTCATCAAACGGGTCGTCGGATGAGATGACAACGTTGTGTACATTCAATTCATGGTGGGATAATGGGTAAAGGGATGGAAGCTTTATGTGACATCCGGTGAGAAGATTGGAGAGGAAGAGGTCACAGTAATTTTCCTTGTTAAAAAGAGCAAGCCAGCCCCGAGACGATCCCACAATCTCCAAATCATCATCATCTGTTATTGATCTCTTGGGGACACTTAATACTTTGTCCAACCCCAGGCTGTAAAACTCGTAAAACATATCTAAATTTTTATTCTTGTTATCGCCTTGGAAAACAGGTGGCAGCATCAGCCAAGGCGTGGAAGGTGACCTTTTGGTTTTCGGCACATTAGCATTAATCATCGTACTCAACTTACGCCCATGTCGAGTAAATGAATTGAAAATCAAACCAGCGTAGGATTTCGAAGCCATGTTGAGTGCTGCTGCTCCTCGTCTGCATAAAACCATGGCGATTGGATTTGAATTTTTTCCTATGTCAATCTAATGGATGGTTAAACTATTCTTGTGATGCTTGCACCGAAAAAAAAAACTATTCTTGTGATGCAAGTAAACATATATATACGGCTCCACATAAAATAGTATCTTGTCGTAGTTATCTATTGATTGATTTGATTCCTTAATGATAGAATCGTATCATTAGTAGTATTGTTCATAGGTAAGGTTACATCTATAACTATACAAGTTTAAAGGCAATAATAATATTACATTATGTATCGTATCCACATAAACCAGTATCTTATAATCGCTATTTCTGTAAATCTTGTTCATGCCTACCAATTGATTTGATTCCTAAATGATATCATCATTATCATTATGATTGTTCATATGTTACTTCTTATAACTAAGAGTTTAAAGGCAATATTATTATTCTTTGTGTATAACTATACAGTAGTTCTAACTTTAAGGCAATAATATTGCATTATGTTTCGTACCCTAATTTTATTTTTTATTCAGTAAAAATAATATTAAAGTAAATATAAAATAATATTAAAGTAAAAGATTTCAATAAAAATATCTTTTTGTGTATATCTCTCTCTATATATGCTCGCACACACACACACACACACACAAAAAAAAGGCTTTGAAATAACCAAATAATTCAATATTATATTGAGGAACTCGCTAGGCATCACAAACAAAGTCTTGTTAATAACCAAATAATTCATGACATTTTAGTGAGAAACTTGCTATGCATCTTTTCAGTAAGAGTGATATGAAATACTCAGGAGCAATGGGATTCTGGCATAACAACCAAATAATAATAACAATAAGTAAAAAACATTACTCGGATGCAATACTTGGAGATTTTCACTATCAAATAACTAATGCAAATGCTAAGGAACTAAATAACAGTCATGAGCTATAAGTGATCTGAAACAACCAGAACAAAGTATAAACTACATTTTGATTGATGATGATGATATTGAATCCCCTAGTTTTTGGAATGGGATTTGGTGGGTGGGATACTGGAAGAAGAGGATCCATACGACAATGTGCCGTCATCATTCTGCACGAGAAAGGGGAACCTAACGAGCGGGGTAGGGGTGAACCACTTTGGTCCACTAACCCTCACACTGCTCTGCACGTCAACAGGATAGAAGCAGGGCGCAAAACTCTCGTCTCTGTAATTGAAGATGCCAACGTCATGATTGAAGATGTCAACCTCATGGAGATGCCATTTCGGGGGTTCTGTGTAGTAAATGGCATCGGGCTTCAGCTCAGGGAAGTCGGCAGCTGGGAGCCCAAACCCATTATTAGAGCCAATGAAAAGGGCCAGCCCATCCAGAGAGCGGTCCATGTAAACCAGGGAGCCACTCTCCGGGTCGTACCTGTGAACATCGAAACCAACTGTCGGGTACGGAGGAGTCTTATGGAGCCCTATCTTTGGGCCATAATACTCATCCATGGTGTAGTAGCCATGCCCATGGGCAAGGGCCCCCACCATCTCCCTGTTAAACCGTCTCACATGAAAAAGCTCGCCGGTTGTCTCGGCAACCGCAAGGAACACGGCGTCCCTTATTGATGGATGCTTTTTTTGTTTGTGCTCTTGCTCTGATCTGTAGGCAATGGGGTAGTTGTTGTTATCAAAAGACACAGGAGGCATGGGAATCATCCTTGGAGAATGAGGGTCTCTGAGGTCCCAAGCCTCCAGACGAGGATCAGGATCCTCCTCCACTCCATCATCATCATTATAATCACCCTTGTGGTCACGTTCATAAAATCCATCTCTCAAACAAAAGAAGAGCTTTTGTTTGGCGGAGTAAACACAGGCGTTGTAGTCTGTCTTGTCGCCTAGCAGAGTCCACTTCAAAGGGCCTTTGTTGCTGTTGGGGCAACAGAAAGCCAGTCTTCGATCGGGGCCGAAAGTGACGAGCGCGCGGCATTCATCGTCATCATCAGGGCTGGAGCTGGAGATGATGACGTCATGCAGGGACCTCACCCCACGCTCCAAGTGCCATTTCGGAATATGCGGCAATGACCGGATGGGTGGAAGCCTTACGTGGCGGCCGTAAAGAGGATTGGAGAGGAAAAGGGCGCAGCTTTTCTTGTGGAACAAGAAAAGCCACCCGTGCGAAGATCCAAGGATGCTATAGCAGTCATCTGGCCAAACTTTTCGGTCTCTCCTCTCCAGAGTCATCACTTGGTTCTCGCCAAGGACGTAAAACCGATAAACCAGCTCACCCTTTCCGGTGAAGGCTGGCGGCAACATAAGCCAGGGAGAGGTTTTTGATAGCCACGGCGCCGTACTCGGCGGCAAAGTGAATGATTCATCGTAAGGGACACTAGTATGGATACTGCTACTCATCCTTTTCATCATACCACCATGATTGATTGATGATGATAATAAGGTTGATTTTCTCATGGAAAGGGAATTGTAAGATCTCACACTCAACAGGCTAGATGAAAATCTGAACAATGTTGAAGCATGTTTCATCGTTTTCCGACAGATCAAAGCAGAAGAAGATAGGGCGGTAGAAGAGAAAGCTGTCTGAACAATGGACAACGCCATTAGACTATCTATCGTCTTTAGGTTTTTGGCCGACTAATAGATTAATAAGATTTTAAAGAGTTCTAGTCAATAAGGTCATAAGTAAATTTGGTCGAGTAAATCGTTTGTTTATCATATGTAGGGATCCATAATGGAGCGGTTATCTTTAATATGAATATATGAGAAAATCTATCAAATCATGCATTTTTTTGTTCAACTAGTGCGTAGCCCGTGTGATGCACGGGAAAACAATATTTTGATTGTATTATAAATTGAATAAATAAATAACATTTCATGATTTATCCATTATTTTTAAATTAAATCGGGTTAGACACAGTCTGACCGGATGGACCGAGAACTGGTTTATAAACAGTCTAGTGCGCTTGAATAAAATATTTGCTATCGAATCTTTCAACACCAGTCTGTTGGACTGGTAGGATCGATAAGATTTTCTAAACAATTTTGTTACATTAAAAATAATTTTAAATAAAATTACATATTTAAATAAAATTGAGATTTATAAATTGTTTATCAATTAATTTAAACATTTGAATTTATAAATTGTTTAGATATTTAAGTAACACTTTTTATTTAAATGAATTACACAAAGTACTATATATATATATATATAAGTATTATATATTAAAATTTGAACAACCACAAATGATTTAATAAAATAACTTGATCGTTTCGATGATGGTCCGGTTATGAAAACCTTATACTTACCGTACATTAATAAAAAAATATAATAAAATAATTATTTTGTTCACATAAATAATAATAAAATGATAAATAAATATTCATAAATCATTAATTATGTTGTCATAAAAGTATTGTTAATATGATTATTTAAAGTTTGGACTACATCACATTCACGTAATAAAGTATTTTCAATATTAAAATTTATATTTAGGTTCAATAATCGATTTGGTATGGTCAAACTGATACATAACTTAGTTATCTGAGACCAACCAAGTTGTTTCAAAGTTTTTTGACTATTTTAAATATCACCTAAAAGTAATTCAATCAACGTGGACAGTACCTTAATTCAATCACCCGATTGATCCAAAGTAATTTCTTTATTTTCTTTAAATATAATATTTAATTTTATGAAATAAAAAAAAATTATGATTCATATATCTACACCAAATGATAATATATTAAGATTGTAAATTATATATCTAAAGATGAATTATTTATTTTTATTATATGCATATTAATATAAAAATAAACATAGTAATTTAAAAAAAAATCAAGATTAATTGATTGGATATGCAATTTAAAGAATATTTTTAACGTTCAATATATATTTTAACATGATTGAATTTTTGGATTAGAATATATATATTTAAAATGATTTTATTATTAAAAGTTAAAAAGAAAAGATGTCATAAAGATTACAACTTTGAAAAGTTTATAAACATTAACTTAGGAACCATCCGATTTTAAATGATTTTATAATTTTTGAAACAGGATACGTACATCTAAAATCCATTAATTTAGGAACCATCTAATTTTTGATAATGAATTAAAATTAAAATGTAAAATAAAGAAATTGCTGAAAATAGTATATATAATGGATGTGGTTTGACTTTTCTTACTACTATTTATGGTAAATGTTAATTCTTATTATATATATATAGATTGTTGATAAATATAATGGTTATGATTTATAACTTACCGAAACTTGACATTGTTGTCAATTGTTCAAACTTATCAACTTTTACATTATGCTCCTCGCCCGTCCCATGAAGATAGGTCAATTGAGTTCATATAAAAATTTAAAATGAGTACGAAAAAAAATGCAATTTTATCAATGCATATTACAAAATTATCCTTAATAAATTAAAAATAAGCATAATTCAAAATCTATGTAGCACGTGCGATTCACAGAGTAATAATTATAAATGGCATGTATTACACCAATGATGAAATATTGATTAGTATAAAAATAGTTTTGAATATTATTATTTATTGTATGATATAACAATTTAATATATGATTTATACGTTTATTTCACTCGTTAGCTGTAATCTATTACTATATAATAAGGAGAAGAAAAACTATTTGAAAAATTTTGAAAAAAATATTTCATTTCCCGCTTCTTTAGTCATTCTTTCCCGCTTCTGTTTTTCGTTTTGAACAATTTTCAGCAAATATTTTTGAAATTTTTTGCATGTCCCGTTTAAACAATTTATTAACCAATAAATCACATCCAATGTTTGGCAAGTAAATCACATCCAATTATATATTATTTTAGACTCATTTCATTTCGTTGGGGGAGAAAAAAAAAGAGTCCTTAGATTTTCAAAATAAAAAAGGAATAAATTATTTGATTATTAATCAAAATAAGTAATTAAAAATTATGAAATTATGTGACCTAAGTAATATGTACTTAATATAAACATAAAATCAAATATTGAATATTTAATATCATGAATGATATAAATTTAAATTTACTACTAAATAATATTTTTTGTCACGTTAATGTCAACAAATTATTTGATTCAAACAATTTATCATTAAATATCTAATAATCAACAAATCGTGAAATCCCGTGGCATAGCACGCTACAAAAATATGACATCTATATATAAAAAGACAATGATATTTACTTGAAATAGTAACTAAAAATCAATAAAAAAATATTTGGCTTTCCCGCCTAAAAATTCAGAATTACTAAATTGGGCAATTCTTTTTTCTTGCCAAAGTTTAAAAAATCCTGCCTAAGTTAATGTAATTAATGTACAAAATTATTTTGGTCAAATATTGCGGCTATTACCTTTATTTGTTGAATAATTTAAATGTGAAATATAATATATTGACAAAACTTGCAGCTATTACCTTTATTAGTTGCATAGTTTAAATTTGGTATATAATATATAAAAAAATAAAAATATTTTTATTTAAAATTAAAAATAAAATAAAAAACAATTATTCATAACTTACGGGTCAATATTAACTTGGACGTGAATGAAATAGTCAATTATTTATAGTTCAATAAATTACTCAACTACTTAAATTTTTTTTATTTGAATAGTTTATACAAAAATAAATTATTTTAAGTAATGAAACAATATAAATTTTATATTTATAATTATTATTCACATATGTTGTTAAATATATGATAAAATTTTACCAAAATAATTGTTTTATGTAATCACATTATAGTCAAATCGAATTTCTGAATAAAAAATTTGAAATGACACTTATTTTGAAACGAATATAATGTAATTTATTATCAGTTATATGTATCCATGGGTTGTGTACTAATTTTAAATAGACATTTTTATGTAATTTTTCACAATTTAAACTTTATATAATATTTTCAACAAATTAATATAGGTATTTGATTCTATATTTTTAATTTACAAATATTATTTAATAAAAAATTTTTAGTTTATAAATATTAATGAATATCTCTTACCCGTGCAGTGCACGGGACTCATACTAGTTTTAGAATATTAAATTAGAATTAAGGATAATAAAAATTTAACACATTCAAATATTATCAATAAATAATAGTCAAAAATACTTATCTCTCTATCCTCTCCTACTCATACTTACTACATCTTATCTTTCTAACCAACAGTACTTAATTGAAAAAACTGTAATATATATCATATTGAAGTTACAACATTTAATAATCTTTAATTAGATCTATATTATGTTATTTTATTTTTTATAAGTTATAATAATGAATATTATAACTATTTTAACTTTTTATTAGATTAATTCACATGGCAGTACGACAACAGTTGATTTATCATTATAATTTATAAAAGTATACATTATAAATATTTTGATCAAAAAATTTAATCGTCACTACAGTTTATAACAATATACATTATAAATATTTTTTTTCTAAGTTAATATTTACATGGATAGGTCGACAGATGATTCGTTGAGATGTCATCATAATTCGTAACAATATATATATTATAAATATTTAAATTTTTCTTTCTAAATTTATATTTTGCATGTAACAAATGACTCATTGGGTTATCATAATTTATCGCAATAAATATTTTGATTCTTTATAATCTAATAATTTACATGATAGTTCAGAAAATGATCCTTTCCTTAACCATTTTAATGTCATATATAAACGATCCTAGAAGTAATTTTTTATTTATATTTTTATATTTTTAGCACAACTTTTTTCAATCCATGAGGAATAAACATATCAATTATTATTTTAGATTATTTTGTACTAAATACATTTTAATATGAATACATTTATATTTTATCGTATGAATAAGAAAATTGCAGTAATATGTTATTAATGTTGATAAATAAGATTATATTTTGTGAATAAATATATTTTTATATTATATAATCTATATATATATATATAATAAGAATTAACATTTACCAAAAATAGTAGCAAAAAAATAGGTCAATAATTTAATGCAGCCTATAAATAGTAAGTTTTATTATTTTTCTTATTTTTTTTCTTTAAAAATCATACAACATTAAATGCTACCTTAAATTTCGGGCTTTACTTCATTTTATCATTTAAAAAATCCGGCTAAGATTTATTAAGTGTGTATGTTTTTATTTTTATTTTTTTCTTAGAAACAAAAAACAATATTAAATCTCGGTCTCTATATTTATAAAATCTCAATTCAAAATATAACAAAAGTTTTTGAATCTCGGTCTTTATATTTGTGCTTTAAAAAAATTGAACGCTAAAAATATTCTTTAAATTGCATAATCAATCAATTAATCTTAATTTCTTAAAAATTACTATGTTTAATTAATCCATCTTTAAATATATAATTTATAATCTTAATATACTATCATTTGGTGTAGACATATATTATATGAATCATAAAATATTTTATTTCATAAGATATTTTTATTTCATAAAATTAAATATATTTAAAGAAAAAAAAAATTCTTCAGATCAATCGGGTGATTGAATTAGGGTACTACCCAGGTTGATTGAATTACATTTAGGTGATATTTATAATAGTAAAAAAAACTTGACACAACTTAGTTGATCCTAGGTGACTAAGTTATGTATCAGTTCAATCACACCAAATCGATTATTGAACCTAAATATAAATTTTATATTGAAAATATTTTATTACGTGAATGCGATGTAGTCCAAACTTCAAATAATCGTATTAACAATACTTTTATGACAACATGTTTAATGATTTATGAATATTTATATATCATTTTATTAATATTTATGTGAATTAAATAATATTTTATTATAATATTTAATTAATGTACAGTAAATATACGGTTTTCTGAACTGGGTTATCATCGAAACGATCAAGCTATTATATTAAATCATTTGTGGTTTGTTCAGATTTTAATTTATAAACATTTTAATATATATATATATATATATATAGTACATTTTGTAATAAATTTAAATAAACTGTGTTACTTAGATATCTAAACAATTTATAAATCCAAATGTTTAAACTAATTGATAAATAATTTATAAATCTCTATTTTATTTAAATATGTAATTTTATTTAAAATATTTTTAAATATAATAAAATTTATTTAGAAAATCGTATCGATTCTATCAGTCCAACCGACTGGTGTTGACGGATTCGAGAGTAAATATTTTATTCTAGCGAACTAGACTGGTTATAAATTGGTTCTCGGTCCATCCGGTAGGACTGTGTCCAACCCGGTTTAATTTAAAAATAATGGATAAATCATGATTAATGTTATTTATATATTTAATTTATAATACAATCATAATATTTTTTTTCCCGTGCATCGCACGGGCCACGCGCTAGTATATAAATATTATTTTGAAAGAATGATATTTTCTGATATAATGCTAATCTTTTGATAAATGCAGGACCAGTTCGTAATTTAAAAATATCGCCATGCGCACAAAACTACAACAGATAAAATTTAAAGCAAAAACCGAAAAAAGAGCTCCGATCGGCGTAAACCACCTGAAAATAAAAAACAGTGGGACTGTGAAGCTGTGAGTGCGTGTGGAATGACAATGGACAGAGAGAAGGAGAGAGAGATTGAGCTGGAGAGTGCAATGTACACAAATTGCTTGCTGCTAGGTTTGGATCCCACCATTATCGGAGTCGGGTCGAACAACGGTGCACCTCGGGTGGGGCTTTTCCGGCACTCCAACCCCAAATTGGGAGAACAGCTTCTATACTTCATCTTGTCATCTCTCCGCGGCCCAGTTCAATCTGCCAAGGCAAATTCCATCTCGTATTTTGATCAACTTTGAATTTGCACAGACAAGTTCTATCTGTCGCAGCAATCTCTTATTCTTTTCTGGTTTTTGTTCTCTAATGCTGTAATATTCTTCTAACTGTGGATCCTTGTTGACAGGACTTTGATAAGGTGTGGCCCATTTTCGATTCAGCTCAGTCTAGGGATTTTCGGAAGGTAATAATTGTGGAATTTCTGGGATTTGCCTGCATAGGAGTATGTTTAGTCTGACTTGAAGTCATAATATTTTTCGTTGTCCCTTCACCTGGGGGAATTCTGTTAGGTGGTGCAAGGTATTATTAGTGAACTGGAATCACAAGGGGCACTGCCTAGAAGTAATTCAAGGGTTTCGTCCCTTGCAACTTGCTGCGGTGCGAGGTTAGTTTACACGAAATTCTTTTTGTGTCCAGATTGATCAATCTTTTCCAGGTGGTTGTCTTTGATTAATATCTGGAATTCTATGAGTTGTTGATTGATTCAAATTTTTGTAGTTGATATTTTGTTTGATATATTAAATCGTGATGGAGCCATGGAGGTACGATGGCCTTGAGGTTGTCTGTCTAGTTCTGGTGTAAGAAAAACTTGAGTAGCAGTTAGAAGATTGTTGAATATAAATTTTTCACCAGAGAGGGGTTTGCTGTGACTTTGGATAAAGGACACATTGAACAAGGTTTTCCTAGTGCAAGTTGTTACAACAGGCTATTTAGGATGGAATAGTTTAACCTTGTTTGGAATATGATAATAAATTCCACTTGACTTGGAGAGCCATTGATTGATCAGATGGACTCAATGTTTGGTCATTGGAAATATGTGAACCAAATTCAGACTAAGTAGGATTTATACGTGTGTCTGAGAAATATAAGATAGCGGCCGATAGCTTGCTTAAACGGTTGGAATAGCTGAGATTCCATGGTAAAAACTAACATTTCGTACCACTGGTGATCCTTTTCTCCTCATCTTCTTTTGGATCTCGGATGTGTTTGAAACACTTCAAATTATGGTCTTCTATGCAAGAGGTAACTAGACTTTTTTGTGCTAGTGCAGGTTTATCGAACTATTATGGCAACTTTCCCTGCATGCTCTGAGGGAAGTGCATAGGCGAACATTTGCGGCTGATGTAGCATCAAATCCGCTGCCTACTCCATTAACCGATGTTGCTTTTTCACATGCAGCTACACTACTTCCTGTAACCAAGGTTATTCATTCGATCTTTTCATCTAATATTGTAGTTATGCTACCCTCAGTGATCATGATCGTAGTTAACTGTGTCGTTTATGTGAAAATCATACTTCCTCAGATAGGTTCACTTACCACTCCTAATATCTGGTTTTTTTTTTCCTTGAAAGTTGTGCTTTGTTCAGAAATCTTGATGTTTATAATTGGTGTGATATCGCAAGCACCCAAAAGTAATATCCTTGACTTAGCTCTACTAGAATATAGCAACAGAGGGTTAATCCTAGAGCTGATAAAATTTTTTGTGTACTTCTCGAGATAATTATATGACAAAAAAAAAATTAATGTTATAGATTCTATGTGCTATCCTAATCTCTCAGTTGTGGTTTAAATAAGCAGGCTAGAATAGCTCTTGAAAGAAGAAGATTTCTGAAAAATGCAGAGACTGCAGTTCAAAGACAGGCAATATGGTCTGATTTGGCTCATGAAATGACGGCAGAATTTCGTGGTCTATGTGCTGAAGAGGTAAAAGATATCTTACTATGGTCCCTTTTGAGCATAATGCTGATATATGCTGTGTATGGAAGGAAGGCGCAGTGATCCATTTCTTTCGGGTGTTCTTGTTAGGCGTATCTCCAGCAAGAGCTTGAAAAACTACACGATTTGAGAAACAAAGTGAAACTGGAGGGCGAGCTCTGGGATGAGCTTGTATCTAGCTCAAGCCAGAATTCACACATAGTTCAAAGAGCAACTCGAATGTGGGACTCATTGTTATCTCGCAAGAGTAAGTATATGTAATTAGTTGTTCCCTTATTCTGCCTCGCTATGCAGCTATGGAATCTCTTCAACAGAATCAGTGTTTCTTTCTTCTGCTTTATTATTTGATAATATAGACCATTGTAGCTTCTGATCACGTCTTTTGATGAGAGACGATGAGATGTTCTATCTAAAAAAATTAAGAATTCACTTTTTACCATTGCTGGTCTACTAACCTCTAAATTTCTTTCTCTCTCCCGCACTCTCTCTCAACACAAAATGTTCTGCTCTGCACAATTCAGGATACTCTTGCCTGTAATGTGCATTGTGCAGTATTATCTTTCGGCATTTCATGAACATTCTTTTAGTATATATGTGAGATTAGCAACAGTCATTATGTTACCCCACTCTATGCTTTAGTAAAGCCTTGTATCCGTGATTCGTACAGGTCAGCATGAGGTCCTTGCTTCAGGCCCAATTGAGGATCTTATAGCTCATCGTGAGCATAGGTAATATATACTGATCATTAGCGATGGTGTGATGCAGCTTAGGTATAGCTTCAGAATTCGGTTATATACTTATATTTATTCTCAACATTCTTTTCCAGGTATCGGATCTCTGGGTCGTCTTTGCTAGCAGCAATGGATCAGAGTTCTTTAGTTTCTAGTGATATGTCTATGCATTTGGATAATGAGGAAAAGGAGAGTTCACAAGATGATCTTAACAAAGAGAACAAAAGTAAGTCAGAATTTTTGCCTATTAATGGGGATGAAGAAAAATTTTCTCGACTTGATGAGAGAAGTACGAGAGGGCAACCTACTGTTGATATTGCTGAAATCTTGAGACGTTGGACCCATGCGTTGCAGCGCGTTCATAAGCAATCACTTCAACTGGTATGTTTTTTCTTCCAATCCTACTTTTACCTTGTCAATGAATCATTTCATTTGGGATGTCCCTGGGGTGAGTTATGAGCTATTCTTCCATGCATTCATAAATTTGTGTTCCAATCAAATTCTTTACCTCAGGCGAAAGTCAATGATGGAGAAGGTCCAGAGCTTCTACGGAGTGTGCACGATGGTAGTACTAGCAGTCATGCTGAATCATTGGCGGCAACACTGGCTGAACATAGGCAGCACCTAGACAGCATACAAGTAAATCTTGTATTAATGATCACTAGTATAATACCCGTGTACTACACGGGTACTTAAATATATTAATATTTGTACAATTGGTATTGTATACTACACGGGTACTTGAATATTAATATTTGTACAATAAAAGTTAAAATAATTTATACTCTATTGTGAAATTATGTATGATGAATCTGCAACAATAATAAATAACTGACAAAGTGATAATTAATTCAAATGGTGCCCGTATTTTTACACTAAATTTGTCAAAAAAGATATTTTTAATAATATTTTTAAAATTATATATGTATAAAACTGATATTATTTACAACTCCATATATTTGATTTAGTTTTTTAAACAAAACAAGTTTTATTGTATTGTGATTATATTTTATATTTCTAGTCAGTGTCTCAAGTCTATTAATTTTTCAAGTAATTTATCATAAAATTAATAATTTAAAATTTACGTAGAAATGTATTATTTTCTAACTTTGTGAAATACAAAATTATTTTGTTATATTTAATTATGATATTTTTTTATATTTACTTTTTTAAATAACATAATAACATTCAATTTTTTTGTATAATCTATTTAAATTGAGAATAATATTCTTTAAAATTTATTTTATGAAATACTTAATTTTTATTTTTTATTCAAAATTTATGGAACAAAACAATGAAATGATTATTTTATGTGTATTAATGTATTATTTTTATAAAATTATTTATTTTTTATTTGATGTATTATAAATTGAGTTGATAATAAATTAATTTTATTTATAAATACAGATGAAATTATTTTTTATTTTACATATGCAATATGGATGTCAAATCGAAGATCGTCAAAATATGATTATTTTGGTAGATCATATATAAAAAATAAAATGCAAATGAAAAAGTTATAAAGTTTTAAAAATAAAGAAGATTACATATCTATACTTATATAATAAGAATTAACATTTATCCAAAATAGTAGGTTAAATTATGGTCAATGTCGGATTTGCATTAAATATTTTTCAAAACTGGTAAGTTTTTGTCCTTTTCACACTTCTCATTAATTATGTCATTTTCACACTTCTCATTAATTATGTCATTTTCACACTTCTCATTAATTATGTCATTTTCACACATCTAATCAATTCATTAATTACGACATAATTATCATAAATCATTCCATCTGAGCTTTTATCGTTAAAATGTATAGCGATCTCTTATGACCTTATCCCATTGATAGTTCCATGAAGCGTCCTTATCGCGTTCTATTTTTTGGTAACCACTCTATGTCAATAACCGGATATTTGGTTAATGATAGCACACGTCTTTATTTCAAGGAGCGGATATTCTTTGACCTTTAATTAATCTGAACTGATTCCCTTGCCTTTTTAATTTTTAAAAACTCTTTTTTTAAATATTTTGGCTTAAGATTCGGATTTTTATACAAGTCATCGGATTGGTTGAATGAAAATGAATGAAAAGAACACAAAAAACAGGTAGCCTTATTCATATAACCAATCCTAAAATATTAGTTTGTTCACCAAAAAGAGACAAATCCTAGAAATCCTAAAATATTAGTTTGTTCACCAAAATATTAGTTTGATTTTTAGGATTTGTCTCTTTTAAAAATATTAATTTGTGATAATGAAGAGTTACCAAATAATCAAACTCATAATGTTGTGTACAAGGAAGTTTTTAATAATATATGATTGTTACCGAACTTTTTATGATTCTAACAATGTTCCTATGTATTTTAATGATTTCAATTTCGATCCTAATGCACGTTAGGTTATATTATTCTTCCAAATTTTACATCCCGTGCATCGCACGGGTTACGTACTAGTTTATAATAAACTAATATATGAATTAAATAAAAAAGGTAAGAGTAGTATATGGTAACTTAAGAAAAAAGGAAAGCTAAAATAGTTTATGGTAATTCCCAAGCCTAATAGTCAAAACCAAACCTGAATATGTGTCAATACGAAGCACCAATTTATGCCAAATAAGTTTACGAAACACGAGTCTGTTACTTAGGCTCAGCGCATTCGGGAATTATATATAGGGGCGATTGTTTGTTGTTAAATTTACGAAATATGCTTGTCACCTTTATCTTCAAGTATTGTTCTACCACCACACTTAAATTTGATAAATATACTTGTCACCTTTTAATTCAAGTATTGTTCTACCATCAGAGACTCTAGGCCATAGGAATTATATTATATCTTTTTTATGAGATTTAGGGTATTTGCAGGTGCTAATTAATCAGCTAAAGGTTGTTGGTCCAACCATACAAAATTCAATAACAGAACTTATGGAGGAAGTCGATAGCATATCATCCAATCTACATCCTGTTATGAAGGTTAGATCAAGCTCAATGGCCCAGGCGCAGAGCAATGGGAGGACGTTGGTATTTATTTTGAATTTTATCTTTTTTCTTTATTGTCTGAAACTAGTCTGTAGACAGTAGATTATTAAATTGTGATATGACCACGATTTTGAAAATGTGCTTTGATAAATTATATTACTACCCGGGGAAGTAGTACTAATGAGGAATTGGCCTCCTGGATGTCATCTGTTCAGCTTGAAACGGTGACAGCTAGCCCCCCTACTTTGAAACTGCCGCCATTATTCAGTTCGACACAAAGTTCTTCTGGAAAAGGTGGGAATACACAAAAGCGTCATATTGTTGCCGAAACAAATCCCACAGATACCGTGACCGAAAAAAAGTTTGTAGATCAGTCTTCATCTAAGCTTCTCGTTGATAACTCAACACACGGTTAGTGATTTGTTGCCTTCATTTCTGATTTTTTTTGCTTCTATCAGTTCACTTATTGTTTCCATTCTAATCATATCTACAGATGAGGATTTTCTTTTTCTGCAAAACCTGAAGAGATCAGTTAGGGAAGCTGCTCTTTCTTCTCAATCATGCAACATGGAATCGTCACTAGACAGTAATCCTAATGAGTACTCTGAGCACTTCTTTGTACCACTGTCTGGGACTGGGGTTTCCCGCTATGGCCAAGATAAGAAACATATTTCTTTAAAGAGTAGACAGTTATTCACATCTCAAGTAGATTCTTCCTTGCTTCAGACCCATGCTAAAGACAATGATCTTGGGAGCAAGCAAGCAGTGACAGTCATGTTGAGTGACTTGGAGTCCCTTAATGATTTTGACAGTGTGAATGTTTTCCTTCCTGCTACTGGTTCAAATTTGTTAGCTTCTGAAGCTTGTAGGTCATTTTATGCTGTGGATGAAGTTCAGGATCAAGTGTTCTCACCTCCTTTATTAATGGATGCAACCCTCTTCGGAGATTCTTACGAGGATTTGCTTGGTATGATGAAATTACTTGTGCCAATTTGGTTATGTGATGTGAATGCTAGTCACTATTGATTTATCTTGCCGACATTTCCAGTTTTCTGTGGAACACTTGAAGCAATAGTGCTTATTAGTTTCTGCCGAAGTATGCTATCCTGCTTTGTGCCATTACTTAGTTGTCATATTAGAATATTCGAGATCACAAAATGCTTTATTTTCTTTTATCCATCAGATTCAATATCTGGTTAACCCTGCTGTAAATGAACCTAGAGTAGCAAATTTCTTTTACCCTCATGTTTGACCTTTCTGATTTTCTCTCTCTTTATATACGATTCACCATTCTACTATATTTTGATCAAAACTTTTGTGTCATTCTATTACAGCGCCCTTATCAGACACTGAAACAGCTTTGATGAAGTATTGACAATGAAACATTACAGGCTTGCCGCAATAGTTTCAAGAGAGTAATTTCTAGTGGAATTCCTTCTGGTTATTATTGTTCAACTTGGAGAGTACGCATATGTTACACAATCTATTTTGTCAACTCTTGTGTTGCATATATGTGCTTTTTTCTACTGAAGGAATGCTGATTTGGTTTGGTCCGTGCTGGGATGTGACCATATTTACGTGGTGCTGGAATGTGATATGCAGAAATTGTTGCCATGATATAGTGTTATCTCCAGTGTGAAAGATACAAGGTTACTAATTGATCGACTGTGGGAATGGTCGACTTTCCATGAGCCATGTTTTTATTTAGTGTATAGATTCATGATGACCCAATTCATTAGGTAGACTACTGTATAATAATAACGCTGGATGGGTTATTCAATGAGTCGATGATTGGTGTTCATTGCTTTGAAATTTGTCTACATTTTCCAGCGCACATATTTGATTGTTTGATATTTTGTAATCAAGATTGTATCCTATGGTTTTGGTGTATTTGACATTGATAATGCTTGCAGTTGTGGTACTGTATTTATCGCATGATGCAAAATTAAATTGGTTTGAAACCAATTTGGAAGCATTGTTGAGAAAATTGCTGGAGGAGCTTATGTTTTTATGTTATGCTTTAGAAAGAAGGAAGTTGTTTATAGACATTGAGACATTGATTGGAAGCTACTTCCTTCTCCTTTTTCAGTTTGACGGATCTTGTAACTATAATGATTGGTGGTTTACTTATGTATTCCTGTGGAATAGTTTATTATATTATTCATTTTTTTTGTATAAAAATTGTACTTGCCACATTTAAATGGAAGTGGTGTATATTTACTTCTGTGCTCACATTGTATGATCTGTAAATTTCGGGTTGTTTTTCTTAGTTACTTAAAAATTCTATTCGATCTTATTATTAACTATTTTTCTTTTTAATTGAAGAAAACAAATGATGATTGGTTTCCTATCTTTAGGTTTTTATGATGGTGTCAAAATCAAAATCCAAGACTTTGTATTTGCTGATTTTTGAATGGTTTTATTTTGAGTACTCGCCTTATTATTCAGCAACTTGTCACTTGTGAATTGTAGCATTTGCGAATGTCGCCTGCCGAATTGGGAAAATACATGTAAACTGTAATGAGTAAGCATAATTTTGTTCCTAAATATAAACTATGGATATTGATTTGATTTTGTTTTGATTGGTTTTTTTATTAATCAAGTTAATCTTTTGAAAAATTATGGTTGTTAATGAAACTTTAAGTTTGTATTAAAATAATATTTAAAATAAAATAATTAAAATTGATTTGACGTATAAGTAGGAGAAAGATGATATAAAGTGATGGTATTTGATTTTGTAATAGTAAATTAACGTTGATTTAATTTATAAAAATGATTGAATAATATTATTTAATTATATTGATAATATTGAAGATAGTGAGTTGAGTTAAAAATAATTAAGTTAAAATGATTAATTTTTTTTTTAATTAAATCCGTATTCAATCACACCCTCAATAGTGTAGCCAGTAGGTACTTTAATATGTAGCGATCTGATCAATGTTGGTTTATAGATTATTAGATTCTAACTACGAAAATGGGTAATTAATTTTTTGTTCTACAAGCTTACATCACATATTCTGTAGAAAGGCTGCTTTTAGCGAGTATAACGATTAATTGTTATATTTTTTCAATAAATACATATTTTTCAAACTAAAATTCTAAATTTTAAACAACTACATAATTTATACATTTTTATCTATATCTATTTGTCTATCTATCTATATCTATCTATCTATATCTATATTTATTTATTTATTTATTTTTTATCTATAATAAAAATACCAATAAATATGTAAAAATATGTTTTGCCTAAAATAATCCTACTTTATCATCTTTATAATGGTAACTTTGTAATTTATTACCCTGGTATCACCAAATCCATCGGACATGACGACATTCCCGAATTTATCTATTTCACACAAGTAAAAACCATAAAAAAAAAATCAAAAAAATCAACATCTTCACGTTTTCCTCCATCGGCGGCCGACTGAGAATTCAGCGCCCTTCACACTCTCCTTCACCCGACTTCCGCCGGTCGATCGATAAATCGGCACGGCTTTCTTGGCTCGACCCGAGCGGTGAATTAGCGACCCGATGTTTCTGCATCTCCTTTTCGCGACCTCTGTACGCGTCCTCCGTCGATCGATAGCGAAATCGGCACGGCGTTCTTCACACGACGCCACCGCCCGACGGTGAATTTCTTGGAACACAAGTTCGAGACTGACCTTCGACGGGAGCTTCTGAAATTTTTGCATCCTCAATTTCGTAAGTTTATGCAATTTCTTTTTGAGATTAATATGATTGTTGATTGATTCTCAATTTGCCATTTTATTGAGCTTGTTCTAATCAATTATAGCAGAGGCGGATGAACACAATTTAATCAATATTAAAAATCATGGATTGATATATAATATATATGTGTGTGTAGTTAGCTGAGTACATAATAAGATAAACAAGTAACTAAATATATAATTGTTATTAGTAGTTAGCAACCTTTGATTATGTACTCAGCCTTAGGTGACCCTTTTATTGCTGAACCGGATGCTGGGATACTGGGGGACAAAAATGCTTCGGTTTCAAACAAAATTTATTCGTCTTCAATATTAATGGAAAAGATACTTGGTAGCACGTTATCCTTAGACGATAGTCTAATTCTGTGAAGTCTTCAGTGATTCCTGTTATGTGTCCTTGAATCTCTTCTTATTTCCTAAGAAGGAATGTCAAATTTAATTTATCTGCCAATTGATCATAAAATTCTGAAATATGGATGCTTCTCTGTCTTATAACATTAACTGGTCTTTGAAGTTGAAGGGGTTTGTCAAAACCTGGTATTGTTGAGCTCCAAATTGAGATGACAGAATGAGTAATAAGCAGAGAACTTTCCTGATAGTTTATTCTGTTTTATATCTGATATGTATATACTGTTTGTGGTTTTTGGTGACAACTTCATTCAATTTGCTCTTATCCAGCATTATAAAGGTAAACCCAAAGATACATCGGGTACATGGTGCATGAATAATATTATTTTTCAGGTGTTATAACTGATTCTGACCTCATGTATAGTTATGTAATTATGTTTACCAAACTAATTTGTATATGAGTCCTATTACTTCCAGCTGAATCGACCACTATAATTAATCATTAGCTTAAAGTTTCAGTTAACACTAGCTATGTCAGGAGTATGTTCATCATAATCAATGTGAATAATTTTGTTGTTTCTAGGAAGCTCAAAATTTTGGGTTGTCTAAATTTGTATACCTTTTAGTTTACTTCATCATTATTGTGTATTCTTGAATAATAAATGGTGTGGTTCTCATAACATTGTTACAACTATATATAGCATAAAGAAAATTATGTTCGTACGATAATCACTCTGCACCATAAGAAAATGTGAAGTATCAACCTACCCCTCATTTTCCCAACTGGGATTTCAGCCTGTTAGTGAACCTGGAAACAGGATCGAGATCGTTTTTTATAAATTTCGTAGGATATAAATTTAACAACTGATCTATGGGTTAGTAAAAATCTTTACGAAGGAACTTGCGGTTTAACTCCTCCAATCCCATGTAACTTATTGAACATGCCAGGTTAAGTTGTGGTGTGATTGTCCTTCTCAGTGGTTTCTTCCATATTTATAGTGTAATAAGATTAAGCTCGATATCTCATCTGCAGCTAGGGAAGTCTTCTTATATATATATATTCACTGATAGCTATACTTGATAATCTAACAATTTGGGTTTTTTTGCTAAGTAGTGATATAATTTCTGTCTGTCCAAACGTACCTTTTATGTCAAAATTTTGGTTAACTTGAATTTAATAACGTCTTAAGTAATATTTATATTTTATCTGAATTGGAGAAAAAGTTACACATAATTTTGGACGAATAGACTGGGTTTAATTTACTAGTTATAAACCAAGTTGGCTTTATAAGTATTTTATAATTTTTGCTAAGTGAAAACCTTAATCTTTCTTTTTTTTTTTTTTTTAAAAAAAAAAAGTTGATAGAAAGCTGATGAATTGATAATCCTACTTTTTTAACATTGAATTTCATACTTTAATTCCCAGGATAATTATGCATTTTTCTTCTAAAATAGAATTTGAGTTCCTTTCTCTCATCGTCTACAATCTACATTGACAAGAATAGATACACCAACTGCGTATGTATAACTTTAATTAATAAGTAATAACAATTTATAATATTTATATTTAAGTATTGTAGTGGGTTTGTTAGCCTAGAAGTTGCATCAATTGGTGGAGCTGGTCAAATCTCTCCCACTCTCTCTCTCACACAAAAATTCTCTCTTGATTATATAGAATTGATTTTCACTTTGCCATTTTAGCGGCTTCTTCTCTAACTAATTATAGCAGAGGCGGATGAACGCAACAAGTTTAAACTCAAAGTTTTTAAGAGCATGGTGAAAAACAATAGAAATTTATGTGGTTTTATGGCTGATAATATCATAGTAGAAGTAACTTCAGAAGTAACTAACTTACCCTCTTGGAAGTAAATTTCATATCTTAGTCAACTTCGTGCCAACTGATAAGCATATTCGTTCGTAAACTAGAACTTCAACGTGTGATGCACGTGAGAAAAATTGGTCTGCTTTGTGGTTTTTCTTTTTGGATAATGAAGTTCGTGTTGTTTCGAGTTGCATAGTTGTGCATAATATCATTTGCAATACTTTTTATATTTTCTTCTTTTCGTTTTGTACTGCATTATATTTATATTTACTGGGTATTTGAAGATATTGAAATAATATATGAAGTTACCAATGCATAAATATTTGAAGTACAGTGTTTTCCAAATTTAAATAAAAGTCAAATAACTTACTTTGCAAAGACAGATTGTCTATAAAATAGAGAATTAACTAAACAAGAGACTAATGTGAATTACTTTTGCTTCAGTTCTTCTCCTTCTTTATGTTGACAATTGGAGATGGTTTTCTTCTTTTTGTTTTTGTACTTTTTCTTGTAAATTACTTCTTAAGACTACTAATTGTATTATGATATTCAACTTCAATAACACAATCATTTTCATTTTCTATTATTTTGATGGATCGCTTATTTGTGCCATTGGTCCTTTTTAACGATTTGTCTTCATCCACATGCAGATCAATAGGGCTATCCAGAAAAATTGTTTGGTTATCTTTCATTTCCTCATCAAGTGTAGTTTGTGGCCTTGCAATTGCCTCTGTCACCGTATTGAATTCTCCTCTTGAGTTGAACGACTTATCATTGACAATAATTAGGAATTGAAATTCAGTTGTTGACTGCAAGCTCAACCCTCTGTCACCGCATTGAATTCTCCTCTTGAGTTGAACGACTTATCATTGACAATAATTAGGAATTGAAATTCAGTTGTTGACTGCAAGCTCAATTCTTCCCCCTAATGAGCATCGAAAAATAAGTCTTTTATAAATATTATACTTGACGATTCATGTGAATTTGAAAATAAGAATATATTTCACCTGCTCAATTGATGCTCAATTGATATGACATAATCATTTATAGGACATCCAACGTACACTATTGCGACATCCTCAAATTAAGTTATAGTCGCATTTTTGTTATTTCACGCAACGTTTAAGACCAACATATATCTGATATGATTGTATTTTTTTGTAAATCTATTTGTACACATAAAATTTTATGAGTTCATAAAATCCAGATTTTTGTAAATCTATTTGTATACATAAAATATATCTGATAGATTTTTGTAAATCTATTTGTATACATAAAATTTTTGTTATGTTTAATACCTTGGAGTTCATGACCTTATCCACGATTCCTTTGAAAGAATAGAATTTTTCATGTGATGAAAGAAAAGGACAATGAAGATAGTCTAAAATTTAGAGACGGAAATCAGAAACCATACTTTTATTTTGTCTAATCATACGACGGAAATTGAGGACAAAGATTGTCATGAACAAGCATATTTAATGTATTATCAAGTAAGTCTTTAATTTTGTCACGTGAATATCCACTTAACGTGTAGATAATGCTGTCGTTCAGTTGCAATTTGTTTATCTTTGTATTATATGTATCTTATGTTTTGCTTTGTGTTGCAATATAATCCAGGCCAGTGCATTTGTATTAAAATTAAACTAATTAAATAGTTGATTTACAAGCTTCATTGTTTTGTATATAATAACCAAAATTATTTAACAAAATAATTTGTTTACACATGATAATTCGAACACCCACAGAAGTAATCTAGAAAAACAACTTTTGTTCAAAAGAATCATTACATGTAGAACAAAACAAAAGAAATCAAAATCATGTGATGAACTCAATGGTCTAAATATCGCAACACGACCAAAAGTATAATGATGGCCAAAATGGATCAAATTTTGTTGTCCATCATTTTCTTTTGTGTGATATTTTATCTCCTTAGGCTACAGGTGATATATGTTATTTTCAAGTATTATGTTTACATACAACATTTTTCACATTTCATTTCATTTTTGAGGCGTGGCATTTTTTTTATTATTTTTTTAATTTTTTTTTTTTTTTTTTGAATAAAGTAAACGTTTTGTCAAATGAATTAAGAAAATTTTGCAATATTATTGATGTATTGGACTCAAACTAATATGACTGTTTTTTATGAGAACGTCAAACTAAAATGAAAAAAAAATCAGTATTCAATCATCTAATATAAACAAATAAAAGAACTAATGCATCCATAATATACATTAGGTCCTTATTTTGTTATTTAGTATTTTTTTTTTTCATTGGTGACTCATTTTTCATATATTTTTGTTGGGGCATCATTATGTTATTTTTGAAAAAAAAAAAATATACATTAAGACTTTATTTGTTCTACATTTTATATTGTCCTACAATGACATGTTTAATAATTAATTAATTTATTTTACTAAATTGAAGTGGAAAAAAACATTTATCACCATGTGCATCGCACGTGTACTTTACTAGTAAAAAGAAAAAGTATGATCAATTGATTCTTCAACAATTAGGTAATTAGACAGTTCCCAAAAAAAAATAAATTATGAACACTTTTGTTATCTTTGTAAAGTATGCCTTTAATTATATTTTAACGTGGCATATTAATGCACCATAAATACAACAAGTAGCTATTATGGTACATTGGTACTGAGCAGTTAAAATTCAACAAACTACCTAATATTCGAATTTAACCTTGGAGATTTTCTTTATCGGGCAACACAAACACACACACACACACACACAAATACTATACTTACAATACAATATGATATATCAGTGCCCAGTGAATAAATGAAGACTAAAAATTGCAATGTTTAACACACTTATGCCCAATTATAGGATTTGGATAGGAGATTAAGAGCCAAAAGGAAAGGAAGGGCACGAGTCAAATCACTATTGGACCAACCATTTCAACTTCAAATCAATGTTTGTATTTCGCTTTTTCATTTCTCTAATAATTCAATTGAATTAAACACCATTTTCCATTTAAGCGAAAATCCCAGCAGCATCTGATCAGCTGAAGCTCCTCCCCGCTCACTCTGCTGCTTATCTCACTCTCACAGGTAAACCGTCGCCTTTCTTCTTCCTGATTTGGTTCGCGAAAGCGATTCATCTGTGAACTCCCCGCATTGCAATTGTTTTTATATGCTGTTTAGGATAAAAACATGCAAAAATACGGAACTCTTGGTAGAGTTTTGCAGCTACTGGTGCTTGTTAAGTTTATCGAATGTTATATTGCATTACTCTGTGCGTATGAACATGGTGAATTTATGATTATTTGGTTATTTAGTTGATTGAAACGGAAATTTTAGGTGAGAGTGTTATCTGGCATTGTGATTTGATTGGTTCGACCACATCGATTAACTGTTTGGTTATTAATTTCTGCAAGTTGGGCTGTCTTCTTCTTCCTTTTGTTTTAGGTAATAATTATGGATAGACTTTCTGATTTGCAGTGCAGCTGGTTATTTGAAAATGATTTTGGAGCTGGGTTTTAGAGGTGGCAAGGGCGTGAAAGGCCAAGAAGTGAAAATTAGAGTGGCTTTCGTGGTTACTGTTTCCATATGGATTAGCCTTGCGGGTCTTTATGCTTTGTTGAAGCCAATATCAAATGGTTGTGTCATGACATATATGTACCCTACATACATTCCCGTATCCACTCCAGAAAATGTGTCGTCTGCGAAGTACGGTTTATACTTGTACCATGAAGGATGGAAAACGATTGATTTTAATGAACACCTTAGACAGCTTAATGGTGTCCCTGTCCTTTTCATACCTGGCAATGGTGGAAGCTATAAGCAGGCAAGCTTCTCTTCTAGCTGTTTTCAATTTTTTCTTTAGTCATATACTGGTGTTGGACTCTTTAGTATTTATCTATCATCAATCAATTAGCTTCTTATATTATATTTTCATATATTTTATATATCCAATTTGATAGCAATGCATCATCGGCTGATCACTAGTAGAGGCATGACTGCATGCTTTTATGTCATGATTAATTTCTCATGTACATATGCTTGCCTGTGTCTTTACAGGTGAGATCCCTGGGTGCAGAGTCTGATAGGGCTTATCAAGGAGGTCCACTCGAATGGGACTCTTACCAAGCATCCCCAATTTTCAGGGAGGAAGTCGATATTGATTACTCCGACATTAAGTTACCCAGTCGATACGCTTCCATGCTTGATTGGTTTGCAGTAGATCTTGAGGGTGAACACTCTGCAATGGATGGTCAGATACTTCAAGAACACGCGGAATATGTAGTATATGCCATTCACAGGGTATCACTTTTGCCATTATTTTATGAATTCATGATGAAAGTTGGGTTACAATTGACATCCAGAATAAAGGGCAGGGAGGAATGTTAATACAGTTAAACTAGAGGGGCTGATATAAACTTCACATAACATGCTGTCTTGCTATCATGATTGTTTTTCTGTAGGATGATGATGTGGTATTCTCTTTCTTGAACACATCTCCATGGGGGTTTATGAAAGTTTGTATCCAATATGGCATTGCTGTGTGGTTTATTTTGCTTCACTTTTATTTTTGTGCATCTGTAACTGGTAAACCAAAGAGGAATCTGATATATCTGAAGCACTGCTGATTTATAACATCATTTACCAGACAAAAAAATTAATAACAAGGAAAGGACAAACATCTTGTTGTCGGGATAATTTAGCCATGTTTGTGAGATGCCTTTAATACATTTAATGAATTTATTTGTAGCTTCTAAAAATTAAATTAGGGCACATTTGATTTGCAATAAGCTTTCGACGTTTACATACTCCATCACTTGAAAGAGTTCCTGCTGTCTTGACTTAAAATGTAATTGCTTCAGTTTATGTTGGACCCAATACCAAAATACATTGTTCCATTTTCTTTGAGTTCCATTCCATTTCTTTGTGAATTGTGAAATGAACTTAAAACAAGCTCTCTTAGGTTTCCATTTTTTTGCTGGGTTGATCTTCATGGTTTAGATTTTGGACCACTACAAAGAATCTCGTGATGCTCGAGCAAACGAAAGCTCTTCTGTTTCTGGAACCGTACCGAAAAGTGTCATTTTGGTTGGTCATTCTATGGGTGGTTTTATTGCTAGGGCCGCAGTTGTGCATCCTCACTTGAGAAAGTTTGCTGTTGAAACTGTTCTGACACTTTCCAGCCCACACCAGTGAGTTTCTACAGCTTCTTTTCAGTACTTCTTGTGATTTTTAAAGTTGTCTATATTCCCAGTAATTTTATTTTTTTGTCCAGGTCTCCTCCTGTGGCATTGCAGCCATCCTTGGGCCACTACTATGCACACGTGAATGAGGCATGGAGAAAAGGATATGAGGGGCAAACCTCTCGAAGCGGACACTACCTGTCTACTCCTTTGCTTTCACATGTTGTCATTGTCTCCATTTCTGGGGGTTATAATGATTACCAGGTATATCTGATTTACATAAACTATGATCCTAGGCTAGAGCTTGGTTCATGGGGTAACTTTATAAAGTATGTTTCATTTGCAGAGACACAGTCTCAGTAATTTTTTACTTAATTGCTGCTTTCTTGCTATGAAGTATGTATATGTGTGTGTGTGTGTGTGCATACATACTTAAATCATCTCATGTGTTTTTTTTTTCTTTTTTTCTCGATCTCTTCCTTTTGGTTCGAGTCTTTTTGTGTTTCTCTTGGGTTTCATCTCTAGCCTACCCCGACTTGCTTGGGAATAAAGGCTATGTTGTTGTTGTTGTTGTATTATCTATTCTTGAACTCTAATTTCGTTGACAGTGCTGAATTTTTAGACCTTGAATTTTGCCCTTAATGGTGAATGTAGTGAAAGAAGAGGTTGTAGCATGCGATCCATAATGGATGCAATTTGTTGTAGCCTCCATTTACTAGTTGTTCTTTCGCCAATTTCTCATGGACGATCAAGAGATATTTATGCTTCGCCATTTTTTAATGTTAGGTGCGTACAAAGTTAGAGTCCCTTGATGGTATTGTTCCGTCTACGCATGGCTTCATGATTAGTAGCACTGCCATGAGAAATGTATGGTTGTCCATGGAGCACCAAGTTATCTTATGGTGTAATCAGCTAGTTGTGCAAGTAAGTTGTTTATTTCTCTCATGGAACTACCAATGTTACTGTTTATGCATTTCTGAAATTCAAACTCAACTTTTTAGGTGTCACACACTTTACTTAGTCTGATGGACACCAAGACAGGTCAACCTTTTGGTGATGTTAGACAAAGAGTTGGTATATTTACAAAAATGCTCCATAGTGGAATCCCACAGACCTTCCTTTCATCGAGGCAATCACCACTATCGCAAAAGTCTGATCAGGCTTCTGATCAAAATAGAATAGTCAATGCTGGTATTCTCTCGTTGAATCTTCTTATTTATTTATTTTCTCACTTATTTTAACACAGAATCTGGCTGAATCATTTGACTTGTGAGTTTAAAATGTTCTTGAAATTGGACAGAGTGGCCTGGGAAAGCTCCCTTCCAACTAAAGAATATTCACCATCAGAAGACCTTAATATATATTAAATGAATAAGTAATTCAGGAAGTTTAAAGTAAAAAACATTTGATTTCTTCGAGCGATCGTAGCTACCCTTCGTCCAATGCCTTCATCGAGCAAAGGAAGGAAATGAGAGGAAAGGAAGGAAATGAGAATTGTTTTGTTAAGTGTTAACGAGTCGGCTTTCCGGCCAGATTAATGTTTTTAATGGCAGGCTATGGTTTACCCTCTCCCGATATCGCTACTAAGTGTATGGATGCCCTAGATTACAAAGATATACGAGGCGCGTAGTGGTAATATCAGCAGTTTGCCTCACCCTCTCTTTGAGATTGGCTATGGTGGACACAAAACGTGAAACAAAAGGAAAAAAGAACCTGGGATTTGGCATTTGGTTTTATGCAAGGGGTTGTACTGTTCATAAATAAGGATTAACGAATCTTTGTAATTTAGATTTTATATTTCTTTCCCCATTTTCATGTTTATAGTTGCAAATCTTTATTTGTTACTATTTTTTCATGTTTGTATTCTTGTTATTTTTATGTACTTGAACCGTGTCTATATTGGTTAAATCGAAGCAGTTCTAATACTAAAAGGAAAAAAGAAAATACTTGGATCTCTTTTGACATGGAGACCTGTCGATAGCATGTCCGATGTTAAACATTCTTCAAGTCATACATAAACCTTAATTGAGCTTTGAGATTGTAGGGGATTTTATCTTGATCCTATGGGGTGAATAACCGACGAGTATCTGACAACTCAGGGTTGCAAGTTCCCTACATATCTGGTTGCCCACGTGATTGCCAATGGAATGATGATGGACTTGAAAGAGACCTTTACATCCAAACTAGTTCTGTCACTGTGTTAGCTATGGATGGGCGAAGACGTTGGATGGACATTCACAAACTGGTGAGCATTAGTTACAGACTGCAGAAACTATTACGTTTGTTTTTTCAACCGGCTCGGAAAGAAGAGAGATTCTAAATTAGAGAAAACTTTAATACAATTGGGTTCTTAAAATTCTAAAACATAAAAAATAAGAAATTTTGCCTTTTATTTGGAATTTGGAACATGGGTTAGCAACTTCTGTGTTCTTTATGGATAGCATGGTGCCAATAATGGTGTTAGTCTCTAAAGTGGGGATCCCGAATGCTCCTTAATGAACAGGGTGCGGACAGAAAAACCCACTTTGTTTTTGTCACGAATCTTTCACCTTGTTCTGGTGTTCGACTACATCTTTGGCGAGAGAAGGGAACATCAGGCAAACGGGTTGTGGAAGTCACCTCAAAAATGGTACACATTCCCTCTGGCCCAGCTCCAAGGCAGGTATATGTTGTACTCTTTATTTCTGGAGGGTTTTTTTGATGAGCCAAAGTTTTTATACGTAAATAAATCAACATGTCCGTGGCTTCGTAGATTGAACCAGGTAGTCAGACTGAGCAAGCTCCTCCGTCTGCTGTATTTTGGTTGAGTCCTCAGGATATGCACGGCTTCAGGTTCTTGACCGTCTCAGTGGCGCCTCGCCCGGTATTTTCTTTTTCCATTTTCTTAATTGCTAATAGTTGTAACTAAGTATTTTAGTTAAATAACTTTCATTCAGTAACCATTATGCTGTTAATAATTGGTCCCATAAAGGATCTCTTTGCTTTTGAGTTTCTTGTAGTTGAGGAAATCTCTTATCAACTTGTTCTTCTGAATGGACTTCCGTGCTTACCTGGACGTTGAAGATCCTAGAGTCATATTCATTTTAGGCACTCATCAAAAAAATAATGGGAAAGTAATTATTATCATAGATATGGTTGGTCATGATAATGTGGGGCGAATTTCCACAATTTTTAGTACGGGGAACGAATATTATTTAGCATAACAGTATTTAAGATTTTGTTATGTTGAGAATTCATTATGGACAATAACAAATCGAATTATTTCAGACCAGAGGTTAAAAGGAGTGCATCTATCTGAAAGATATCGAAAACAAAGAGTGTTTCTTATGATTATTGTTGTAATACTGATGTACAGCAGCTTATAATGGTGCGGTAATGTTTTAGAAGAGCGTCCAGTAACTGCAAGTGTTCTTTAGCGCTGGCTATGTTTTTGGCTTGATGCTTTTCTCTAGATAGGGTGGAAAGCAACTACCGTTGTTCTACTTTAATCAATAAAATGTAGGATTTGTAATAAGGTTTGTGTTATACATCATCATTTATTAAGTGCAGTCTTTACTGGTCTGGATGTCTTTTACGATGCCCAATCTTATCTAATTATTATAATGAGAAGATCTCTATTATAACAACTGTGTGCAAGAGTGGCTTTCTTCCTTAGAAACATTTATGACCTCGTAATTATCATAAGCAACAGCCTTTTTTTTCCCCTGAGCTACTCTAAGGGACTTTCTTTTCTCAGACTGTTTCAGGGAGACCTCCACCAGCTGCATCTATGGGAGTTGGACAATTTTTCAATCCAAAGGATGGAGAGCATTTATTCTCTGCTTACCAGTTGATTCATTCATTATACTCAAAAAAGGTTAATATTTCTGTTGTTACTTGCAGCAACTGCAGAAGTCAATAATGTTGGAATGCTATATTGGGAATAATGACTCATGGTTGCATAATTGGATTGTGTAACAGGATGTGAATTTGAAAGAAGATCATCCTCTTATTCTCAACCATACATTTTCCGTTAGCTTAGGTCTTCTTCCTATTTCTTTAGCCCTTGAAACAACTGGCTGTGGAATTAAGAAGTCGGAATTTCCTCTTGAAGAGTCGGGAGATGTTGAAACTAGTAGTAAGTGTCACCATCCTGTATCACTTTTTCTGCGGATTATTTTGTTTCACTTTTATCTGATCGACTCTTCATATCCGACCACTCAGAATTGATTGGTATAAAGGACTACTGAAAATTCATGTTTTACTGATTGCATGAAGAGAAATATTAGTGGTCACATATATTTTGTGATGGATGCTAGTTTTCTGTTCTAGACAATAGATCCAAATTGATTGACATCTCTATATGATGCTTTTCCTTAAAACTTATCTCTAATTCTCTAATTGTTACTGTCAGTAATATGTCAGCATGTAATGTTCATCCCTTCAAATGCAGCCATTTGCAGACGTCGCTGTTTCCCACCTGTGGCTCTTGCTTGGGATGCTACATCTGGTCTCCATGTATTTCCCAATCTGTTTTCTGAAAGAATTATTGTGGATTCCTCTCCAGCACTGTGGACTTCTTCAAAGGAATCTGACAAGACAACCGTTTTGTTACTGGTAAATTATTTTTAACCATCAGCAATTGCGGATAGGAATATATGATATTTGGTGATTTATTAAACCCTGTTTATCCATTTTTATTTTTGTCCATACAATTCTCTGCAGGTAGACCCGCATTGCTCGTATAAAAGTACTGTTAGTATTTCTACCATTACTGCTGCTAGTAGATTCTTGATCTTATACTTTTCTCAGGTAAATTTGCACTACCATCTACCTGATAAAATAATGAAGAACTGCTTACAATTTACTTTTAGCATCGGTGTCTCAGATTTCACCATTGATATTTTCCTATAGGCTTCATAGTCTTTGATAATTGGTAGATTCTCATGATCTTTTAGCTCGATCGCAGATCAGTGGCCTTTGCTTTGCTGTTGCGTTTTTTGCTCTGATGAGGCAGGCATATGCATGGGAACTTGATCAGCCCATACCTTCATTGCTATCTGCCGTTGAATCAAACCTGAGAATGCCATGGCCATTTTTCTTACTTGCCACACTGCCAGTTCTGCTTGCTGTGCTCCTTTCTTTCCTAGGCTCCCAGCCCATTCCTCCTATTATAAGTTTCTTTGCAGTTTCAGTACTTTGCTACGTTTTTGCAAATGGAGCTCTAGCTGTGCTGATATTAGTTTCCCTGTTGCTTTTCTATGTGGCTGGCACTGTCCAAGTATTTTTCAGGAAACGGTTAGTAACCCATGCGTGGTTGTGTGTGTGGGTGTGTGTATTTTCTCTCTAGTTCAGCTGTGTTTGAGTCATCATAACACATGTAAAAGATCAATTTTATTACAGGCTGAAATTTGCTTAACTTGCAGGTGGCACTTGTGTGAAGGAAACTTCTGCTTTTCTTTTGTCCAATGGTTCATGAATAAGTCCTCCAGCTTTGCTTCTACCAAGGTAATGTTGCTCATGAGATATCATTGACCAGCTGACTTATTAAATTTAAAGGTTCAGGTTTTTGCTTTCTAAATTACGGAACTTAATTATGGTTGTACTTTCAACTCATTTCTTATAGAATCCTACTATTCTTTTTTTTTATTAGTTACTTAGGTTCAATTATTCGACTTTAATTTATATTAATTGTCTGCCTTTTCCTGGGTTAGGTGGTAAGAGTTTTAAGGGCAAAGCCTCTGCTTATTACGTCAATGATTGCAATTGCCTTGGTGTGCCTTGTGCATCCTGCACTGGGTCTCTTTGTGTTGCTCTTATCGCATGCTTTTAGCTGTCACAGTGCCTTTTTCAGGTATCAATTTCGTCATTTACCATTGATTTCTTTGGTCACTATGGTTAAATTGCCTCAGATATTTGTTTATGCCTTCAAACCTGGTTAACATGATTTTAATAATTTGGATAAAAGGGAAATACAATAATTTTTGTTTCTAGAGCTTCGAAGCTTGTCTGAGTTTAAAACATTGTCTTTGTCCCCAAAAACTCCTTGATTTACTGTCATTTTCTTGCATTAAACCCGAATACCCAACTCTTACCAGGAGTAACTGATACTCCTACCGGATCTGGTTGAATTTTTTACGATAGTCTGATGGATCTGGAGTCTAGAACAAATGCTGTATTAACATCAATTCATTTATTGCTTTTCTTTTATTTTATTTATACACACCATGTTTCTTTTCATTGTAGCATTGTTTTGCATGTTTGAAGTTTAGGCTGTGATTCCTTTTTGTTCATTTTTTTAATGATTGTTTTTCTGGTATGCAGCCAAGTTTACCAGATAAGTTGAATATTAATTCATTTTTAATGCGATCTGAGCGCCCTTCTGTGTCTGTGTAAACAGTTTTTTGATGGCTTCATTTCGCAGCCATGTCCGGGCCAAGGAGTTGTATGAATCCCGAAATGAACGAAATAGTGGTCCGATGCTGCAAAGTCCCAAGTATGATGGGGATATTAGTGAGCCAATTCTAGGAAACGAGACCTGTACTGGTAGCCCTGAATCTAATAGAAGCTACATTGACACGCAACTAGAGATCTTTCATCACCAGCATGGTTTGCTAGTTTTACATTTGCTGGCAGCATTAATGTTTGTGCCTTCGCTTGTGGCCTGGCTTCAGGTAGGGGTTGGGTGTGTGACAATGAATTTGCTGTTTGTCATAAACATCAGTAAACTAGTATTATAGTTCACTTTGTACTGGCCTTCACTTTGTGGCTTCCAAGTGGCAGTCTCATTTTTATTCAGGGAGAGAGCTAAAAAACCTCTAAGAAGTATTTTTTTCTGTGATTTCCCTTGTTTTCAAGATTTTTTACTCTTTTGCTGGCTCTCAAATATCTCCTTTGTGCTTGCAGAGAATTGGTATAGGCCAAAGTTTTCCATGGTTTTGGGACTCTGTACTTTGCGCTGGTGTTGTGGTGCACGGAGTATGTGATTCGAAGCCTGAATTCAATTTTCATCTATTTCCAATCCCGGGCATCCCTCTGTGGGAAGTCAGGCTGAGCTTTGCATATCTCCTTGCCGGATACTTTTCATATCTATCTGCGTTGGCTTTATCACCATATCGGGTGTTCTATGCAATGGCTGCAATTGGAATAGTTTCCTTCATTTTCAGGATCCTCCAAAACAGAAACAGGTCAAAGGGAGACACGTATTACAGGAGCAGAAAACATTCTCACAGACATTGACATTGTTCATCAATTGCTGGATTTTTTTTTTTTTTTCTATTTTCTTTCTTTCCTTTTTCCACGGCACTGCTGCTTAGCTAGCTAGAGTCAACTGGAACTAATTTTTGAAGTTGTGATCCTGTAAAAAAAATTATTTCTTAGTTCTGTAGTGAAATTTGTATTAGGATACTGCTTTTTAGCATTCTTTTACTCCGTACATTTGTGAAATATACAATATGACCACTGATTTTAATGTTTCAAATCTGTCACCTATCAGTTCATGTCATGACAGTGGTGCCAATGGAAGAAGTTGTATTATTCGAAAGCCCAAGTATTCAAAGGAGTACAGAGTTCATAAGTTGAGAGGACTATAACATCCTTAAACAAATCAACATAAGTTGAACAACACAAGCAGAATTCACTAACACAAGATACAAGTAAAAAATTAGCATTGCTTTCTACTCTCGCCGTCCCCTAATCCTAATGTTAACAGCTCTAGAGGCCATGGCCCTCAAATTAGCTCTAGCCACAGCAAATGAAGGGTCTCTGCTAGGCTCGTCCGGTGCCCTAAACGCCTCCATAAATTCCTCCCTCTGCAATCTCAAAGCCAAAGCAGCATCCTCATCTTGGCTTGGCAATGCCCTCCTTGTACTAAACCTGTGCTGCTGTTGTCTGCTTGACGTACCACCGGAAGGCCTTGAACTCCGGTGCCTTAAACTATGATTCCTCCGGTTTTCAGACTCTGGACTACTATTTAAGGCCAGAACTGCTCTGTTTTGTGTACGAAGACTTCTGTTTCTTCTTGATTGGGTTTCCCGTTTTAGTTCATTGTTATCTGAGGTGGAAGGATCATTTGCCTTCCTTGCTTCAACTTCCTTGGGAAATAACAGCTGAATCGTGTTCCAAAGAACAGTGTTCACCGTGGAATATCTGCTATTGCTGCCAAATTCCGGGTCATACAAAAGTAAATCAGGCCCCAGGTTAGATTCAATGATGCTTATCGACATTACTACAGGTTATTTCAAAGCAATAAATTAAATTACCTTTCCCTAGTTAAAAACTACCCTTGGTAGTTAGTTATTTTGCAAAATTACACTCTCTTTCAAGAGGGAAATAGTATTTGATATGCTACATTTGCAGAGGTATACATAAATTCAACAGATGATGCAACCCAGTGTAGCTAAGGGAGTTATGAAAATATATAATGCAGCAAGTTATGAAAATACCAGTGGATAATCTTTACAACAATAAATCACTGCACGACTTAAAAAGCCGCCCCTTGCTTGAGCACATCATAACAGAGATGGGAGTTTATAGACATAGCTTAATGATTTACCACCTTATAAGCTGCCTGCATTTGGGGCACTTCTTCCCACACCTATCAGCTGCTGAATGCAAACATTTTTTGCAAAAACTGCAATAACAGAAAACAAAACCTTCAGGCAAATTGTCGATTTTCGAGTTGTAACCTTTTTGCTGTATACACAACAAAATTTGAATTTACCTATGTCCACAAGGTGTTGTACTGGGCTCATAACATATCTCCAAGCAAATCTGGCAAAGTCCATTCCGGTTTGAGATAAAGATAGTCCGAAAATATGGCCCAAGACGAATCACAAACAAACAATGGAAATATTAGTGAGGATAGATATAACTTCTTACAGCACAAGAGAGCTCCTCCCGAAGTCGATCGAGACATGCTATTCCTAGACCAGAGATGGAAACATCATTGCCCTTCGTGTTCATTTCATCACAATCTCTATTCTCTACTACTACTTCATTGACACTTGTCTTCTTGTCAGTTTTCTCGCTCTCTGTGAAATTCATAATGCCAAAAAGTGCAGAGAAAATCAAAACCAAAAACAAAATGAGAAATTGAAAATTTATACAAAAAACCAATCAGAACCTTGTTTCGGTTTTGACCCATTTTCCTCGAGATCAAGAACAGTGATCGGTATCGATGCAGGGCTCCGCCTCTGAGCCTTGCGTTTTCTGCAGACATGCCAATTTCAGATCCAATCAAAGGAAAATTTCAAGAAATTATCCCTATATCTCAATGCAAATATGTACTACTCTAAAATCGCAAACGACATAAGACCCTTTTCGCACAATAGAAATTAGAATGTTGCAGAGGAATTTGAAAAATGACGGAAAATAATCTCTTCCAGGAAAAAAAAAACCAAGGGATCGAGATCAAACCTTCTGGAATTGGATGGTGGGGTTTTAAAACCATGTAAATCAGATTGCTTGTTATGTTTGATTTGGCGATCAGGAGTGTCCTCAACGATGAGGCTTGCAATCAAAAGCGCCTCTTCATCCCAACCTGCCATGGCTGCCACCGATCGAAACCTTGGACTGAACAGATGCCCATTTTCGTTGGCTTCTGCTTGCCTTTTTGATGGTTTTTCTGGGGATTTGTTCGAACCCTCTCGAATTGCCATTTTCAAAGGCTTTCTTTTTCAACGGGGTTCTGGTTATGGCGAAAATGATTTGTACCGGGTTGAGGATGAAGAGAGAGGGTTTAACGGATATATTTTTCAGTATTCATGTTATGTGTATTTGACTATTTGGAGAGTCACCTAACGGCTAGTTGGGCAGTGATGTGATATACTGCTGGCGGTTGCAAATTTCATAACATGGACCTCATGCTCTCTATTCTATTGTTTCAACTTTTAAATTTTAATCCTTTCTTTCCCCTAGGAGAAAACTGTTTTGGAAATGTTTTTCCTTGTTTAATATTAAAACAAAATTAGGTTTTAATTGCGCTAGAAACATTCTAAAATCTAAATCATATTTTCTTTTTAGTTTTATAGAAGAAGTTTTTGTTCGAAGTTAAGCCAAAAATAAAATGAAAAAATGCAACCAAACTTGTAAAAGACGGGACTTAAATACTAGAATATAATTAAATATAGCCAATTTTTATTAAAAGGAAAATATGAAATATCATAGAGTTGTAAACAAAACTAGCAACTCGCGAGCACTCAAGTCAAAGTTCGGCTCAAGCTCGAGTTTGATCGAACTCGAAGCGAGCTCAAGTGGCTCGAGCATATTATCGAGCTGATCTCGAGCATAATTTTGGAAGGCCGAGCTGTTAGCGGCTCGAGATATGTAGTTAATTCTAGAATAACTCTTAAATATATAAATATTACAATATTTTATATATATGTACTTAAGATAATTTTACTTCAAATTCGAGTTAAACTCGAGCTGAGCTCGAACAACTTTACGAGCATTTTGATTTCAATCGATTTCGAGACGAATTCGAGCATTATAAATCGAGCTTCGAGCTCGACGAGTTCGGACAGATAAATAAAAAAAAAAATTCCTCAACAAGGTCAATACTTAATTAGGCTCGTTTGAAGTCGGACAAGGGACAACACAAGATTAATAGTAATATGGGTATCTTACTCGGTAAGCTTGGTTAGCCTCGGAAACATTTTCCAGTAGCTACTAGTAAGTATATAGAATGGATTAGATCAAAGAGTCTTCTTCACTCTTCATAACTTTCAACTCGGTCCCAATACACTTGGAAAAACCGTCAAATTGCTCGCGTTTACTGTGACTATGGCGGCTTCTACATCCATCCTCCGCCTTAAGCTGCCGTCATTCCTCTCCAACGCATTCCTCAGCCAGCGCCGCTTCATCTCAGCCGCCGCTTGCCGCCAACAAAGCCCTATCAGTGCCAGGAGGCAGCACCAGCACGAGCACCAACCTCATAAGAACCTAACAAGAGCCCGCGAAACCTTCAAGAAGCAATTTTCGTCTCTCTCTCCGCTCCTCTCTCAGGACGACAATCCTCCGCTGACCGAAAATCAGGCAATCGGCACCGTCGCTTCCGCGCAAGCCAATTTCATGCGCGTTGTTGTCAATTCCGATTCCCAGGAAGGGGGTTCCAGAAGCTCTGGAGTGGAGCTGCTGTGCGTGGTGAGGGCTGTGCTGAAGAAGATTAAGAGGCGAGTGCTTGTTGGGGATAAGGTTCTGGTAGGATCGGTTGACTGGGTGGATAGACGAGGAATGATTGAGAATGTGTTTCAGCGGAAGAGTGAGATTCTCGATCCTCCCGTGGCCAACGTTGATCACCTTCTGGTGCTGTTTTCTTTTGAACAGCCAAAAATTGAGCCCTTCACTCTTACTAGATTCCTTGTTGAGGCTGAATCTACTGGAATTCCCCTCACGCTTGCATTGAATAAGGCAGAGCTCGTCCAACAGACGGTATGATGCTGCAATTACATTATTTGAGTTGCATATTGTTTGCTTTCTTCTTAATTGTTGCTTTTGAGAAATTCGGCATATTAAGAGTTGATCTGGGAACTTCTTTTGAATTTTTAATATTACTTAGCAGGTATTTGGGTCGAGTTGCAGAAATTTGGCATGTTAAGAGTAAATTAAATTCTCTTTCAGGAATTTTTAACATTACTTAGCAGGTTAGTTTGATTGTTGGTAGCATTAAAAGAAGTGCACATTGTCATATTATGATTTTATGGCTCCCTGTATTGCATTGTTTTTTAACATCTTTGCCTCAGTGATGATGCTTTCTAGTTTCTACTAATTTTGGTCTGCTAAGGCTAATAGTGCAAAGGTACCTTATGTGAATGCCGTTGTGTTGTATGTACTCTGCATTCCCATTACCATGCTAAACTAATACTGCTATGCATAGCAATCTCATCGGCCCATGTTCTGACCCTTCAAATATTTTTTTTCCTGCACTGTCATATATGTACTCTAGGGTGCCTTTTTTTCTGTCCATTCTGTTTCTCCTAGTCACATTATTGACTTTTGGTTGAAAACTGACTTGTAAAGACACTGGCGGAGTGGAAATCTCGGCTTCACGGTTGGGGCTATGAAGCAGTTATTTGCAGTGTCGATACTAAACATGGACTGGATACACTGCAATTCATTTTGAGAGACCAGACGACTGTAATTGTTGGTCCCAGTGGTGTTGGTAAATCGAGTTTGATCAATGCTTTAAGAGGCAATGGAAGTGTTCCTCATGATGACAGTTCATTTGAACCTGTAGGATCACCATCCCTCATGATGCTATTGTATTTCCTTATCACATGTAACTCATTTATACTCACTTCATTCCCCTTCCCCCGACGTTAGATTTTAGGAAGCAAGTGGCTTGAAGAGCAGCGTGTTGGGGAAGTGTCCACAAGGAGCGGCAGAGGAAAACACACTACTCGAAATGTGTCATTGCTTCCATTATGTGGAGGTGGATACCTCGCTGATACCCCGGGATTTAACCAACCGAGTTTGCTCAAAGTAACAAAACAATCCCTTGCACGATGTTTCCCAGAGGTGTCTGCTTCAATGATTCTTTATACTGATTTTAGGTATTTAAATCTATATATTGTTTGGACTGAGTTTGTTACTCTTTTTCGTTCAGATCCAGAAAATGTTGAAAGACGGTGCACCTGAAAAATGTTCTTTCAGCAATTGTTTGCATCTTGGTGAACCAGGATGCATTGTGAAAGGGGACTGGGAAAGATACGCATTCTACCTCCAATTTCTGGATGAGATTAAAATTAGAGAGGAGTTCCAGATGCGGACAGTCGGAACTAAAAGAGAGAGTGGTGTGAGGTATATGTTCAATTAAAATATATTCATAGTATTTTATCTAAATTTCCATTACAAAGTTTCATGGAATCTGAGGGACACATCTGAATTTGAAATAAGATAATGATGCATATTTGAAAGTATATGCTCCTCTAATGTTAGAATCTTACCAAATGTTTTGGAGAGTCATTTTTCATGTTTTCTTGGGTTGTCACTGTTACTTGATGCTGAATCAATGAAGTTGCTACCACTATATTTCCTAAATTCTAAATTTTCTGCCCCATAATATTTTGCATGGTATTTTGGTAGGGTCAAGGTTGGCGAATTGGGTGTTAAGCGAGTTGAGCCAAGATTGGAAACCAAGAAACACAGGAGACAATCTCGCAAGAGAATTAACCAGTCTATACTGGATGAGTTAGATGAACTCTATGATGATGATGACGAAGAAGAAATAGCTGATAGTGAAAATCCTATTGTCAGGACAGTGAGTGGAGAAAATCAGTAAGGCAACTGTACGTGTTTGATGTATCGAGAACTGTGGTGCATATGGCATGCAATATCTTTGTAAATAATCGCTCCTTTAGGTAATTTCTATCATGAAGGAAGAACTCGTGTTTCAGTCGAAGGAAGACCAAGAATGTTTTATGAAGAGTACAGTGAATGGTACTTGGCAATGGCTATAATAGTTCTTTAATTGCCTTGTGGAGTGTGTGTGTATGTGTGTGTGTGCCTGCCTGCCTCTGTCTGTATCTCCCCGCCTTTGCTTTAACTTATGCCTAATAGCATGTTCCAAAAATAGTTAGTTTTACTAAGAAATTCCCAATCAATTCTGAGACACTCGCAAATTCTCATCTGTTACTGAAGATTTCTCAAACCAACAAAAATATGAAATAATTTTTGTTAAAGATACTTCTACTCCAATATATATGAAGTTTTCGTTTTTCTTTGAGTCAAAAATTATGTCTTGGTTCAATTTTGTATTTATGTTATGGCACAAATAATATCAGATTCAGATGCAATACTCAAATATAAGGCAAGCAAACTAGGACCCATTCCAAGTGCACTAATTTTAAGAACAAAATGCAGCATACATAAGATCAAGCATTTTACATCACAAAAATGGAAGGCGGGTCCACGAGACAGCTGGAGATTGGTCTTCGTCGTTATTTAGGTGTAAAATCAAAATTCAAAGTAGACACCGTTGGTTTGAAGCTTTCAACATGGAAGAGCTGCAGCATGCTCAATTCTCTATATGTGTGATATCTGTTACCATTCGATAGAAATATCAAATAATGTATATATACACCATTACCAGGAGAAGAAGGTAGTCTCATCCTTTTAAGATGTTGTTTCAACATTACAATCTCATGGTCCCGAGTAAGTGTTCCTTCTCTTGCTCTTAAACCCTTTGCCCTTTTTCCTCTGCCCTTTGCGTCTCAAAATCATCATCACCATAACCGCCACAAAACCAATAATCGAAAACGCCCAGAGCCCGATTATCCAAAATCTCATAGACGTGAAGGACTGATTAGTCTCCCCTGGTTGGGATAATTCTTCTGAATTGTTGCTCTTCATCTCCGACAAATGCATTATTGGATCATCAATTTTCCTAGTTGCTGTTATTACTTCACTTTCCACCTCGTGAGCTGGCGACTTGGGAGGAGGATGATTAACAGTCTTTGACAATGAAGGAGGATTAGGGGCAGCGGGTAAGGAGTTGGGGTCGGGGCATTTTTTTCTCTCATAATAACGGTGGAGGGCATCGTTTAGAGAATTCGCACATTCTATGCTGAGCAAGTCACGGCTTAGTGATTCCTCATCTGAGCGGTTGAGAGTTGATGGGTCGGGAGGGTCTGGGAACTTGGCCCAACATTTGTTGGCCACGTCCATGTGTCTCCACTTGGCCTTATCGAAACTCCAATTTCCAACCCTAAATTCCAATCCGTAGTGGAATACTCTATACTTGATGCCTGGAACGGGGACGTACCCCGGATATATCAATATCTCTTTGCTTATGACATGTCGCAAGTTCATCTACATTGAAAAATACAAAATAAGTCGTTGATGGTTATTGCTTTTGGAAAATTACTGAAATATTAGGCATGAATTACCTCTGCTGCAGCAAAAGAGTAGCCATACATCTCACTAATCCAACCAGCCTCGTAAATGTCTCCAGTAAAGACTTTTGCCCAGTGGCCCACATCAGCTCTGACTTCCTCGGTTTTATGCAGCCAAAGCATTGCAAATCTCTTGAGATCCCTTATATGCATTATGATTACACCACCAACCTTGTTGCAAGCACCTGGATTTCGAGTGTGGATCTTTGCAAGCTCATTGTCACATCCAATGAGGTAGCTGCCATAGTTCAAAACAAACAAACAAATAAATAAATAAATAAAAAACACTTGTCTCATTGCACTCCATACGCGAAATTCAGTTAAGTACTTATACACTTCCAGTGAGGAATAAAAAGTCTCACTCATAAGGAGTGGAAACAGGTCTGCCCTTGGCCGCATTGAACTCCCAAGGTGTAACTGGTCCTCTCATTATCATGTCAGCATCCAAAATCACTATGTATTCTGCATCGGTTTTCACATGGTTGACCCAATGCAGCACGGCAGCTGGTTTATTAATAGCTGGATACCTGAAATGACCCCCCGAAAAATATTATCGTATCATGTGCTCTTAGTAATAACTCATATGCACTGGGCCAGTTAGTTTCTAGACAAGTTTATGGAGAAAAGAGGAGCATACTGCATTGATGCCGTGAATTAATGCAGTATTCAGTCTTGATCAATTTTCCTTTAAATTTCAACTTTTTTTTTTTTTTGGTCTCATCTGTGATGGTGTAAGTAAAACTTAAAACTGGATTGTGAGAGTTAAGGAGGGCATTACCAATCTCCAGTCAATGGATGCCGGCTCATGGACGGGACATAATGAGTGGGAGCTAGATCATGTCCTTTGTATTCCTTCAAATCCTCATCTGTACAACTCAACAGCCTCGTGATCTCCCCTGGCTGGCCACTCTGGTGGAAACTGTGAACGAGCCCAAGAGTCTGCCAATCAAAGTAAGGGGTGCACTCAGTAGAGAAAATGGTATGTATTTTCGGATGCCACTTTTCTGGCTCCCCAACATCTTGCTTTTTTTCCTCAGTAACTTCCATCATTTGACGGCTTTTCGGAGTCAGCTGTTTCGGTTGAGTTAGTTCTGCAAAAGTTTTGCTCTTCAAGAAACTCAGGTATTTGGACCACTTGGGCTTGGGGCAACCATGCGCAGCATGATGCAATAATAGACCTTCGTTTAGGGTGTCCATGCATTCTATATTCAGAAACAGTGCCCTCCTCTTGTTTGGATCAGCTTCCATTTCTTTCACCTTCAATAATAATAACAATAAATAAAATATTTATGTGTATCATATTGTTAATGCGAACTTCCTTTGTGATTGTATGGTGTAAACCAAGGCATGTTGAAAATTGGTTCTATCCAAGTAGGAAGAAATTATACAAGCATGAAAGCATTTGTAGGGAAAGGATTCATTCCAAACAGCAACGTATTGATTTACCTCTTTAGGATAAGGAGGTTCGGGAAAAAGGCGTCCACAGTCATACACAATGTTATCTTCATGATGGTCTAATTTACTGAAGGACCAATTTCCAACACTAAAAGGCAATCCGTAGTGCAAAAGAATGGGTTCAATACCCTCTCGAGGAGTATAGCCAGGATAAATCATCAAGTTATCAGTTATCTTGTGGCGAAGTCCCACCTGGCGAAAGCAAGCAGCTAGGTCAAACCAAACACATTATAAGCAAATCATAAACATAGATCTGGAATGAAAAACCACATCCTTTTATGTGCATATGAGGATAGTGAGCTAACATATTCCGAATCTTAAAAAGGAACTTCACTAAATCACAATTCTTTTAAGTACGCTTTTCAAAGCTCATATAGCCACGTTATTTAAGAATTTTACTTTAAGCTCATATAGCCGCTTCATCTAAGACTTTAGGTGATCTCTTTAACTCCCGAATATTTTACTGGGGGATATGAGATGCATATATTAAGTAAATGATACCTCTGCAGCACCAAATGAGTAGCCATACATTTCACTAATCCACCCTGTCCCATAAATATCACCAGTGTAATTTGTAGCCCAGTGATCTTTGTCTCCCCTTACTTCTTCAGTTTTTGACAGCCACAAAGGTGCCAAAGCTCGAAGATCGTCAATATGCATCGCTAAAAGCCCACCAACTTTGTCACAGAATTCAGGATGCATAGTGTGCAGCTTAGCAAGAACATTGTCACATCCAACCAAGTACCTGGCCAAGAAGTAAGATCTTTTTAGAATATTCTCAGGGGAAAGGTCACATATGACATAAGTCACTTGGAACAAATCATTTCTTAACAATATTCTTTTTAGATGGAAAATCAACAGCCAAAAATGGCAAATCGAGGAGTCATTTAATTTTTATTTTTTTTTTTTTTTGAAGAAAATAAAAAGTAAAACTTGCCTTCTAATATCTATGCATTAACGAAACGAATAAACACACATGTTCTTAAGCGATCTAGTTTCCCGTGGGATAAAAGGATTAAAAAATTAGGAGTATATGCAGAAAAGAAATAATTACCCATAATATGCAGCTACAGGCTTGCCTTTCTCTGCTCCAAGTTCCCATGGTATGATTGGACCTCGAATGATCATGTCCGCATCCAGAATCACTACCCAATCAACATTATCTGCATCTTTGCTATGTTTAAGCCAGTGGACCACACCTGCCGGTTTATTGATGGCTGGATACCTGCCATAAACCAGGATAATTGTACACTAAAACTTCAATGAGAACAAGATGCATGCTTAAAAATGGCAATCATGTCAGGTTTTCTCAATTCCAAAACTGTGAACCATCTCATATTCCAAATATCACTCACACAAGACATCAAGTGAAGAAATATCTACAGTGATGAAATTTCAATTCTTGAATCTACATACATACAAGATCTAAAAGGCAAAGGAAATTCATAAAGCTCTCAACTTAATTCCCTAAGTCAAGAACTGTATCTCATAACACAAACAAACAATATCACTATCATTCTTTCATTTTCATCACTTTTACACACTAACAACAACAACAACAACATACCCAGTATATTCCCAACAGGTTGGGGTTGGGGTCTGGGGGGTCAGTTGTACGCAGACCTTACACTTGTAATTATACAAGGAGGCTGTTTTCGTAGCGACCCAAAGTGCATTGCGCCGTTTGATATATTTTTTTTCTAGAAACTTCACTAATAGAAGAAGCAATATAATTTAATTGAGTCATTTTGATCTAGTCCATTATTAGCACTATGCCAGGAGAATTGTCAACAATGACTCTTCCAGCTCCATTTGCAATGGAAAAATTTTCATCACTTTTACACATGTAAAAAAAATAGCAACATTTCATTTCTGATAGTCCCTTATAAATGGTCAATTCCATCTATCCGAATCAAAAAGAAGATTGGTTTCACTTATGGAACTTCATTCTCTACAATCCATAACAACCATTTATGTCGAAAAATTCCAGTCCCCAACAAGAATACCCAATTAACCATCAATTAGGATAGAATCATAAGCTAATGCAGGATTCAATCATTTCAGAGGAATCATAACAATAATGAAATTCATACACATTTGCATACCCACCAATCACCAGTCTTGGGGTGCCTGCTCATGGATGGCACTTCAAGGGTTGGCGCCAAGTCCATGCCTTTATAACCGTTCTTCTCTTCCTCGGTACAGCTGAGCAGCCGGGTAATCGGGCCGGGCTGTTTGGCCTTGCGGTAGCTGTGCATGAGGCCAACCGTTTGCCAATCGAAGTAATTATGACACTCCACCGAGAACAGCGTGTGGATCCTATAGGGCGCCGTCCCGGCCACCTCCCCGCGGCCCGATTCCTGGCCGGCGGCGGCGCTCGTCGACAGACCCGCCGCCGCAACAGCCACCGCGAATACGAACAGAAAATCTCTTACAGCCATTGTCACATAGCCGAGAGCTGAAACGAGCTTTCACTAAAACGATCTCAAATGTAGGTTTTCGTCAAAGGTCAGCCTTTTTCCCGGTGATCGTTAATTTGTTTCGAATTGGCAAAGATAGGACAAGGTCGTGGTGGTGGGAGGCATTGGATTAAAGAAAGCGAGCAATTTTAAATATACAATTGGGGGAAATTATGTTGGGATTATGGAATGAAATGTATATATATATATATATATATATATATATATATATATGTTATACCACAAATACCTGAACCGCTCGACCGCCCCTCTCGAACTCGATTGCCTTGATCGTCGGTACCTGCAAAACACGCCGGGGGTGGTCCCGGCGTGGACACTCCGACGCTCAGGTCAGTGGTGGTGTTTCAGAGAGAAAGCGGCAGAGTAACGAGATAATATGTGTATGTGTATTGTGTAAAATGAATGAACCTATTCCCTTTTATAAGTGAGGTCATGCGCAAGTTGAAGAGTTCTTATTGGTCTAGAAGTCTTCCTCGTGTCTATCTCTAAACTAGGTCAAATATATCCAGAACTTCATAGTCCTTATCACTCCAAACTTCCTTGTGACTTGGCCACGAAGCCACCTCCAGGCTCTGGTCCACTCGGCAGAACCCTCTGGCCGAGGTGCCTAGGTGCCGAGGCGCCTAGCTGCCGAGGTGTCTGGCTGCCGAGGTGCCTAGCTTACCAACCTTTGGTATTCCGCCTAGCTAGTCCCCGCCTAGCTAGTCCTCGGCTAGCTCCCATTGGTACTCCACCTAGCTAGTCCCCGCCTAGCTAGTCCTCGCCTAGCTCCCATTGGTACTTCGCCTAGCTAATCACAGCCTAGCTAGTTCTCGCCTAGCTGTTTGAACTCCGCCTAGCTGACCAACCTTTGGTATGCCACCGAAGTGTTCATGCCAAGCTAACCCCTTGCCTAGCTCCTATTCAATGTAAATGTGACCAAACTCGGATCACAACCGGTCCTCCATGAACCTCTACTTATAGCCATATCAATATATATATATGTTGGCTCACGAGCATTTAATAAAACTTACAAAATTATACTTATGTGGCAAAATAATTTTTTCCCTCCAAAGACCGTTACTTTTATTTATTTAACCTCTTATTTAATTATTAGATTAGATAATCAACACACTAATCACTTTAAAATTACAAAAATTATTTTAAATTTTTGATTTACTTACAACTGACCATATAATGTGTTGACTATTTAACGTGATTAAATGTTATTGTTGTGGTTACATTTAAATTAACTTCTTTTGGAAAATAAAAAATATATTTGAAATTATTAAATAAATAAATAGTTCACAAAAAAAATACATACCAAAAGATACATTACATCCAATATGATAAACGCAATTTAAAAAAAATAAATATTCCAACTCCTTTAATTGTAAATTTGGCTTGTAAGAGGTGCAAGAGAAATCATTAATCATTATATACATACAAATAACTCACAATACTTTATTTATATCTGTCCAATGCAGATGTCGAAGTAAATAATAATGCCCCTCTTAATTTTATCGGTTTTGTATTAAATTTTTGCACTGAGTCACTCTAATCATTACAGATTCATTTAAATTATTTATATTATAAATAAAGTATGATATTTTGATTTCAAAAAATGCATATTTATTTTAAAAATTTTCAATTCACAAAGATGCATATTTATTTTAAATATTTATATTTATGTTATTTTAATTTAAAAAAAATAAATGTTTATTTTAGATATATGTTTAACTAACTATTAAATATGCCTAACAATATTACAATAATCTTTGATCGCGGAAAGTAAAATCTTGGATACAAAATTTATCCAAAAAATCCAAACATTTTTAACTCAATCACTTTTTTTAACTAAATTTTAACTCAACCCAACTATTATTAATATTATTAATATAATTAAATAATATCAACCAATCATTCTTACACATCACATCAACCTTTTTTCACTATTCATCCACTCACATAATTTTAACTAACTATCACTTCAAATTATCTCTCATACTTTTACATCAAATCAAATTTAATTATTTTATTTTAAATATTTTTTAATATACCCACTAACAACTAATCATACCACATTTTTTAAAATTAACCAAACCAAACCAAACCAAAAGATCCAAACAAATCCAAATTTTTTTATATCCAAGCATAACTAGTTGCATTTTATCTTACTGTATTTGCATTATATTTTGACTTATGGAGGTTCAAAAGTCAAATCTCATCATGAATCCATCATGACAGCACCTTCAAAGGTGGAAATGAATAAAATACTGTAAAATAGATCTAAAGCACATTATCCATCTTGATGGCGAACATGTTATAGAGAGGTTGGGTAAACTATAGACTTTCTTTAATAAAAATTAAAATCAATGTAAAATTGACCTAAAGTACACTATAAATCTCGATATCGTTCATTGTAAAGAGGTTAGGCAAGCCATGTAGTTTCTAATTAACACCATCTACCAACATCAAAATTTCAACTTGCAAAATAAAGTTGACTAGTTAATTCTTATTAACAATACTTGAAATAAATATAAATTTGGCATATGCTTTGGGACGCGTGTGGTGTAAATGAGTTGAGTGGCATAAACGAGTCAAATCGAGCTAAAACATTATATTTTTATTCTTTATCGAACTTAGTCAAACCCAACTCGTTACATTTGTTAATATTAACAAGATAAGTTCAATCATTAATAAATTGGTTGTAAAAAATTATATAATATAATTCTTATTTTCAAACTTTAAACAAATTTGAATTCAACTTGATTATCAAATTAGCTGACCCGAGTTGGAGCTGAACTAACAAGCAGAACTTTAAACTAACTTGACAAGCAAATCTTGGTTGTGGATGTCAATTATTGTGGCTCAAGTTGGGCAATCGACATTCCATTATGCTTTTATTGTTAGGAAGCCCAAACTTATGTAACTAGCTTATCGGCCCATTTAATTTAGAAAATACCAAGACCAATGCATCTCCACGTCGGCCCACATACTTGACCCCCGGAAATGGCGTGCGGAAGATTGGGGACGGCGATTCGAAGTGTGCAGACGGCGTCGGAGAGCCCCCGCCTTACCAGATTCTCTCTCCATGCTCCCAAAGCTGTAATAACCGCGTTTTCTCGACCTCGTTAGTTTTTTTTTTCCTTCAATTTGTTCGTCTGTTTGAAATGTTTATGATACCTAAATTCAACTGTTTGTCATTTATTTTTAGTTGTTCGTGAAGAATTTGAATCGAATTTTTCGACTAAATCCTTGTTATTTAGTTCAGTGCGTGTATGATGATAACAAAGGAGATGAAATCGAACAGATATTTGCTTGCAATCAAATGTTTTTTGTGAATTGAACAACAGAACCTTTTCTTGAATAGCTTTGTTTTTGTTTATATTTTATGTTCTTATGTTAATTCCAACGTTGTTTTTTAGTTTAATGAACTGTTTATGTTAATTCGAACGTTGTGAATTGAGGTCATTAGCAAAATGAAACAACGATCAAAATGAACTGTTTATGCCATAAGCTCAATTGTATTGATGAAAACACAGCTAGAAATTTACCTTGTGGAGGACCTTCTGTCAGGTAGAGGTAGAATTCAACAATGGCAGTGCTTATATTCTATCAGCTGAGTACTTGAGAGTATATAGCCCAGCAGTTGACAGTAAGATTCGATCGATCGGAGGAGAAAAGGTACCTGTATGAGTATGACACGGTAGAACTCATATGGGAATCATATCTGCTGAAATTATCATTTATCAAAAAGAAAAAATTGAGAATTTTTGTAGTCATTTGTAATAGTTTAGTATATCCAAAATTAAAAAAAAAATCCAGATTCTGCTGCCTTTCGTTTTTCTAGTTACGAGAATAACTTGATCGTGGATCAGGTGATATTCGGAAGGCGTCATGTGGGAATCATGTCTGCTGAACCTGTGGGGAACTACGGGGTGAGGTATTAGTATTACTAATGTGTCCATTTTATAATACAAATTATAAGATGTACTAAAAGATTGACCTGTGTTTTATCATAACTCTGTTATTTTTGGTTTTGTGTGTAGATTACTTTTCGATGACTTGCACAAAACAGGGATCTTTACATGGGATTACTTTCATCATCTCGGTGCCAATAAATTCCCGCTGATGAAAAATTACATAAGAATTCTAAAGAAACACGGACTTACTAGAGATCCTACTCGGAAGAAGTAAATGCCAAATCTTCCACAAGCGTGTATGGGTTAAGGTAAGGAGATGAATATAATATGCATACACCAAGTCTGTTGATTTACACGAAAATACAGACATGTGGTGTGCAATGAGATGATCATATACTCCAGCTTTTCTATTCACCCCGAGTAATTGCAACTATTTGGTTATTGGAGCTTTGGTAAAACTTAATGGAGACATATCGATGTGGTCAACGGATGTTTGGTTGAATTTTCCCTGCGTGATTTGTGCTATTTACTCGACTCTACTTGTAATTTTTCGTCTGAATTTAGGATGTAACGGGTACTGGAACGTGATCATGGAAACTATAACATATTAACATGCATTCTTAGCTCTTACAAAGATTTGTTGTCAATTTATTTCTCAAGTCAACTCCAATGTGCTAATGCTTCCTTGCTTTGTTAATCGAAATGCCACATAGGGTCCGCTTTCATTTTGGTATTAGCATATACCTCAGTTCAGTTGCCTCTAGTGGCACACATGGGCACGTTGACATGGTATTTGGAGCATCATAGTGATGTGGAGAGAAATCTTGAAATCGACCCTCGAATCCCACAAGAAAATGTATGGGCTTACGAATGATATTTCCTATTCTTCGTGTTTACAATATGAAATGTTATAGTTTTTATAGTCGATTCGTTGTACTATTTGAACAAAGTACATAAATTAAATGTTGTAATTTTATTTATATTATTTTTGGAAACGAAATTTTCAAATGAAAATATGTAACATTAAGGAATGTGCATTCGTTTGGGATTTTAATTGACATTTTATGATTTTTTGAAATTTAATACTTTTTAAGATTTTCATTTTTAACAAGAGTTCTTGAAAATATTAAAGTTGAAGATAGATTGGACTGAGATTTTGTGTATGATTTTGTTTAAAATCTCAGCAAACAAATTTCGATGTCAAATTAGTTAAATTTCAATAAACAAATTTTAATGTCAAGTAAGTTAAATATTTCTTGATTTGTTAAGACTTTTTAAAATTTTACATCTATTAATATATAATAGCAATAAGAAAAATATAAAAATAGAATGATAATTTCCGCCCAAAATCTCANCTATCACATGTTTTCAATTTTGAAATAACTCCAAATCACTATATATTCGGTCAATGTCCTAAATTTGATATATACGTTTGAAGATTTACGTATTTTTAAGAATGGAACATGAAATATATATTTCATATATTCTATATATATCTGGTCAAGCCCTAATCTTACTTATTAAGATTTTTTATTATTTTGAAAGTATTTTGAAATATATATTACTTTGAAGATTTATGTATCTTCAAACAATCAATTTTTTATATAACCAATCAATTAAAAAAATGGTATCAGTAATTTAGTAGGATTCATGATGGATCACTAATCTATACTTATATAATAAGAATTAACATTTATCCAAAATCGTAGGTCAAATTATGGTCAATCGGATTTGATTAAATATTTTCCAAAATTGATAAGTTTTTGTCATTTTCACACTTCTCATTAATTATGTCATTTTCACACTTTTCATTAATTATGTCATTTTCACACTTCTAATTAATTCATTAATTACGACATAATTATCATAAATCATTCCATCTGAGCTTTTATCGTTAAAATGTATAGCGATCTGTTATGACTTTATCCCATTGATATTTCCATGAAGCGTCCTTATCGCGTTCTATTTTTTGGTAACCACTCTATATCAATAATCGAATATTTGGTTAATGATAACACACGTCTTTATTTCAAGGAGCGGATATTCTTTGACCTTTAATTAATCTGAACTGATTGCCTTGACTTTTCAATTTTTAAAAACTCTTTTTCTAAATATTTCGGCTTAAGATTCGGATTTCATTATACAAGTCATCAGATTGTTTGAATGAAAATGAATGAAAAGAACACCAAAAAAAGGTAGCCTTATTCATATAATCAATCCTAAAATATTAGTTTGTTCACCAAAAAGAGACAAATCCTAGAAATCCTAAGATTTTAGTTTGTTCACCAATCCTAAAATATTAGTTTGTTCACCAAAAATATTAGTTTGATTTTTAGGATTTCTCTCTTTTGAAAATATTAGTTTGTGATAATGAGGAGTTACCAAATAATCAAACTCATAATGTTGTGTACAAGGAGGTTTTTAATAATATATGATTGTTACCGAACTTTTTATGATTCAACAATGTTCCTATGTATTTTAATGATTTCAATTTCGATCCTAATGCATGTGAGGTTATATTATTATTCCAAATTTTACATCCCGTGCATCGCACAGGTTACGTACTAGTCTCAAACATATATATTAAAATTTTAAACAATTTCATTGTTATCTGAAATTTTAAAATATTAAAATTCTTTCTTAACGGGATCAGTAATCCATTTTTTATCAACTTCCTTAAACAATTTCAAAATATTAAAATTATTAATCGTCCATTTTTTTTTAAAAAAAAATTATGATTTTCAAATTAAAGAAATTCTTATTACACGTACAATAAAAAAAAATTGAGAAAATAATTTAAAAAAATAGTTTTTAATATCTCTCAAAATATATTGTCTTTATTTTTCCGTATAACTTAATTACTCTTTAAATCGATCGATCAAAATTTACTATGCAAAAAAAATATAGATTCATATTTATCGATTTAAAAAAAAATATATATATATATATATATTTTCTCGAACAATCGATATACTAATATAAGTACATAACATGTTATTCGAGCAAATATATTTTACATAATTAAATAGATAACAATACCCAATTTCCCAAATATTAATGTGTGTGTGTGTGTGTATATATATATATATATATATTAATATTGAAATATTATATATTGACTAATAAATCAAACAATTATAATTAGTTTATCGTACGCATACATCAATATCATAAGCAGATTTTTTTAATACATTTCATTTTATCTTAACTTACATATAATCACATTCCTAAGAAACATTAAATTTGCTTATATTTTTAAATTAGTTAATCAATAAATAATATTAATTATGCATTAAATATTTATCATTATATAAAAAAGAATATTACTTCTATAAGTGTTATAAATAATAATGACATTAGATGACAATAAATTTTAAATAAAATAATATTTGAGTATTATGATGAACCCAAATATGTAAAATTATTATTTTTTTGTATTAAAAGATAAATATATATGTTAAAATATTATTTATATTAATATAAACGGATCAGTGGACTAATATATTCTTAAAATAAAATTTTAAATCATATTCTTAGACACGAAACCCTCGTGCACGAGATTCTTACTAGTTAGTACTTAGAAAATTTCAAATTAAATATATCAGAATTTGTATGAAAAACCCAACAATTTTTACAAAATTCCAAATAATTATACCCCTTTAAATATAAATCTAGCTAACACAACACCAACCCGATGTATTTTTATCTTAGAAAATGCAATCAAGCAACCTTTAGCAATAATTTTTTAATTAATGCACAATGATGATCGGCTTAACACGATAATTGATTTGAACATTACGTGAAAGTTAAAAACTGTGTAACAGAGTAGTAAGTAGTAACTGATCCAAATTTCCCCCATTTTCAGTGACTCGACGATCCTAATTCACTTCACTTAAATCCCACACAAATCATCTCGCGCAAGCTCCACCATTTGTTACCCCATCGCCATCAACCTAACTCTCTTCTGCCCATCAAGCTACCCTCTTCCCAAGGATCCCTTCAATTTCTCTGTTTCCCGACCAATTTACGGTTCCTGAACGAAAAAAAGGGGGAAAGGGTATTTGATCGAACACAAGGAGTGCGAGAAAAATGATCGGGGCCGTCCAATTAGGACTCTTGGCGGCCTGTATAGTTCTCTTCGTGCCCATGGGCATGGCCGGTTGGCATCTCAGCCGCAACAAGATGCTCTTCTTCAGCTGCGCCCTTTTCATCACTCTCGCCGTCGGCGTCCATTTGATGCCCTATTTCCCTATGATCTCCGCTTTTCTGTCGCCGTCGCAGGTAATTTCGGCCCCAATTTCTTCACATCGCGACTCTTGCGTGCCCTTCCTTCATAATGTTGTGTATAGCGACAGCAAAGAGTGTGACGACGATGGCCCTTTTATCAATAATCACGAGATGGGTTGTAAGAAGTCATGGGATTGGATCCAGACGGGTCGAGTCGCCGAGTGCGAGTTTCAGAAGCTGAAGAAATCGGACGCATCGGATTTGTTAAACGGTTCATGGGTAGTTGTTGCTGGGGATTCTCAGGCGAGGCTAATGGCAGTTTCATTATTGAAATTAGTATTGGGACCTGAAAGCTTGGAAAAGGTACGAGGGGATTTGTTCAAGCGGCACAGTGATTACTCCATGATGGTCGATAAGATCGGGATGAAGCTGGATTTCATTTGGGCTCCTTATGTTGGGAATTTGACTGAACTGATGTTACTCTTTAAAAAAAACAAGAACTTGCCGGATGTTTTGGTGATGGGGGCAGGCTTGTGGGACATGCTGCACATTAACAACGCCTCTGAATATGGTGCCTCTTTGCGAGTTTTGAGAAATAACTTGCTGGCTCTTATCCCAGTCTCTTCGAATTTGGATTCTGATGATGAAGTGCCTAAATCGGAGGCCCGTTTGCTGCATTTGTTCTGGGTTGGGATGCCAACTTTGATAACATCAATGTTGAACACAGATGCTAAAAGGGAGAGAATGACGGGCTTGATGTGCAGTGCGTACGAAGATGAAACTAAAAAGAGCCACATTTTGCGCCAAAGTGGGGGGCCTCTTTTGAAGCTCGATATCCATCTGTTGAGTGATTTGTGTGGCCCTCTATGCTCGGCTGATGGGATGCACTATGATGGGGTTGTTTATGATGCTGCTGTTCAAATAATGTTGAATGCCTTGATAATTGAATCTGATCAAAAGCTCCCGAGATGATGTTCGTTGTAAGTTGTAGCTGCACCCAAGTTTGAAAATTGAGAATGGTTTTTGGTGTGTCCTTGAGGTTTGCTGGGTAGGACTCCTGAGGTCCTTCGGTTATTGGTGCTGAGACGTAAAATCAAGTTAGCCGGTAAAATTTTTTTACAATCGCAGTTTGGATGGAGGTTTAGTTTCACATCTCAAGTATGCTTGACTGATGTATGCACAAATGTTTTAGTAACTAGCAGTTAGAGGAGCTATTGTCTAGCATCCATTTTTTGTTTTGAGGAGATGCAGAGAGTTGTGATAGTTTCCTAAATATATGTTTCCANGAAAAAAAAAAAAAAATAGCTTGGACAGCATGTTCTTTCTAATTGTATGCACTTGATTTTACATTTTTTTGCACATGAATCCTGAAGTTTTCAAATTTATATGCTTCTTTACCATTCCCATTGATCTCCATTCTTTTTCTTGCTGGAACTGATTTAGTAGCTTGCACCTGTTTACAGCAATGTGCTTCAAATCATACGTTTTATTTGAAGTTATGCTAATGTTTACTCATTTAGTAAACAATCAACCACCTCGGACTGACAAAATTAATGTGTCAATCATGAAAAACAAGATAAGTTTCTTTAATTGAACAATGAAATGAAAATTGTCTCAGAAAATTACTTCTAACCGTTACATTGAGAAAAACAGAACAACTGGAGAGCGACCCACTTTTCTTTTTGTTTAAGAATTTGAGTGAAAAATCTTTGAAGCTATAACTAAGCAAAGACTAATGCATCACCAAACTGAGCTGTAGTTGGGTTCATATACATCAGCAACCACTTCAACTTCAACCACAATACATACCCTTTATTACAAGCAAATACATTATCTACCGAGGTCCCATGTTTCACAATCAGCACAGAAAATGGCTTTTATTGAAAGAGTCCAAGGAAAACTGATCCAATAATTGAAGTCGGTCTCACAACCATACGAATTGCTTTACAGGAAATACCAAGAAAAGAAGTTAAAGACCTGAGCTGTACCTTTTATTTCAAAGCTCAACCTTTGCTCTTACAAGAACAGAGAAAACGCATAGATCAAGTTGAAAAGGTACATAAAGTACACCCTTAAGTGCTGCTCTAAGCAGATGTTGAAAACTTCAACTGAGTAGCCAATTTGTTTTTGCATCCAAAACGAATTGAAAACACGTGTAAAGCCTCAAAATGTTATATAAGGCAAATGATTCTGAATATCGTCGTTGATGTTTACTATGTCCAGTCATTTGGTTTTCCATTTATGCAGACTCTATTACAAGAAAGAAGCAACTCGAAAAAGATGCAAGGCACGATTGCAGTGCCGCCTCCAACTCCACCTCCAACATGCTCAACAAAGATGTGCTTAAAAAAATTATCAAAATAATTATGTCCACATTCAAAACAAATTTTTCACATATTTCCACTTCTAATCTACAGTAAGATACAAACAAAAATGGAGCAAAAGAAACCTTAACTGACCACTCTACAAAACTTCAATCCAACTATCACAAAATTTACAATCGAAGGTTGTAGGCCATTGACCAGCTTAGACGGTATAATCCAAAGGGCAGAATCGAGATATCCCGTCAAGTCCTTGCATCTCTGGTCCATCTTTTCAAGATATATCGGCTAGGTACTATCTTTATATTTCTATAATCTAGCACTTTCAGTGCATGGCTACACAAAATCCCAACAGATTCAAACTTCATACAGCTGCAGGCAACCGAAGCATCCTCCAAGCTGCATAAAACTGTGTACTGACGAACTTCACCATATGTGCTGACTTTATACTCAACTGAGGACGCGTTTTCATTGCACTCGTTTATCACGATATTTAGGCAGTTTTCATATTCTTGGTGAAACTCGTAAAAAATTACCGGCGTGTATACTTCCCTTACCTGCTTCAGCATTATCACATCCCCCATTAATCTCGGTTTTTGCTGACCCATGTCATAGTTGGCCTCCAATTCTTTGTAACGCCAGTCGGTCACCACCCTCCCAAAGTGTTTGACAAATTGAAGAACATGTGACTGGGGTTTGAGGTATTTTTTTGAGCTGGTAATAGAACCCTCATAGAGTAATGCAGTTTCTAAGTCGGCCGAGAATATATGCTTGCTGAACGCTAAGGCCCATCTCTCTCTCTCTTCAAATACACCAAGTAACCATTCACTTTCCCACAGACCATAGGTATCGAGCATGACTTTCCAAGAATTCAAAAAACCTTCTTCATCTGGATTAAGAAAACAATCCCTCAAATCACTCGAGAAAGAATCTGAGCTGGAAGCTACTTGATTAAGATGCTTAAGGGCATTATGGTAAGTCTGGCAGGTGCATAATCTGTGGTGAGTTTGGGGCAACTCAGAGTTGATTGCTTCGGATATCACTGCTTCTTTACCAGAGAGTACAGTCTTTGGTATTTTTCCAGAAGTACTTTTCAGGAAAGTTCTCAACAGCCACTTAAAAGATTGGGCGGTGTTATCGTATAAAAACGCAGCACCAAACACCAGAATCTGCTTATGATTATTTATTCCCAAGAACAGTAGTAAAGGACGGCAAAGTTCGTCTTGAAGGCAAGCTGTATCCAAACAAATGACATCGCCAAAATCAGCATAGTCAGCCATCATTTTCTCATCTGCCCAGAAGAAATTAGTCATTTCCTCTTCCACGTCAAGCTGTACAGCATAAAAGAAGGATGGATCCTTCAATTTCTTGCTCTGAAAATAATGGTGCAAATTTTCTGCTTCCTCCTGCTTCATGTTCCAGTCACACCTATAGTTGAGATTCATCTCACAATCCACTGAATCACAAATAAAATCTTCTCGAACTCCCCTTAGCAACAGCTCATTAAGTGATTTCGGGTGCAACTTCGGATGCTGATTATTTCCCACGGACCTCTTCTGTGACCTCAACATACGAACTTTACACAGAGGTACGAGCTCGTGATTGTGGCTTTCTTCAAAGTGAGTCACATGGTACTTACCATCCACTTGACGAGAAATAACCAACTGTGCCATGCATCCAACTCTCGTCTCTTTTCGAGGTCTCTTCACTTTCGAACCACGCTTGTCATTCTGCCTAAAACCTTCCCTGAAACAAGTGTACCTCCTGGATGCCACAGCTCCATCTCTTTTGCTTCTATTCACATAATCCTTCCGGACACTGAAACCCACCTGCCCGGCATAAGCATTATAAAACTCATACGCAAGATCTTCCGATTCAAAACCCATGCCCAGCTTCGGCACACCATCGGGCACTGGATTTGAACCAGTATTGGCCTCAACAGCCTGAACAAAGGATAATCTCTTCTGTGAAGGCAGTAAATGAGCTGTCAGTGGCGTCACAAGCTCATGATTGTGCCTTGTCTCTAAATGGATCACACGGTATTTGCCGTTTGATTGGCGTGTAATGGTCATATGAGCCAAACACCCGGTTCTTGTTTCTTTCCGGGCTCTACTCACACTTGCTTTGCGTTTTATAGATCCGTGGCCTTGCCTGTGGCAGGTGTATCTCCTCGAGACCACAAAGCCCGTAACTTTACTTCGGTTAACGAAATCTTTCCGGATGCTGAAACCTTCCATGAGAGCATACTTGTTGTAACACTTGTATGCATGGTCCTCTGACTCAAATTCCACACCGAGCTTTGGGACTATGTACTCACTGTCTTTCTCTGCTATAATCCGAACAGATTCAGGTGAGGCATTAGAAGGATCTCCTGAGGTAGAAGCATGAGCATCAGTTTCTCGCTGGTTAACCTCAACATCCAAACCGTTATTTTCACATTTGCACGTGCTTGAGCTCAGATTCTCATGTCCAGAGTCGTTGTTTAGCCCATTATGTTCAATGGACGAACCGTATTGGCTAGTGAACTCATGCTCTGCATCACTGCCAATAATTTTTTCTTCAGATGAAGAATTAAGGCAACTATATGTGCTCTCACTGTCTACATCCATACAATCTTCATTGGCTTCTTGATCCAATGATCCATTTTCAGTGACAAACACCACCTCAGCATCATTGTGGAAGTTTGATGACTCTCCAATATGATTTGTATCAGCATCCACTAGTGATGTGGGATCAGCTTTCTCTTCAATGTCAATTTGAGAATTATTCCTCAAGCCAGCACTCGAGTCAATGTCCATGCACCTTCATTAAGAAGCAAGGAATCTGATAGAGTTGCAAGCACATTCATCCATAGAGAGTAGAAATCATGCAAGATATAAAAAGCTATTAACAAAAACCCAGAATACGAACATGCTTACTCTGGCAACAAGTCAAAAAATTGGAAATTTATCATCAAATAACTCGCTTGTGCAATCTTAAACATGAAAAAAGTAGAGCATGCATTGACCAAATTTGCACAACTCCAGTGAGCGAGATATCAAATTACTAACAGTTTCACAACAAAGATTAAATGTCAGCAAGTTCCAAGTATACAAAGCTGAAAGCTCCATAATGGATCAATATACAAGCAAAACGTTAAATTGCTAGCAATATCATAATGGATATATATGGAAAAAGGAAAAGAAAAAAGGACAGAACAAGGGAAGAAGAAGGTAGACGAAAATTAACTGCTTTATCACCAACAATGAGGAAAAATAACGATTCTGTGATAGAAAAATTCAGTCTTTATCTAACTCTTCATGAATGATGATTAATGACCCTCAAGCTCTCATTTACTGTCTCTCAATTTCAAAGCCAGAAATCAAAGGCAATTAAACTCCATTACTAGTTTGAAAAATCATTCCAATATGCACAGAGGTGGGTACCCGATGAAACTAAGAGGCGAAAGCAAAATGAAAGGTGCAAAACGAAACGATGTCGAATCTGAATTCCCGATTGGAGGTAAACAAAGCGAGCGAGCGAGAGGACCGGCGCCTCTGCTGTGACATACGATCCAATCTTATCCAGTGCGCAGGGAGGAGAGACTTGACTTTTAAAGCAGCGACTTTAGTGAACTATAGAAATGCGATTCTATCTATGCATACAATTGGAGGAATGTGACCCTTGCCCTTTTACGAATAAATTAGGGGTGTAAACTAGCAAAAGTTTGAACTCTCAAGGTTCTTGAGCTCAAGCTCAAGCACTTATGTTGAGCCAAGTTCGGTTTGCGAACTAAACAAGTCAGTGATTGAGCTCGAGTTTGATTGATTTATTTATATTAAAAACTCGAGTTAAAGTCTTAACAAGTCGAACTATAAAAAATTATATAATTTTTTTTTTTCGAACTTTATCGAGTCCAGTTCATAATTGACTAGTTTTGTTTTAAAACTATAAAAAAAGTTGACGATGTTGAAAATTAAATTGAAATTTATGTGATTGTATTAAAACATATAGAGAGAATAGTAGTTACACTACTCTACCTAATGAATTTTTTCCATATTATTAAATTATAAAAATCAATGATCATTAAATTAAATTTATCATTTAAAAATTATAATATAAGTAAAGCCGTTAAATAAAACAAGCCGCTCACTAGCTCACTTGAGTTGTGGAGGTTTGAGTTTGGCTCTGCTAGATAATCAATCCAAATGGAGCCGGTTTAGTAACAATATTTGCTATTTAGTCTGGTAGGAAAATATTGGGCCGACTATGAAGTATGGACTAATCACTTCTATTCTTGAACCACATTATGGGCCTGAGCCTACAAGATAGGCCCATTATATCTATTCTTGAACTTTAGTATGGGGCTGAGCTGAAAAGAAAGGCCCATTAAATAAGTTGAGAGTCCAGATTCCGATCACACAGTTCACCGCAATCTCCATCTCCGTCTTCCTGGCCGCGAAAATGGCGTCGTCGATGGTGAGGAAAACCCTAAAAACCATCAACTTTCACGCCCTCAGAACTCTTACATCCACCACCCGCCAGCTCAGCATCTCTGCGGCCGCCGGAAAATCTGAAGACGACCCCTCATGCTTCGCCTTTTCCTCCGACGTCCTCGACAGTTCGAAACCTTCCGACAATTGTGGTGGAGATGACACACTGTACATCAAAGGCCCCCAAAAAGCGGCGTCATCGTCTTCATCGTCCGTGACGATGCCGATGTCATTCATGACCGGTTCCATCGTCGGCAAGCGGTTCTACCAGAAGGTGACGACGAGAGAAGCTGATGATGGGATTGGGTGGAGCGTGATGCTCGATTACAGGACGCTCAAAACCCCTTCAAAGCGAAATCTCAAGTGCCCTACTTTAGCTCTTGCCAAAGCTATTGCAGCTGAATGGGAGTACCAGGTGCATTGCCGTTTGTACTTTATGGTTTGATGCTAATTTCTGCTTTTAGAGGTTGTGTTAATTCTAAAATATAGTTACTCTAGCTTGGTGTTTATTATGCATTGATTGATGTAGATTGACACAGAATTTGAACTGGTAAAGTGCCCCTTAACTAAGTTGTTTAAGGTGATTTTAGTTATGTTGGTACCTAAAAATTGTATATTGTTCTATAGTGAATTTGGATTTGGCTTTAAGTCACACGCCGTGATTGAATCATTCTTCTTGTAGCAAACAGATGGGATAAGACCCTTTACAATGCCTCTGATGAAGCTGACATGTACTGCATTGGAAAGAGTACCGGTCACTAGGCCAAAGATTATTGAAAATTTGATGAGAAAATTCCATCAAGATCTCATTTTTTGTCGTGCTCCAAGGGACAATGATCTAACAAAAGATCTCCGAGGTATGTAGAGTGCTTGTATGTATGATTTTTACTTCTGAACTGCATGTTTTTGATAATAATGGCTTAACTTGAGGATTTTTTATTTATTTGCTTCTATACATTTCTGTGGACCAATGTGCTATTTGATTTTCTTTCAGACTTCAGTTACCTCCTTGACTTTATTTTATAAGTGGAAGAGGTTTTCGAAGTCTCTTTTCTCTATGAAGTGGAGCTTTCAAGTATCTGTACTAAAGGGAAATAGAAATATATTTGCATGATGAAGGTTATCGGGTTACCTGATAGGCTAGCTAATATGTGTGTAACTATATATATATATGTATTTGGTACTATATGCAGAGCTTCAAGTGGAAAAATTTGGACCTCTTATTAAATGGGTTGAATCAGAATTCGGTTTTAAACCTGTTGTGTACACGAGCTTCTTTGGTGGCAAACAGGAGGAGGGTCTGGTTAAAGCCGTTGAGAACATTCTTAAGAAGACGGATGACTGTGAACTGGCTGCCATTGATGCAATTGCTGCTGCTGCTCACTCATTGATAATTGCAATCGGAGTATTTCGTGGGCAGTTGAGCATCGAGCAGGCGATTGAGTTGATTAGGCTGGAAGAAGATTTGCAGGTTGAACGATGGGGTTTGGTTGAAGGAGGTCACGATGTTGATATTGCCGATCTTAAAGTCCAAATCTCATCTGCTGCTGTCTTTCTCGGACTTTCAAGGAAAAACTAGCGCCTGTTGCCCCAATTATAATCAGGTAAATCACCAAAGAGTGAACTTCCCCTTCTTCCAATTTTCAAGAATTTGTTATGGTTGTGTATTAGCATATTTGGCACAAGAAGATAATAAGTGTGTTATGAAAAATTCCAGATGAGCCAGATATGGTTGTTTTTGTATCTTAGAATGCATTCTGTTATTTCATATTCATGTACTGGTTGTAATATTATCACGATCCATCTTCAGTCGGTTTTCTTGGCAAATTTATGAGAAAATCTGTTTATCAGCATGAACTCGAATGAACAGCATTCAGAATAATAAGGTACACAGATAAATAAAACAACGAAAAATCAATTTTCCCAATCAAGACTGCTGGAAATAAAACAGCTGTGAGACCGTACAAGTCATGATCTTTGTCAGATAGCATCACTTCAGGTTAATTTCCTGTTGGCTCAGATAATCCCAACCGTCAGAATCTCACGATTGATTTCTGGACATTCAATTACAGTTTTTGCCATGTATTGTAATATCACAATAACCGGTGACTACAATGCAACCAACGGGTTTTTTACTGTTGGAACAATACGCACCGTTATGTTTGTGTATGTGTTGATCTAACAGTAAAAGACTTGATGACAACACAAGTGTTTGTGGCCAAATCGAGTGTTTTATGAGTAGCTCGGGTAGGTGCAAGGTGCAAAATTTGAACCAATTTAAACTTCTTTTGGTATCAATGAGGAACCAAAAGAACTTATCATAAATAACTTTAAAAGCATCCTTAAAATCAATTTAACCATTAAACTCAGTCGTTGCAAGGAAATTGGATGCGTGTGAATACAACTATAGAAGACATCACACAAATTTTTTTGCTTAAGATTTTATAAACTACAAAAGAATTAATGTTACAGGATAAGACCTTTTTTCACAGAGATGATCATCATATCACATTTAAACACGTGAAAAGATGAAATTGATAACCTTGTAGTAACAAATATAATCTTTTACCTCGCCTATATAAATAACTACAGTAAACACTTCATAATGTGCTCTGTTATGACATTACATAGTGCATGTGATAATAACTTGAACCCAAACTATACATAGAATCTCTATTCTATGTATAAAAAATGTTATAACAGTTGCGTCCAACGAGTATTAAAATCTCATCTCATTCTCTTAACTAGCCTATTTATAGCCTCACTATTATTAATTTGTATTATTATTATGATGATAATGATTATAATTATTGTTCCCTCTGCCTCTCCCTCCTAAAGGCTCGTTCTGAATTCTCTCTCCGTCTCTCTTTAGAACAACATATTCATTCATCTCTTCCACCTTGGAGGCAAAATCTGCCATCTTTAATGGCGTCTGTAAGTTTCTTCATTATCCTTTTTTCTTTATTTAGAACCATTTTTCGCATTCTTAGTTTTCATATAATCGGTTGACTTTTTTAAGAAATTTAATGTCGACATGTTAATCCAACGCATAAATTCTATTTGCTGAACGTTTATTAATCTCGCCAATATTTGCTTGATTTTTGAAACAATGGGTGCCTTCTTGGAATTGGTTGAAAAAAATCTGATTTCAACGTTCAATATATTGTCCAATTTCATATTTTTACCCGCAAATCCTCATCCATGATCCTATGAAGCTCTGATAGAATATGTGAAAATTGGTGTTGATGACTGAATCCTTTCAATAATTTGCTTAAATTGCATTTTTTTCATACCCTCATTTTTCTCTGTTATGTTTATACACATCATAAGAATATGTTCACCAATGTTTCATCTCCATTACTAACATCTAAACTAAGTCCTCACCAAGATAATTAAAATGTAATCTTATCATGCAAATGATGCGAAAACTTGTTCGCTTAATGGTTAAAACGGTTTACATAGGCAAGAATCACAATGTTGAATTTGTCAGCAATTTTTGGTGCTAAGGTTGGTAAGTTTTACTATAGTTTCCACATGAAATTCTCAAACATAAAGGGATACATGTGTAGCCCTTCTTAAACTGCTTTTGTAACGAGGATTCATGTATTCTAGCCTCTATTTACTCTTTCATGGCTTTTTCTAACGCTTAAATTTTGTTTCGAAACTTGATTTTTGCCATGAAAATATGTTTTTTCACGTTAATCTGTTCGAAATCAAGTTTTTTTTTTATACACATTGATTAATTTTTCTATTTTGGTCTCTATTTTACTATTTTTCATTAGCATGGATTTGTTGTTTTTGTGATATGCAGCACGAACAAGGTAGGCCACTGCCGAAATTTGGAGAGTGGGACGTGAATAATCCAGCTTCAGCCGATGGATTTACAGTGATTTTTGCAAAGGCAAGGGACGAAAAGAAGGCAAAGGGCACTGCTGCTAGTACAGCNAGTTCAAAGGGGGCAAAGATCCAGCTGATGACTGACTAGCATATCTCTGTGATTTTTTACTCATCTCTTTTGTAAAGCCATATCTGTTGACTATCAAAGTTTGTGAGGTTTCTAATATAAATTCTCCCCCAAACTTGTGTTTCTTTTGGGAGCAAAATTGTGGAATGTTTGTTTTCTCCCCCAAAAGCAGTATATATGAACTCTGCAGGAAGCCAGGAACAACATGATAATTCATAATTGCACAAAACATTACCAGGTAGGATCAAATTTACCCCAACACAGTATATATAAACAAACTCTGCAGGAACAACATGATGACTGCACAAAACATTCTTACAAATATACAAGATTATATCAACTAATCCGATTCTTCTTCGATCTGCGACGTATTACATATCTCACTTCTCTTAAACACATTACTCCTCCTCGGAACATCAGCCAACCTACAGAACTCTGTAAACTCCCTCCTAACATTCACCACCAATTTTTTCTTCTTCTCTGTCGGACGTGGGCCAAGCTTTCTTAAGTCAACCGTCGCACCATAAATTTCCGAAGATCGAACGATCGCATCATATGCCTTTGCCGAAAGCACGAGGCCTTCGTTTTGCGCCTTTAAATGCAACTCGTAAGCAATCCTCGGTTTTCCATCTCTAGCCAGAGCCTCTATCAACATCTCGTAGGTAACCTCGTTTGGGTCGACATTTCGAGCCTTCATATGCTCAAACCACTCGTACGCGACACCCCCGAAATTATTCCGACCACAGCTGCTGATAATCGCGTTAAACGTCACGACTGTGGGCCCCACACCAACTGTGGTCATTTCCCGGACAATCGAGTCCAAGATGTCGAATTTCCCTTGCGCCGCGTAAATCGAGGCCATGATCGTGTAGGCGTACAAATTTGGCTCAACCCCGACTTTAATCATGTGGTCCCAAACCCGAAAAGCCTCCTCATAGAGCTGCCCTTTCTCAAGAGCACTGAGCAATGCCCCATACGATATAATCGTGGGCTTCTCGCCATTTTCGACCATTCTCTTGAATATCTCGACAGCAGCTGAAGTTTCGGAAGCTTTTGAACAAGCAACGAGTACAGAGTTCCATTCACGGCTACCCGGCTTGAGCCCCTTCTCCTCCATCTTGTTCAGCAGCCTCACTCCCCATCTCCAGATACCTTTTTTCCGAGCGGCCGATAAGAGTATATTAAAATGGGAGACAATAAGCTCGTACGACATGTAATTCGGCTTCGGCCCTTTATCCAGCATGTCCTCGTAAACTTCTAAAGCTGCCCACCATTTTTTCGCCTTCCCCAAAATCCATATCACGTGATTGCAAACGGATAAGCTGATTTCGTTGCCCATTTCTCTAATCCGAGCATATAATTCTTTAGCCACGAGATAATGCTCCTCACGAGTACACGCCCAGATGAGGCGCTCGTTTTCTGATTGGCCTGGCCGCAAACCGGCATTGTCCATCTCGATCAGAAATCTCAGTACATCAGTGCTTAGATTTTCGGCTCTCACTAACCAACATCTCATCACTTGGTAGCATACACGGGCAGTGAAGTTTTCCAGCTTCTCAAACTCGTGACCCCAGTCAAATTGTTCTCTGTCTTTCCCGATTTCACCTTTTTGATATTTATTTCTTATCTCGACAAAGAAACTCAAAGCCCCGAATCCATCTTCCATCCTACGGTAAGCAAATATCACTGTCGAATAAGAAGCGGGAGCATGAGACACGCCTTTAGCCGGCATTTCGTGAAAAATCTCGATAGCCTTGGCTTCTTGCCCTCGATCAATGTGAATACTCATTAAAGTGTTGTACGTCACGACATTAGGATGCAAACCTTCTGCTGACATATCACTTAGAATCTCCTCAACAAAATCAAGATTTTCAGCATGCTTACGAGTTCCCAATATATTGTTATATATGAAAAGATTGAGCTGGATTGGGTTATTAGCTTCCTCGCTCTTTCTCTTAAGCCACAGAAAGAGAGCCATTGCTGCATCTACCCTCCTCTCTTTGCCAAGACATTTGATAATGGTCGAGAACACTTGAAGGGGAAGCTTTTCCTTCCCTTTCAAAACAAATTCCACATCATCGGCAGTTTTGGCCGAGTGTAGGCTAAATGACAGAGCACGAACATCAACTTTTTCACTTTTGTCATTCTCAACTTCCCCTCCATGATCCAATCCATTTTTCGGAACATCAGTATCTTTGTGACAATTATCATCCAGATCAGTATGAGTAAATTTTACATCATCACTGTCATCTGGAAAATCATTTAAATCGACTAATTCTCCATGGGAAGTAGTAATACTGTCGCCAACTGCTGGTTCCTCCAGTGCCCATGACAGGGCAAAAGTTTTCGGCGTGGAAAAACAAACAAATTTGCTTTTTAACTTAGAGTGTTTACCAACAAGAAAAGCCCCAATTTCGAAACTCCTAAAATAATAACTCGATACATACACTAGCCCGTGGTAAGAACTACAGCTAAAACCCAATCTTCTCCTTCTATGTCCCAACTTAACCGAGCTACTAGAAGGACACAAATTCAAATGCAAACGTGGTAATACAAAAGAACTCAAAGATTCAGTTGGTGAAGTCCAAACCGCGAGAGCTTGCATATTGAGCTCTGAAAATTTCACAAAGGACAAAAGCTGTTGTCTCTAATTCTTGCTCTGCTTTGTCTATATACTCAAGAACTGAACACGATTAATCATACCTTAAAGAAGTAAACTTAATTGGGGCTTTGTGGTAAAGAATTTGTGGGATGTAGTTAGATTTTAGAGTTCGAATGGGTGGTTTCTTGGCAAACTGGTGCTGGAATTTTCACAGCCATTCATACGCCACGAGCTGTGACCTGTGAGGCTAGAAATGAAAATTGAAACCCCGTCGAATATGGCTGCTTAAAC